TTCATATTATACAATGAATTAATACTTTTAATAATTATGTCTTGTCCACATTGATTTTTTCCTTGACAGAAATAGTGTCTCATTCCTGCTCAGTATTTCCTAAATACTAGGTTATATAATTTTTGCCAGTTTGGTTGTCAGCAACTAATAGTGAAGGTGCATACAGCAACTTCCCTTACTAGCCACTGCTGTTGAGTTTTGTCAGAATTTTGAGCCCAAACATTTCTGGATGTATTTTTTTAAAGATGAGAAGCTGTTTTGATAGTTGGAAATGTCTGTTGCTTTGAGGATATTTTCATTATATTACAGTGTTAGACAGCAACATATAAGGCTATTGCCTGCAGTCCAAATGACAGCTCTGTTATTTTTTAAAGTTCTGAACACCAAAAAGTCCATCTGCTCAATTCAGACCACAATCCAATGAATACTTTCCTGGAAGTAAACTCTACTGAACATAGTGGGTCTTAAGCACTGGAATGTATTGTCAGTCTTTATACCAGTGTTGTTACTGATGTTCGTCAGTCTCCTTGTTTACATTCCTGCCTGTTGAATCAGTGATTTAGTTTCCAGAGTCTTTAAATCATATAAATTTATCCTCAAACATTTCTTCTATTTTAGACCTATCTTCCTGACCCATTGTAATCTCCAGAATTCCCTGAAATGTCAGTCATTTTATAAAACCGTATTATATATGTTAATTCCTGAGGCTTCATGTTACGGAATGGGATTAAGAACTGTCAGTGCTTTGTTTTCACCTTCAGTTGAGAAAGGAAAATAGACACCTAGTTTTTAAAAGCACTGAATAGCTAAAACATCACTTTCATGAAGCAGACTGTAGCTTGGGCTGAGCAGATGTCAGAACTACTAAATTTACACATTTTTAAAAACTAGAACCCTGAAACCTACCAGATGCAAAAAAGGATGTCAGGATGGGGGCAGTGAGAGAGAATACTAAAGGCAAATGCCTTTAAGCCAATGTCCTGACCAGTTGTACCAAAACTGAGCTTGCATTCCTTTCACATAGAAATGTATGCCAGTTCACCCCACAAGCTTTCTCTATTTCAGCAACCAACCCTGGCAGAAACTCATCCACCTTTATATTACCATTGTTAAATAACAGGGAGCCATTGCCCCTTGTTTATCTACTGCAAATCATCTGGAGATCCTGTTTTACATTTGGCCTGCCCCTGCTATCGCCAAACTAATAAAATAAGGATTTATTGGTGCCCTTTCTTACGAGTGGACTGTTGCTGGGATCTAAACAAGAGAGGTACATGTATGCTGGAGAACAACAAATATATCACGAGCTTTGTTTGCTGGTTTTGGTACAGCTGGTTTGGACTGTAGAGAGAAACTACTCATGCTTTTTAAAAAGTGCCTTGTCTCTGGCAGAGGACAACAGACACAGTATATAAATTTCTGCCTGCCCCATGCTTTTTGCTGTTTAGACACCTTTGTTGTATGTGGGTTCTTTCTTTGAATCAAAAACACACATTCTTAACATTTTATCATCTAGCTGCTCAGTTAGTCCGAAGCCTTGTAAACTCACAGCAAGTAACTGGATCCATTCAGCAGCAAGTGGAAAGACCTTTGCGTACTAGACAGCCATCAGAATGTGTAAGTTGCATCTGATCTAGTATTTTTATGAATAATGTTACATAAGTAACCAGCAGTGGTGTGCAAATTAGGCTTCCAAAGCTTCTTGCAACAGGAGACAGCTTGTACAATGTCAATAGTACTATGTATTTCATTATATTTTTAAAGCTTTTGTCTGAACTGCTACACACTATTGACTGCATTTGAGAAATTGTAAATTAAGGCCGACATTTTGAATAATTAAAGAGAGAGCATAATGCTAATGAGATGGATTTTCTACAAATTCAATGAATAAACTAATTGAGATGCTGGTGAGTGTTAATGGGGCATGTATCCTGGTAATACTACTAGTAGGCCACATGGCTGTTTTTCAGTGATGGAATTTATTCTGTATTTATTCTGCATCTAGTTAATGAAACCATATTCTTTAACTAAACTGGTGCATCAAATAATTTAGTTTACTGTGTTTCTGAGTTGAGGTGCAGTAAATGTGGGATCGAAAGGCTTCTTTGTGATAACTTTTTATGCAAAAGATGCTCAGACTAACTGATGAACTAATCCAAACTACATCCTTTTTTCCCCTCTCCAGTCTGATTCGCATCAATCATCTTACTCTCCACAGCCTCAACAATTTACCCAGAACTCCTCTCCACCAACCTCTATTAACCAGACTCAGCCACAACCAATATCCCAGCCAAAGCATGCTCTGCAGCCCCAGCAAGGGGTGCAGCCAACCCACCAGGTCCAGCTGCCTTTGTTTAACTTTGCCCAATCTCCCCCAGGTCAGTATTCCCCCTTGCCTAACCTGGGACTATTTCAGATGCACCATCACCACCACCAAATCCAAATTCCTAACACCACGTGGCCTCTTATTCACTCTGCACCGGGTAATCCTTCTCACGCTACAAATGTTCCATTTTCTGTGAGGGCTGGCAGCAGCACACCCAATAACCAGAGCAGCGTAAGCTTGAATGATCCCAGTATCATCTTTGCACAGCCTGCTGCCAGGCCTGTAGGAATCCCCAGCAACTCTCATGAGGGACACTGGCACAACCCTGTGACTCTAAGCTCACTGGTGAACAATGGCACGGTGGGGAATTCAGGTAACTCTCCTTTATTTTTTCCTGTTTTGTGTGAATACTGATTGGGGGATCCTGATACTTTTCCAGGATGAACATGAAAAAATGTTTTAAAAAGACAAGATAGTCTTGTACTCACTAGACTATGTAAGAAAAGTGGTCCAGAAATCTAGCTTGGAGGGTTACTTACTTTAGATTTTAACACAAAAGAATTTGGACTTTCTACATAGAAATGGTAATTTCCAATTGGAGGCCTATGTACTAGATTTGAATAGGCCTGGGATCAAAAGAACCTTGAACTTGTACACAAAGCTCCCACACTTTTTCATCTGAAGCTCCATATGCTGCTTTTATGCTTCAGAAATATCTTGTGGGTGTTGCAAGGAGTTCTATACAGTTTTTGGGATGTTATTAAATTTACATTAAAAGCCATTGGGCCTTAAAAATTTAAGATGCCACAAGATTCATGGTTATTTTTGCTGCAAGACTCACATACCTGTCTTCTATAAATTGATGCACTTAACAATAGCTCACAGTGCATATAGCTTATTCTGGGCCTAGTCCTGGAACTGTATCTGTGTTTGTTAGAAAGTAATGATTTATGACTTACGCAGTTAAAGGTTGCATTATTCATTATCAAAGTACAAGTATTGCTACTTGTTGATAAGCTTTTTTGCATTGGAAAATTTTGGGCATTTCATATACATTTTCCTTTTATTTCTTTTAAATGAAAATTAGATCAGAGTTTCCAAGGACAGTTTGGTAAAGCAAATCCTCCGCCTCCTGTTCCTTGGGACCATGCTGCCCCTGCCCATTTTCCTCTCCTTCGAGGGACGTGGCCTTACAATATGTCTCCTAACTACATGCAGCAGGGAAATGCCAGCTATCCATTGAACAAACCTCTTTACCCTCAAGGTACGAGGAGTAACTACATGAAGCAAATTTTCCACGTTTTGGCTAGGTTTTAATTGGGTTTATGCTGTGCCTCTTGAATTATCTATCCTGAAATAATCCAGCTGGAATAAATGAAATAGAAATAAGTACTTTGCAGATAAGCTTTAGAATAAGAGTTAAACATCAGGTTTCTAACACACACTATTTTGAATGTAGTAGGACTTACTTCAGATAAATGATGGTTTTTCTATTAGACAAATCACATCTGAATGTGACTTGCTTCATTTAGGTACCTAGAACAACAGGATTAATACGTCTTTTGGAATTAAATTTATTACATCATTGTTTTCAATTACATCTTGAACTAATGGAGCATTTTCTACACTGTCTGCTAAAGGTTGCAGCCTTTTCTGAAGGAGTATGGAATTTTCCCTGCTTTCTCTATTAGCATATCAAGTATTTGCACTACTCACTTTGTGTATCTTTTAGTAGTGAGTAAGGGATTTCCTCGAATAAAATAGTGTTAACCTAACTTGCAAGAATTATTTGTACTGACGTCTCATACATGGTCCCTATGTATGAGGAACTTAAAAATTCCTGGCTTAATGGCTGTAAAGCCATTTCAAGGAAGGATTTTAAAGAAGCAGTTTAAAGCTGGGGTCCCCCCCCCAACTGAGGCACAATCCACACATATAGAGTATGTCAGTCTGTGTAGCAGCCCTCTGCTTATAAACTACAGGGATTATAAAACCTGTTTTTTAGCCTGCATATTAAATACAGGGGATCCAAGTAGTATCTGAACTGTTATCCATTTTCTTTTAGCTGGCTTACTGATGCAGAACAACCAGCGATTTTCACTTCTGTCTCAAGGACATCCACACTTGAACATGAATTTTATTCAGCAGAAAAAATGAAGTTCAATTAAGGTGATGGGAAGAAATCAGGTTCTGGATGAAATCTTGTTGCAACATGTTTAGATAAGATTATTTAAAACTGTTTTTAACTGTATAATTTGTACATAGATATAAAATATAGTTTTTACCAGTATCACAAGAAAAAGTGATACAAATTTCATCTATTTTATTACCCTATTTTTAAGGGGAACCGTGTTTTATTTTATCTTGATAAACTGTAAAGAGAGTTTTTAAAATTAAGTTGTTTATTTTCTATTAGCTTTATTCATACTTTGGTTCAGACTTTATATCTATTGTTCTAAAGAAATTAGAAAGGGATTTCATGTGTTAAAGATTGTCATTTCTTTACGAAACAATGTAGTGCCAAAAACTTTTTAAAAGGAGAAAATAAAAATGAAAAATCAGAAATTATAAACTAGGCACGCTCTTCTGTTGTATGGGGGTGAATCCAGGATCTGCTTTCTACAGGAGTTTTTCAGTGGGGTCTTCCAGCATGAATGGTGCTTCCAGGGGTGATGCGGGTTGGGAAGGGAGGACTGCTATGGGAAGGATGGGGTCACTCCTCCAATCCAACTGATCCAGTTTAAATTTGGATCCTTACCTAGGTGAAATAGTATCTTTGCATGGACCAACTTACCCTATCTTGAGTGTATAGTATTTCAAGTACTATATTTTTGGTCAGGTTCCAACAATAAGGACTCACATTTGCTTGTGAAACCCAGACATTTTTCGCCTTTGAAATACCTCAGCACAGCTTTTATTTTTCTATGTATCTTTCTTTTTTTATGCGTCTCCATATGTCTGATGTATTTAGATAATCAATGCTAGGGTCTCTGTATTGCAAGGAACACTATACAGCTGACCTTAGCTTCATATTTAGCTGAACTACATTGCCAGGGCTCTAATCCTGTTCACATTATTTCTAAATAAGCTCATTGAACTTCTGTGCTATACAGTAAATAGGTGAATGGATTTATAACTCTGAACTGAAATGCTTTGTTAACCTCAGTATTTCTAAAGACATTCTGCTTTAAATAACAGGCACTACAGTTCAATGAAGCTGTCCACAACCTTAACAGAGGATAGCCTATACATGACAGGAGGAGTGCAGAGGTTAAGATAGCTTCTGTCTTCCTCCTACCATGCAAAACTCTCACAACCACTCCACCCCTGGAAGCTCCATTTGGATTCTTAAAATACCCTGCTGAATGGGTAAGATGTTTGGCCTTAGAACACAAGCAGAGGTTACCTTGTATGCTGGTGAAGCTCCTCTTCTCCCTGCATCCAAAAGGCCATATCTGAGGTTGCTATTGAAGTTGCAGTGAACACGTCTTTCTGCACCAGCTGTACCAATGGGTGAAGGGGGCTCGGAATCTCAGCTCCAACCTTCAAAGTTGCGGAAGTTGGGGTTCAATTATCTTATGGCTGTCTAAACTCTTAACGGCCAAGGACTGTGCCTGTAATCACCTTTGTTGAAAATAGCCATAGTAATTAATTACAGGACACATTTATGCTGTGGTTTACTTATCAAATATTTTAATACAGAAATTACAACAGTAGCTCTCTATCTTCCACACTTACAAATAAATCTCTACAGAATTATGTTCTGCCAACCTTTTGGCTCAGTTAAAATTAGGAATTACATAAAAACAGACAAAAATTATACAAATACTTAAGAAGGCAAGGCTTCCATAATAGGTCTTGCAAGAGTTTAAACAATTCCTTTTCTGTTTTGCTAGGTATTAAATGTAAAGAATTTTAAACCACTTACATCCTAGCATGACACTCCTTTTCTTGTAAAAGGAGCAAGTATGATCAAATATATGCTGAAAGAACTTCCCACTGAGTTAAAGTTATTGAACAATACAATATCGACCAAAAAGCTATTTTTTAAAAAAGATCAGCTGCCACAACAGCTTCTATCTAGCCTGACAATGTCCAAAAAAAAAAAAGTGGGTTTCATTTTTGAACTGTTAAGGGTCATTCATTTCCTCGACGACTCTTCTTATGGCTCTTTTTAGATCTGTAAGAAGAACAAAAGCTGCTCACTATTCAGCTGATGCTCAGGTGCAATCAAAATTCCAAATTTACACAGTGGTAATTCACCATCAGCTACTAAGGCATTAATTGCATTTGTCTATGACAATCGCAGTATCTCACTCAGATATAAACAAGCTGTCTTGAATACACAGTTGGTGAAAAATGTATTATTATGAAGGAAAAGATCTAGCATGAAAATATTTCATGAGCCTTGCTACAATATAATATTTAAGCCACAATACAGGAAGTCTGTACCTTTCTGGGGACTTGGAATGGCTGCGATGTCTGTGGCTACGATGATGCCCTGTTGAGATAAGATTTAAAATCCTTAGTTAGTTTCTGTTCACAATCACTTATGTAGAATCCTCCCAAAACCCCATTCATGTAATGCACAATGGTAAAGAAGGGAATAAATACAGTATTGTAAGTAGTATCTGTGTGGCCAGAAACCAGAACTGGATTGACAGATTATCATCATCATTATCAATGTCATTTCTATGCCACCCAATAGCCAAAGCTCTTTGAGTAGTTCACAGCAATTCGTAACACTAATACAAGAATTAAAAATAGGTAGTAAAATTCAAATACTGTACTTGTACTTTTACTATGTATTTTATAAAGTCTAATATAGAAAATTTTAAAAAGTTTGAGCAAAATCAGTTTCAATAAAAACAGACTTGTTAAAATAGTCAATATTGACAATTATATGCCTTTAAATAGCTGGGAATAAAGGATAGTTGTAATCTGGTGCCCAAGATGTGGTATCAAAAAATTTGTGCCAGGTGGGCCTCAGTAGGGAGAGTGTTCCATAATCGAGAGATCAGCACCAAGAAGGCCCTCTCCCTTTTTGTCTTCCTCTGAGCCTCCCTTGGAGGGGGCAGTGAGAGGAAGGCTTCAGATGTTGAATGTAGTGTCTGGGCAGATTCAGTTTGGAAGAAGCATTACATCAGGTATTGCCATCCCAAACCATGGAAGTCTTTATAAGTTAAAAGCAGCATGCTGAATTGGGCTCAGAAGCATAAAGGTAATCAATGCAGGCAGACCAGAATTTATCTTAAATGTATGGACTGTCTGTTCCCTGTTGTTCATTTGGCTGCTGCATTTTGCTCAATCTGCCACTTCTGAACAGTCTTCAACGGTGACTCAATGTAGAATGCATTGCTGGCTATCCAGTTAGGAGTAGAACCAATCCAGACAGTCATCCCAGAAGGATACCATGGGCAGTGGTATCAAAAACCACCAAAAGATCCAGGAGTACTGGCATGATCACACTCCCCATCTCTCTCTCTCACTAAAGGTCATTGTACCCAGTAGTCAAAGCTGTTTCTATGCCTAAACCAAGAGTGAAATGGATTCCAAATGCCATCCACAACTGCCTTCCTGAGAAACAGAATTACCTGGTGATTTAGATCTTGATCTGTGGCGTCTTTCTCTAGATCTACTTCGGTGCCTCCTTGGGCTCTTACTGCGATGCCTTTCCCGGCGTGGTGATAGACTGATAGGATACAGACTATTAGAAAAAAGGTTGTGCAATTTTAAGATAGCAAATAGAAGCCTAGTCAGTTTCTTACCTTCTCCTCTTCGGTGATCGGCTTCGCCTAAAAACAGGAAGCAGAGAAAAATGTAATTGTAACTCTGCAATTGATTTAGGTCTAGCATTATGTTGGTTAAAGTATTTGAAAATTTCCTAAATGTTACCTCCTAGGAGATCTGCTTCGGCTTCTCCTGTAACGCAGGGTTGGAGACCTGCGAGGTTTATCTAGATCTCTGTAGCCTCTTCTCCTGTGATCAGGTGAGGGAGCTCTTTCCAGCTGAAAAAACATTACAGATGAAATATCACCAAAAATTGCAAAAAGCAGTATACAATAGCTAAACAAAAGGAAATCAAACAATTATTCAATAAAATGCACAAACAAGAATCAACCATTTTAGGGAAAGCAAAACAAATTATGATTTAAGTGTTGTCAGCTATAGCTAAAGCCAGTTTTTGAACTCATTAGCAAATGACCACCATACAAGAAATAATCACTCAATAAATACATAGGTTGCTTGCACCACACAGTGAATACAAGAGTACTGTGCTATTGAAGAGGCTCTCAAGACCAGAATGAGGATGCAAACATTCAAACCTTTTCATCCTCCTCTTCCTCATCCTCACTAGACTCCACATCATCCATATCCTCTTCCAAAGCACTAATCCGTGGCTCTAGTTGTTCAGCTTCTTCTAGAACGTATCGTTTCTAAAGAGAACCAAACATTTTGTTACTTCGGGCAGTACTTAACTGCACAAAGTGTTGCATCATACATTCATAATTCTTCTGTGGAAATGAGGAGGGTACTGCTTTTTCAAATTTGAAGTTTGGTTACTATTTTGTAAAGTGTAGGTACTTCCTACAACCACAATATTTTGATATCTGATATTTGGTTTGTAATATATACTGCAAACATTACACACCTGTAGTCTGGGTAAAATGATATCACAAACACGCTCATCATGAAGTAGTTGATCAATGAATTCGTCCACGTGCATTAGCTCAAACTCTGGAAAATAACAGTCATGGCTTTTTAGAAGGGGATACCATTCTCAATAAACAAGTATGACTAAAACTGCAAAAATCATTTACTTATATTGTCCAAATAAAACAGTACAAATGAAGGAATCAAAGACCTTTCTGATATGCTTCTCTTCAAAAAACTGCCTTGTTTTTAAATAATGAGCCAAGCATTCCCAAGCAAATGGTTTGTTTGATATGAAGCACCAAGACTACAGCACTATAACGAACATAACTATTATGAATCATGAAGTGGGGCAAGAGCCAGTAACAGAAAGTCAGATTACTTACCTCCATTTCTATTTTGACTTTTTATTTTTCGATAATCATTGTACAATGGTTCAAGATATTTGTAACAGTCTATGGCAGTACCAGTCAGTCTCATATACAATGCTCCCAGCAACCTCACATATCTGGAAAATTAGCAAAAGTAGTTTAGAATCTTTATTGCTTTTTCTAATAAAGCAGTGATGGGAAACTTGTAAGCCAAAATATCTAGAGGATAATGAATCCCATCATTCCACTGTGGTGTAATGGTTAAGAGCATGGGACTGAGACTCAGCTGATCTGGGTTCTAGTCCCTGATCAGCCATGGAGTCAGCTGAATGACATAGGTTGGGCTGAGAATCTGTGACTAGCCCTACCTCACAGGGTTGTTGGGATAAGAATGAGAACAGGAAGGAGAGAATTATGTAAGCCACTTGAAGTTCTATGTAAGAAAAAAGAGGGATATAAATCTTATAAATAAATCATTCCTCCACACTGTGTTAGAGATGGCAATGTGGAGGACAGGGAAATCCTGTTGCAGACTTCCAATCCTGTGAGGGGTGCATCCAACTCAGAAATATTGGAAACAAACTTTTCATGAGCCTAACAACTGCAGTTATTTTCATTTATGTAAATATTGGGTCTTCAAACTGCTGTTTGATACATTCCATATAAAGAAAGTGGTGTTATGTCCACAGAATCACCCTAAACTAGGTAGACACACACACATTGGGAAAAGAATCCCTGTAAGTCCTGAGTTAAGAACCCTGCACAGTGAAGGTAATGGTCGAACAGCAAAGAAAAAAAATGTGTAGACACAATAAAATGATTCTTAATATTAATCAAATCACTTACAAAGTACTACTAAAGGCTCTCCTTTTTCCTTTACTGATACTTTTAAAACCACATCTCCATAGCAAAATTATATTTTCACTTACTTGAAGTCTTCATTCTTTATAAATTCAACAATGATGTCCTTCTCAGGCTGTATCTGCAACATCTTCAAGGTCAAGCACAAGAATGGTGTAGGCTTGATGTTTCCACCATAAACTCCACCAGTATATCTCAGTTCCATAGCTTTATCCACAACCAGTTCAGCTACAATCAAAGTTACATGAAATTCATTCATATTTTGAAATTAAACTAGGCTAACTGCTTGTGTTTAATCAGAACTTCACTTAGAAGTTGAACAATAGCAGTAAGCCAATCTATCTAGTAAGTTTGCTACTAGAAAATATTGTGATGGTTATGAAATTTAAGATACTTCCAGATGATTTCATCATGCAATTGCCTGCCTTAATCACAGTATTAAAAACACAAGAAAAGCCATGCTGTATCAGACCAGTTTAACAGAAGGAGAGTACAGTTATCGACAACTTCATTTGACATTGCAATTTCCATTCTCCCACCTTGGAGACACTTCATAACCCCTTTTGGTTTTAATCACCCTACATGGTTTGGTGGCATCCACAAACTTCACTATCTCATTGCTCACTGCTAGGTTGACAAGGAAATCTGGAATCCTAAGGGATCTTACTGGTTACGTTACTCCATTGGGAGAGATTACCATTTATTTCCACTCTCAGCTTGCTACAGTTTAACAAGGTACTGATCCATTAGAGGACCCCACTGCCATCTCATATTCCATGACTGCTAACTGCTCAGGAGTCTTTGGTGAGGAATTTTATCAAAAGACTTTTGGAAGTGCAGGCATGCAATATCTTCTGGATCATCCCTGTCCTTGTTTAAGTGTGCAAGACTGGGACTCAGATCTAGGTTCTAGTATACTCCTCAGTCAGCTATGGAGCTCACTGTGTGTCTTTGGACAAGTAAGAGACTCTAAGCCCAACCTACCTCACTGAGAAGTTATGAGGACAGGACTGAGAGGAGGAGGAAAATTATGTAAGCCATCTTGAGTTTCTTGGAAGGAAAAAAAAGTGGGTTATAAAATAAATGTGAGACGTGTCTTATCTTTGTATAAGACATGCTGATTGTTTGGTCCTATATTGCTTTCAACCAATTTACCCAGAACAGACTTTAATTGGATTGGAATTCCCTTTTTAAAAAGTGATGGTACAAGGGTCATTTTCTAGTCCTCTGCTCCAGAGGCTGATCTTAGGTTAAATACTTTTATATGAAGGTCAGTAATTTCATATTTGAGCTCTTTAAGAACTCTTATGATGGATATCATCTGGACTTGTAACTTATTAACTTTAAATGTATCACATTTCTGAGAATGGTTTAACCTGGAGTCCTGCACTGAGCAGGGGGTTGGACCTGAGGGTCTTCTTGGCCTCTTCGAAATCTACTGTTCTATGATTTGGTGATTTTTTTTAATCACTATCTCGATTAATTCCTCAGACTCCCTTCCTGAATCCTCAAGTTCAGAGCAGATGAAAGGAATTTAGCTTCTCTGCAATCTCCTTATATTCCTTTAGTGCCTCTTTAATTCCATTGCCAACTGCCTCTCTGGTTTACTGCTGGTTTCTGCTGCTGCATAGTGTTAGCTTTGAGCATGGTTTTAAAATCCCTGTTCAGTTATGGTTGTTTTATACAAATCTCTTGTCTCTTAACTTACCTCATCAGGTGGCTACTAAGGCTACAATAAACTTGCTACCCAGGATTCCTCAGAACAGCCTACCCTACCAATGCAGAGAGATGCAGCCGCAAACTGCCTCACACAGCATCGGTCCCCTTCCCTCTCTCCCGTTTTTCCCGCCCTGCCCACAGCTGTTCAAACAGCTAAATCGCACCGGTGAGGCCGAAACATTCTTCTTTCCAGTACTTAGACTCATAGATGCGGGTGCGAATGATCTTCTCCACCAAGTACTGCGGGTTGGTGCCGTGGATGCTGTGCGCATCTTTTACTGTCCGGTTTGCCATAGCCCGGCCTGGGGCCGATTTCTACGCGCAGAGGGCTAAAAGGAGACGCGAGAAAGGAAAGGAAAAAAAGAAACGCTTCGAAACGAACAGGCCGCCGAACCTCTGCACTAAGGGACAGGCCCCATTTCACTTCCGCTCGGGGTTTACTTCCTCCCAGAAGGAAGCGCGGCCGGCAGCCCGACATTTCCGCCCTGCCATTTACCGCCTTTTGCAGCCTTCGAAGAACCGGAACAAACATGGCGGCCGTAATCGTAATTCTTGAGGGCGTCTCTGCCTTGATTTCCGGGGCGGGGCGGCCCAGGTTTGGCGCGAAGTTTCATCCTGACTGGGGCGGAAGGGAAGTCAGTCGTTTCGCCGAGGCCCCCACGCGTCCCCTGCCCAGCCAGATTAGTCGGGCTGGAAGAGTGGAGCGGAATCGCTCGTGACCGAGTTACTTCAGAGGTGGAATCGGGTACGGAATAGGAGGCTTAGGTCGGAGGGCTGTCGCGGCTCGGCAGGGAGGTTGCAGATCCGTCCGCCCTGTACATGCTGCCCTGTACTCAGCTAGTTGTGCTTTCTCGGAGCATCGCACTTGAGGAAAAAGACTGGTCTAGAAATCGCGAATCAATCCCCCTTAGCAAAAAGTAGTCTCTTTGCTCTTGGAAGCGCTGCGGAATGCAGGAATGATCTCATATTCTTGTCTCTCCACAGAAATCATGAATAGAAGAACCCAAAGAAAACGTATCTATTCTTGGTTGGGAAAAGCTATCCGTATAGACAAGCAATTGCAGATCTCACATTATAGGTGTGTATCTGGCTGTTAAGGGATAGACTGTGTAGCAGGCTTATAAATCTGCAGTAAAGATAGATGAGCAATAAGTGAAGCAAATCTACCTTTCGCATTTGGGTGGCATTTTTACTGTTTTTGCTGTTGTTACTGTGCATAGTGCTTTTCTAAGTAAGTACCATAGATAGGAGCAGGAAATAGTTTTCACTTTGATGGAGGGGAGAAATAGAGTTGGCTGTGACAACTCTAGTTGGTTATAAACCCCAAAATCAGAAGTGTTCTCAAGTGCCTAATAAAATGTAGGGGCACAATCCCCTAAAGGCATCAATTGTAAGCCCCCAAATTTGGAAGCTTACAGTCATTCTGTGCAAAGCAGGGCAAGTGGCAGAGTTGATCTCTTTGCCATCCCAGCCTGCAATTTTCTCTGTTAGTTAGAAAGGAAAGAGTTCAAGATTAGACTTTCATAAAATGTGATGCCCTGGGGGAGGAGGGATGGAAAAATTCAAGGAAAAACATTTTCCCACAGATTTTTTTCTAGGCTTTCACATCTCTAGTTCATTCAACATTGGTGGTATCTATTAATGGAAAAGAACATTCAATACATTTATAGTCTCATTTTTTTTTAGGGGACTGGATATTAAAGATGGAAAACATGACACTGAGGTCCACATTTTCCCTGGAGAGTTTATTTTAGTTGAAGGTGAGAATGTGGATCAGGTCTCTGTAGCCAGACTTGAAAAACTATACGAAAATGGTAAGTTTTTCTTTGTATTTACCCATTCATTGCATATTTATTTTCCCAGTGCTAATTAAGATGGCTTATACCAGATATTTGTTTAATTTAAAACATGGCTTAACATTTAAGACACAAAGATTCTAAGTGGCCTCTGTAAGACTACAATTTTTTGCTAAATATTAATGTTAGGATTATAAAACAGTACCTGTGGCACAAAAGATCCTTGAACCCCAAGCAAGATAAAGATACTCAGCACAATTTTAAAACATCAAACAAATATGTTAATTTATTTTATTTATACATAGTGTGTGTAACATTTTTTCATCCTCTGCAAAATATAACTTAGAAAAGGAATAAGTAGTCAAGGAGATTTAACTGTGGAAGTTACCATTTAATATTTATTAATTTAAATATTTATTAATTTATTGCATTTGTATGCTGCCCCCTAGCCAGAGGTTCTCTGGGCAGCTCACAGTGCAGTCATAAAATACAGATAAAATATTTTGTTTTGAATCCAATAAGTAATGTTTAAAAAAGAACTCAGTTAAAATACAGTGGAGAAAACAGCACTAACAGTGCCCAAAAATAGTCTTCAAAAACCAGTCTTCTAGGAAGCAAGCTAGACTATAAAACACGTGGTCCTTGATGTCTGTATACTAATGCCTGGAGGATGGGAAACAACAGCACATACCTGAATATTTAATTCAAGGGGCAAATAACAGGTGTAAGTGAAACTTGATAGGATGATTCCCATGATTGGAATTCAGCAACTGAAGGATATAACTTACTCAAGAAGAACAGAAAGGGAGGTAGGCTCACATTGTATGTTAAAGATAACACATCTCTGCCCAGAAATAAAGGAGGATGAACTTAGTATCCCCATAGTGAACATCTGGATTAATATAAATGGAGCAAGGAATAAAAGGAGCACCATGATTGGAAACTTACTGAACACTGAGTCAAGGAGAAGGCAAGAAAGCAAATTGCCAATGTTTCAAGGAGGCATGATGTCATAGTTATGGGGGACTTCTGACATCAGTTGGGAGAGAAAGTCTGCCAAACATGGCCCCTGCCTAACATGTGTTGCTGACAACTTCCTGTTACAGAATGTGGAGAAAAGAACTAGAGGAATGGGTATCCTTGACTTGATTCTAACCAGCATGGAAAACCTAGTGGACAAAGCAGCAGTTATGGGAACTCTGGGGAAAACTGACCATACCATACTTGAAATCTTGTTTCTAAAGAAAGCAAAAGCCAAATGTAGTTGAACATGTACCCTGGGTTTCGAGAGGTCAATTTAACAAACTCAGAACAATGATAACCAAAGTCTCATTGCAAGTGACTCTTATGGGAAAAGGAGTCCAAGATGGGTGGGAAATCTTAGAAAAGGAAATTCTAAAAGCACAACTACAGACAGTTCCAATAAGGGTAAAGTGAAGAAGACAACAGAGAAAACCCATGTGGTTTCACAAAAACAATGATCTGAAAACAGAAAAAGTACGTGTATATAAAGTGGAAGGAAGGCCAGGCTACAAAGGAAGAATACAGACAGGTAGCATAGAATTGCAGGGAAGGTGTCAGGAAGGCTAAACTGAGTAATGAACTGATGCTAGTGAGGATAACAAAGGCAACAAAGTCACCTTCAGTTATGTCCAAAGTAAAAGGTTGATTAAAGAAAAGTGAGTTCAGCTATTTGATGTAGATGGCAAAATGATAACAGATGACAAAGAAAAGGCAGTAGTACTGAATGGCTATTTTGGCTCTGTCTTCTCCCAGAAAAAAGATGTAGGGCATCCTTGACAAAAAGGGGAAGTTCAAGCTGAACGGGCAGGATAGAAGCTCAAGATTGATAGGCAAATAGTCAAGGATCAACTAATTAGTTTGGATGAGTTCAGATCTCCAAAACCCAGTGAACTCCATCCTAGAGTAATAAAGGAACTGGCAGAAGAACTACTGTAGTACTACTTTCAGAACTACTGTATTATCTTTGAAACCATGGAGGACAGGGTAGTGCTAGATCAGCCTTTCCCATCCTTCTGCCTTCCAGACACATTTGGACTGCAACACCCAGAATCCCCAGTCAATGGCCCTGCTGGATGGGTATTCTGTGAGTTGTGGTCCAAATGCCTCTGAAGGCCACCAGGTTGGGGAAGGCTGTGCTAGTTGACTGAAGAAGGGCTAATGTTATATCCATCTTCAACAAGGGAAGAAAGGAAGAACCTGACAACTACAGACCAGTAGGTTTGACATCAATCCCTGGGAAAATTGTGGACTGAATTATAAAACATCCAGTCTGCACTGATTGAAAACAATGCACTGATTACTAGAAGCTAACATGGATTTATCAAGAACTAATCCTGTCAGACTAATCTGATTTCATTTTTTGATTGGGTATCCTCCCTAATGAACAGTGGGAATTCTGTGGATGTTATATGTCTTGGCTTCAGCAAAGCTTATGACAAAGTGCCCCATTATATCCTGATTAGCCAACTAGCTAAAAGCAGGCTAGATCTAACAGGTGGGCATACAGTTGACTACAGAATCAAACTGGAAGTGTGCTCATCAGTGGCACCTTACCAAACAGAGGAGAGGTAATGAGTTAGAGTACTGCAGGATTCGGTCCTGGGCTCAGTGCTCATCAGCATTTTTATTAATGACTTGGATAAGGAAGTGCAGAGAGTGTTTATCAGATCTGCAGATAACACAAAATTGGGTATGGTAACTAATATCCTGGAAGACACAAGCAAAATTCAAAGTGATCTTGATAGGTTGGGGAGCTGGGCTGAGAGCAATCAAATGACATTCAAGATGGAAACCAAATGCATTGTTACAAGGTGTGGTGATACTTCGCTCAACAATACTATAAGCAAGAAGGATCTTGGAATAGTTGTAGACAAAAGATGAACATGAATCAACAATATAATAGGGCTGCAAAAAAGGCAAATGCTATTTTGGGCTGCATTAGAACTTTCACTTCCAAATCATGTGGAGTACTGGTTTTCCTCTACTCAGCACTAGTTGGGCATCATAGAACTGCATCCAGTTCTTAGCACCCCCAGTTTTAAGAAAGGTGCAAACAAACTGAAAAGGGTTCAGGGGAGAACAATAAGGATGATCCAGGGACTAGAAACAAAGCCTCTGAGGAGAGATGGAAACAATTGGACATGTTTAGTTTGGAGAAGAGAAGTCTGAAGGGAGATATGATGGCATTCTTCAAGTAGGTGAAAGGTTGTCAGACAAAGGAGCACCAGGGTCTCTTCTTGATTATCCCAGAGTGTAGGACACAGACTAATGGGCTCAAGTTACAGGAAGCTAGGCTCAGGCTGAACATCAGGAAGAACTCTAATATTCTATGAGTCGGCATAATATAAACAATAAATAATATAATACAATAAATAGCACAGGTTGTATAAAATCTAATATATTAGTTGTGAATATTTATTTTGAGATGTTTCCATATTGGATACAAGGCAGCTTTAATCATGTTTTTAATACTGTATGTTTTTAAGTTACGTGGTTGTCAAATAGATTTGGATAGACTTTACTGTTAAAGAAATTACTTTAAAACAGTAGAAGGTGAGTAAGCCTTTCTTCACTAGATGAATAAAGTGGACAACTAACCATGAAAAAGTTGGTTCTTTGGAAGGTACGAGGTGAGTGCTGACTGCTTGATATGACAAGAGCATGCATTCCAAGAAAATTTCTGAAAAAAATCTTTGCAACACTTCGGCAAGTGCATAAAATTTCCTTGGTGAGCTAGTTGATATGGTAAGGTTTTACTGAAGATATAAAATGAAAAACTGCTACTTGCTGTCACTCAGATTTATTGAACAAAAAACATTCTTCAGCTAAATTGCTTCAACTACTCTTGCTCCAGCTCTTAATTGTATTTTCTATTCTAGGTACTCAGGAAAAACATGCAGTTGTGGAATGGTTTTCTCACATTGCTGAAATACCTCTCAGTCAACAAATGTCTTTGGGACAAGAAGATTCTCGGGAGATATTTTTGAATGAAAAAGCTGACTGGAATACTGATATATGTGTTACATCTATTATTAGTAAGATAATGGTATGTACACATACTCATATGTTGGAAGAGAGGAGAACATTCCTTGTAAACCTTTTAAAACATTAAATTTTGCATGGGTCCATAACAACATGTACAGGAAGCACCATTACAGTTGCTCTTTTTTCCTGAAACCCTGTGTTCCTGAAGCCAGTTGAATAACACTGCTGCTTGCAAAACAGTGCAATATTTGTTGAAACATTCAAGAAGTCTGCAGGCTGAAATATCACTACAATTATAGACTGGACTTTAGCGATGAAAGTAGAGGTCTATCCCACTTGCAAGTCTTAGAATATCATTTCAGCAGTAGTGTTACCTGCTGCCTTTTGTTACATTGCAGCTAATCTGGAACCTTAGGACAGGTAGTTTAACTGCATTTTTACATTTAATTTGTGATCATTCATTTATAAATAGGTAGTGTTTGTTCAAAACTTTCTGAACAACTGCTAAAGCAAGTGTGGCAGCAGTTTAGAATAGACTCTCTCAACTTGGTGCCCACCAGATATGCTTGATTGTGAGTTCCATAATTCCCAACCAGATGATGGGAGCTGAAATCCAACACATCTTGAAGACACCAGTCTGATTAGATTAAATGAACATAGATTTTTTCCAAAAATTATTTTTAATCCAAGTACAAGTTTACTTCCACTTTAACCCGATTTAGAAAAACTGCATGTAGCAGATACAGTTTTAGGGTTCTTCATTTCACAGTGGAGTGAACAAATTTTTTAAAAATGGTACCTACAGTAGCACATGTGTGCATTGTCTAAAACCAGAGCTTTCTTTTGAAACACTTACGGAATGCGCTCCCCAGGGAGGTCCGCCTGGCGCCATCGTTATTTGTTTTTCGGCGCCAGGCCAAGACCTTTTCATTTAAACGATATTTTAATAATTGTTAATTTTACTTATGGGTTTTAATCATTATACCAGGATGTTTCTAGTTTTTATATGTATTTGTATAGTTATTTATTTACTTGTTGGAAGCTGCCCTGAGGCTTATGTGAAGGGGGTGGCATACAAGAATTCCAAATAAATAAATAAATAAATAAAGTAAGTATTTTTCATGTAGAAATATCAATTAAGAGTCAAAGGTGAAAGAAACATTGGCTGATTAATATAAACAGTCCTAGATGCATAGTATGATAACTACAAATAACTGGTATAAAATCCAGCCATTTAATTATAAAGTTGGGATTTCAATTTTCATTGTTTGATTATTTACTATTTTCAGAATGGTTTTGATTAATGTTTTGAGGTCATAGGGAGTGAAAATATCTTCTCATGCCTGATATTTTGTTTTACTTTAAACAATAACCTTAGAGGTTTAACACAGCTTTGAAGATTAGGTTAACATTTGAACTACGGTATTTGCCACCACAAAAAGTAGTGTAAGCTGACAAGTTAGATGTTTTTAAAAGGGCATTTGACACATTAACCGATGATAAGGGTATCTGTTGCTATTAGTCCTAATCGCTATGTGTTACCTTCAGCATTAGAGGCAATATGCTTATACAGTGGTACCTTGGCTCACAAAATGCCTCAGTTTACGACCAAATCAGCTCACGAACAGTAATTCATAAAAATTTTGCAGCAGGTCACAAACTCTGCATTGGGTGACGATCGCGAGTGCGCCACCTTCCCTGCACGGGCACGATCACAGTTGTGCTGGGCGGTAGATGGCCGCAATTGCACCTGTGTTCCTTGCCCAAGCGCGCCCACACCCACCTCTCTTCACCCACCCCACACAATCGCTGCGGGTGGGGGGGAGATGGCCGCGATCTTTGTTGTTCTTTGTCACCTTGCTTCAATTTTTTGTGAGTAAAAAAAATAATTCCAGAACGGATTAACTTTATTTACAGTGACCCTTATGGGGAAATTTGACTTGGCTCACGACCAGTTTGGGTCATGACCAGAGTCCTGGAATAGATTAAGTTCGTGAGCCAAGGTACCACTGTATATACCAGTTGCTTTAAAAAAAAAAAAACCAGCTAGAAGGATGTTATTGGACTTAAATCTTGACTTTAAGGTTTCCTCTGGTCAGTTGCTCAACCTCTATGTGAACAAACTGCTAAACTATATAAACCCTTGCTCTCACACAGTATGGCTGTTCTTACATTTTGATTACATCATGTTTTCAGTATTCTTTAGGTAAAAATCTGTTTTGAATTAAAACACTTCTGGTATTTTGCTAATTTTCTAGGTTGTCCCATTGACCCCATATGAAGCTTTGCCATCTGTGCCAAAGGGTGAAGAAATTTTCTTTATACGCAAATCTTGGGATGGAAAAAAGCTTAAACCACTGCCACCTAGCTTATTGGCAGAGTTGAAAGATTCCGTTAAGATGAAGACTAAAGACTTGAGCCTTACAACTGAGTATCACTTGGCTTCCTCGCATGCTATTCACTCTCCCAAAGTAGAAACTAAGAAGGTCGCTCAGAGTACCAAAAACAGCAAGAATGGCATAACAGAAATAGAATCCAGACACTCAGCCTCCAGGTCTTCCCTTTCTAAGCAAAGACATTCCCAAAGAGTTGGCAATGGCAGTGGCACCCCAGGAGCAAAGAAAAAACTACAGCTTAACAGTATGTTGAACAGTATGTTTCCAAATAATTTTGCACATAAACATTATGGTTTGCAAAAACATTGCTAGATGATAGCTCTGGAAGCTGGCAATGAGCCATATGTCTAATGTGGTGGGTTAGAAATCTAATAAATAAATATAAATATTTATGCATTTTACCCCATTTTTCTCTTCCAAAAAGAGTTGCTCAAAGTGGCTTGCAAAATATTAAAAGCATAAAGTCAGTAGATCATTAAAACATTAACAAGCTAAAAGCAGCAGCAAAATCCTAAATTAATAGTGAATAACTACAATTGTACAACAGCAGAGTCAGATGCTTTTTATTGTGAAAGTGTCAGAGAAAATTTTATGACATATTACTGAAATTATGAACTAATTACTAAATACTGCCCTTCCACAGATGCCAAAATGGCAAAAACTTTTGGTGATCAGAGGGGAGGGGTGGAGAAGACAGAGGTTCTGGGATACATGCCAAAGCTGGTTGGAAGGCTGCTAAAGAGAATAACCCACCATGAGTTTGATCATCTGCTGTGCTTATTGTGGACTGCTTAGTAAACAATGAAAATATCACAGCTTATTTGCAGGGTGGATTAGTGTGACATGCAAACATGCCCATAGTCTGGTTTTATATCTGTTCAATTTACAAATAAAACGTACAAAATAGTTTTTAATTTTGTAACACAATCTGTACCAGATTAGAGTAGTTCTTTCTTAATTTGCAAATGATACAAAATTCACTGCTATTTTTTGTGTATTTCCAAGGGTGCAAATGAAACTGCTGTTTTTCTATAGGTGTAAAATGAGTATAAGAGGTTTCTAAACTGTTTTTACCTTTCATTGGCTGGACATACAAGCAGAAATATTAAGGTAGTGTTAGTGATGAGCAATGCTATGAAACAAATATGTTAAGTAAAAGAGGAAAAGCATATGCATGTTTTGACCCAAACAATTGAACTCCAAACAATAGCATAACCTTCCAGGTTTAAAGCTGGTCTGTTTTGTGTTGCTAAATGCTTTCAACTGAAATGTAACCTTTAGTTAGGTTGACTTCTATGGTTCAAAATTAATTCAAACCATTACCTAATAAGCACCACTAAAAATCTACATTGATATGTTTTTAAGGCCCTAGAAAATCTCCCAGAGGCACGTTTGCTAAGCAAGACAAGGCTGACCTTTTAGACAATGATTTCACCGAGCCTGTAGAACGATCAGTCCTGAAACGGAAAGTGACATTCAATGGCATCAAAGGTTCTCCTCCAAAAATATCGTGTGATAGTGATGAAGAAGATCTGTTTCTAGACATCAGACCACTGGAAGACCATTCTGAAGGAAAAAACAGACATCTATCACCGTTCCGGAGGATACAAGGCTTCACTGGGACTTCTGCTATGAAATACAGCACCACAGAGTAAGTAGCAGCATCATGTCACAGGGTTATAGGAATCTTATTTGATACTGAGCCAGGCTATGGACTCATCTAACTCAGTACTGAGCCACAGCCCCACCCAAAACCTTATGTGTGGCCATTGGCATGACACTTGGGCTTGTCACTTAAAAAGCCACACATGGTAGCTTCCTTGTCCCAGGGACCATAGTGTGGCCAACAGATGATCAGGTACATCATGGCTCCTCTCCACTTGGTCTTCCTGCAGATATCCCGAGAAATACTGCAGGAGAATCAAGGTCCTCTGCTCCTCCTCCATGGACATGGCATTTCTAGCTCACCACAGCTGGGAAAAAACAGGTTTTGGTGAACACAGAAATAGTCTGGAGCCCTCCTTTGCAAACCTAATGGGGGCATCATGTCCATGATTCCCCCTTGGTAATTAGTTTAATGGTCTCTTTTGTGCAAAAAAAGTGCTCTTGCACGCTCACACTTGCCAAACTGTTCTGTTCAAATGTGGCAGGTAGGATTCAAAAGCAGGAGCCTCTGTGCTAGCTACTCTCTAGGATAGTTGGCTGCTGGCCAACATCTGTAGTTCCCCACCCTCTTCAGTGCCTAGCACAGGCTGCAGGCAAGTATTCTCCCCTCCCTACATTCATTCATTTAAAATTTTTCTATACTGTGCCTATAGCCAGTCAACTCTGGACAGTTTACAAACATTTGAAATATAAAACAAAACCCAACATCATAATAAGATAAAATCAAGAATGACTGCAGTCATGATCAATAAAAATGAAATACATAACCAATAACAGAAAAGAGCAGAATATGAAATCAATAACAAGTAAAATAAGTGACAGTGCCACAAAAAAATAAAATATAAAATTTCAACAATTAAAATACTGAGAAAATAAAAAGGGGTTAGCCTGGTGCCGAAAGGTGTAGAGCGTTGGCACCAGGCACACCTCTCTAGGGAGCTGGATCCACAAACGGTGCCACAGCTGCTTGTATCCTTTACAGGTAGCTCCTGGATGGTCATCACCTGATGATGACCTTAGGGTCCAGGCAGGCATGTATGGGAGATGTTCCATTAGCTGTCCAGATCTTAAACCATTTGGGGCTTTATATATCACTGTAAGCACCGTAAAGTGCATTACAGTAGTCCAAACAAGCGGTTACTAGGGCGTGGATCACTGTTGCCAGGTTCTGCCTGTCCAGATAGGCACAAAGTTGATAAATCAGCCAACTCCTGGCCACAGAACTCACCTGGTATGGCAGGGACAGTTCTGGGTCCACAAGCACCCCTATGTTCTGAACTCTATCCTTTGGGCGAGTCCAACCCTGCCATGACAGGGTTGATATCATCCATCTGGACAGAGGACCCAACTACCAACAGCATCTCTATCTTGTCTGGGTTAAGCGTCAATGTATTAGCCTTCTTCCAGTCCATCACTTCGACACTGGTTTAGCACAGTCACAGCCACACCTGGTTCAGATGAAAAAGAGGTAGAACTAAGTGTCATCAACATACTGATGACACTTCAACCCAAACCTCCCGATGACCTCTCCCAGGGGTTTCATGTAGATGTTGGACAGCATGGGGGATAATATGGAACCCTGCAGTACTGTGTGGCATAATAGCCATGGTAAAGAGCCAAAGTCCCTCAGCACTACCTTCTGGAATCACACTGCCAAGTAGAAGCAGAACCACTGCATAAGCAGTGCCTCTAACTCCCAACCTGGCCAGCCTATCCAGAAGGATACCATGGCCAATGGTTTCAAAAGGCACTCAGAAGTCCAGCAATGACTTGTCAAATTTGACAGGTCAGGAGTGAGCAGTTTCTTGAACAGCTATAGTATGCTTTGTGGAAATGGGCTCTTCCCACTCTGTTCCATGGAGGGAAATCTGGCGTCCCTAGATGCTCCACCATTTTGCAACTGTTTCCCCCACTGCAGCCATGGTAGGAACCTGCAAAACTGTAAGACGTATCCTTGGTGACAGGAGGAAGGGATTCATTTGGCTTTTGTCAAACATGCCTACCTTGCCTCCCCCAGTTCCCCCTAAGTTGCTGCTTCCCATGGTGCAGGGAAGGGACACTTGGAATTTTAATCCCCCTGCAAGAAACTGGGCTTCCTGCTCAGAAGGGATAGAATGGAGGAGGTGTCCCCCCAGTATATTTGTGGCTTTGTTTTTCATTTTTAGGGGTGCAGTTGACCTCTCTGCATTTTTCACACTTGGAAAAGTAAAGGTTGCTTGATGCAATGTGAGCCCTCTTTTTTAAAAAATGCTGCTGAAGGTGCTTTCCAAATCTTCTTTCTCAGATTTTCAACCATCTGCACACTGGATTTTATGAGGTGCTACAATGTTGCCTTTTGGAATATACATTTTGTATGTCCCAGCCAGGCTTTTAGGAGCAGTTTGTCATCTACCACAAGGGACTACTGTTTTAAAGAGGGGGTTAAAAAGTCAAACTTTCACTGGAGATCCCAAAGTGATCCTTACCTTCCTTGATAGTTTTCAGTGACCATAAAATGCTCCTTCCTCTTCTTTATATTATATACAGCAGTGGTTCTCAACCTTTCCTTCACCATGAACCCCCTTTAAATACCTTTTGTGGCTGCAGACCACCACACTGACAATGTCTGAAGCTTGGCTTTCTTTGCCCTGCAGTCGTTGATTGTCTGTGCAATAGCAAGAAATGTCATGTGCTTTCTCTCTGGCACTCAGCATCATTCACTTGCATGTGCAGAAATACCAAACGCAGCTATTTGCCACCAGCTACTCTCATAGCCAATTTATACCTCTGATTGTTTTTAATTGAGGCAATATGTTAAAAAAGCAACTTTTTACAAAACAAGCATGGAAAATTAAGATTTTGTTCCATTTCCCATTCCCTTTTGTTTTCATTCATTCACTCATTGGTTCATTCAGATTTAACTGCAAAAAAAAAAAAATTCTTCAAGACTTTGCGGGCCCCCTGTGATGATATCATGCCCTCCCTGGGGTCTGTAGACTCCAGGTTGAGAACCACTGATATACAGCATACATTGGGGAGTTAGACATGAAAATGTTATCCATGAAGCATTTTCCTTGCATTATCTAATACAATTTGGAGCAATTTCTTGAGTAGGACTTAGAAGATGAATAAGATATGAATGGAAAACTAAGAAGGTTGACACTATAATCTTATTCATGTCTACTCAGTTGGAATATTTAGGATGGCATCCATGGATGAACCACAGCAAAAATGCAAACCTGATCAATGTGCCATCCAAGGAAAACAGAAAAACCTGTATCACTCTTTCTCTGTAGCTTAGATGAAGGACATGAATCGGAAACCAAGAGCCCAGCACTGACTCCACGTTTACGCAGGAAATGTGCAGAGGTGACTGCTACTCGCATTGCAAAACAGCTTTGGTGAGAATGTCTTTTTTGTGGAAAAGTTTTCCTGCAGGCAACTCATAGCTCAAGGATTCCATGTTTGTGAAATACATATGAAATGATCCTATGACCACTGAATAAGCACCATGGGAACAGGCTTTTGGTCTTACCCTTTGGGCTTTTCTTAGGTGTATGCAATGTTAGCGTCTTACAAGAAAAGTAGATGACGGCAGCAATGATTATAATAATAGTACTATAATATCTCTCTACCCACATCTCATTTATTATAATAATGGGAATTACACATAGTATTGGGACTGTTAAGAATGCTGTAAGTACTTAGGTAGTTTCCCATTTCCCATGAAATGTGCTTTATTGTTACAGGCCCTTGGATCTTGTGAACAGACTTTTTTAACCAGCTTATAAAAATCACGTAATCGTGATAAATGTAGCATTCTTTACTATTTTAATTTTTGAGTAGGTAATACAGTTTATCCAAGAATTTACCGTGATTAAAAAGTAAAAGATGGGTTTGATCCATTTCCTTCCTTTAGTGTATTAAATGAAGCTGGAGAGAAGGACAAGGAAGAGAATTACTTTCCTTTCCTAGAAGGTTCTGATTGCAGTAGCAGTGATGAAGAAGACACTGAGGTGCTTTGTACACCTAAGAAGCAAGTGAGGTCCACTCCAAAACTGTCAAGAAAACCATCTGATAGGAAACCTGCCAAGAATCCAAGCAAAACTGTAAGATCTGTTGCAAGGTTTTCAGCAATTTTTGATCTGCAATTATTCGGGCCAATTGTACATAGATAAACAAACTGTCCTGTTTAGAAGTTTTGGAAATTCAAAACTACAATAAAAGGTAATAACTAAGAACCATCTGAGAAGAAAAGTTGGTAGCCACCTGGAGCTGTATGGATGACATCCAAACTTTTAAGTATCATTCTCTTCATCTCTTTGCTCTGTCTTTGTTCTTTGGGTCTCTTTATTAGGGAAAAATAAGATCATCTTCATTTTCCTAGGCTGTACGTCGCTAATTTGGTGTTCCCAATAGAGATAGCTTAAAACTTCTTCTTAGTTTTTTTTCCTCTCACCCAAGCCCTGTGCTGAAACCTAGAATAGTGATAATTATTAATTACTACAGACAGTTAGTGTATTGCAGCACAAATAAAAGGTCTTGTGGCACCTTTGGTACTGTCAGTGCATGTCAACTCAGAAGTACAGCGGTGTCTCAGACTCTGAACTTAATTCATTTCAGTAGATCATTTGAACTGTGAATCGTTCAAAGTTTAAAGCAATTTTCCCAATTTCAAATACTGAAAACTGAATTAATATGTTCCCAAACCCTAAGCAATACCCATTTCAGTAAACTTAAACAGCAGATACAGACTCCTGTAACTAACTAATTTCGAGGTTATATACAAGGTATGATTTAAAAAATACGGTGAGTGTTTAAGAAAAAAAATGACAGTAAAAGACACATTGCCATTAATCCCCTCGCTTTGAACACAGTTCCCCAGTGCTATTGTGGCTGCCTTGATGTCCTGAATCAGTTCAAGACAAGACAAGATCAGCTGAGTCAAGATGAAACAAATCCATTCAGCACATCGAGGCTTTTTTCCGACTTGGGTGTACAACCAATGACGTTTTCACTGCAACTGCATTTTTTCACTTTGTTCGCAGATCAAACTTAGAAGTTTTGTTCAAACTGCGGAGTGATTTTTATCTTAATTCTAATGTTCAAACTTTGGATCATTCAAAGTTAGAGTTGGTCAAACTATGGGGCACCTCTGTAATCACTGAATTCAATGGGAATTACTACCACATAAGTTTGGATAAGATTGCAGTCTAATATATTTATCTGACATAGAATGTAATGCTTATGTCAAAATAAACTTATTCTTCTTTACATTGGTTTTACTACTTTTATCATTTTTGTGATAAAACTACTTTTTAAGACATTCAAATGTAAGAACAGAGAAAAAATTGAGTACTTAAAACAATTTAAAAAACGTGTCCAAATTTAGAAACGAGGTGTGTGTGTGTGTGTGTGTGTGTGTGTTCCAGTCTGAGCAGCTTACTTTCTGCAAATATGACAGACAAGGACTTGGGCAGGCATCAGAAAGAAAGCCTAATCTCAGCTTACATTTGGAGATGTATTTTGTCCCAGTTGGACAGGTCTCTTATATTCTCAAGCCACTTTTTGATAGACCATACCTCTTGCTTTTCCTTGTAGCTACATCTGAAGTTGAACAGCATAAAACTTTCACATTTCTCTACTGTTTTGTGGGATCTTGATATTTTAAAAGGTTTTTACAGATTTTTGACACTAATTTTTATTCAGTACAGTGCAAAATGTGTAGCACTCATTTTTATGGATATGATTTTTCTTTGCAGACTGAGCCAAGAATTCCCCAGACTCCACGTAATGCTACCCCAAGAATTCGCAGACGAACTCAAATTGCAGAGAACCCAGCTAATGCACTTGAAGAGGCTAGAATTAGGTAAAGTGGGTGGGGATCCTGATTTTTAATAAAAAAGGAGAAAGAACCCTACATTTAAGGAACTCAGAATAACTCCCTGTGGGTTGTGTGTAAAGTATTTATAAAACCTAGCCATAATGCTATAGCATCTTTAAAAGGATGCATATTTAATATCATATTTTTCTTGGTTTCCAAAGTTAAAAAATTGGAAATTTAACTTTGGTGTGTTTGAGCTTAATGTGTTCCCCCCTTAGGGCACAAGTACTTTAAAAACAATTTTTTATAATAGGACTGAGTAATGTGTGTTCCTTTGGCCCACAACTCCCTCACCCTTCACCACAAGGTCGGGCTGATGGGACTTGTGAACCAAAATATTTGAAGGACACGGATTTCCTAGTCCATCTGTATTAGAATACTTCTTACGCATAGCATTATCTGTTTTGTGTCAAGTGGCTTGATTAGAAAAGGATCTTGAATATTTCTGTAAGCAATAGTTCCTCTTGATATGCTTTAATCAAAGGTTACACGTGTCTGCTGTCCCACAGTCCTTGCCCTGTCGTGAAAAGGAATTCCAGGATATCTATAGCTTTATAGAAAGCAAACTCATTGATGGAAATGGTGGGTGAGTATTTTCCAAATCAGGTTTTTTTTTAAGCTAAATAAGAGGTTTAACAACTTTCTGTACATATACAAGGAGGAGAACATCCATATCATATGTAATGATGATGGGAGGAAGTGGATTTATTTTGCTAAAATGTGATATCTGGGGGGTTTTTGTTGTATTAAGTTTTGAGGCTGTAGCCATGCCATATGCTTCTCATATTTGTGCAGGTTTTGTCTTTATACTTTTAGCAGATGTTAAAAAACATCTTTCAGACTTCTTCAACAGCCTTAACTAATGCTCAGGAAGAAGAAATATGGTGGTAAATACAGCATGCGATTTGCGTGCAAGAAAAGAAAAATCCATTTTCAATCCTTGGCATCTTTTTAAGGATCCAGTATAAGTAGAAGGACAAATAAACTTACCTGGTCTTAGGCAGGTTCCTATAAGAAGTGGATAACTCAAAAGTTTATTTTTATGAATCACACACGGAAGTAAGCACTACTTCCTTCATACTAATATATATACCACATTGGCTGTCTTGCTTTTCAGGTGTATGTACATTTCTGGAGTTCCTGGAACAGGCAAAACAGCAACAGTCCATGAGGCCATTCGTTCTCTCCAGCAGGCAGCAGAAAAAGATGAGTTACCATCTTTCCAGTTTATAGAGATTAATGGCATGAAGTTGACTGATCCCCACCAAGCATATGTACAGATCTTAAAGGTGAGCAGATGTGTTTTAAGGCTTCTTGCTTTGAAAAGTATTGGGTCAGGCTCTTGGGTTTATCTGAATAAATGGCCTAAAATTGTTCTAACTGATAGGTTATATGCTTTCTGACCTTGTAGGTAGGAACAGATGACCAAGCTTTCCCATTAAGAATGTGCTTAGATAAGTGCTAACTATATAATTCACTAGATACAACTAGAGAGAAAAATACCCACTTCATTCTGTCACTATTTGGCAGGTTGCCAGAGCATCACTTCTTATTTACAGCTCATTAAATATGAAATGGCCAAGGAAAGTGGTTCACCAAATGCCTAGAGGTGATCTGGTGTCACTAAAGATTGCATAGGAGTAGATAGGTATGCCTCTGCATCCTTGCTATTACAATGGAATGTTTGAACGTGCATCTAGGGTTTATAATGGTTTGCTTGAAGAAGGAATTTTGCAAGGAAATACATATTCCTATTTTGCACTGCTTCTAGCAGTACTTAAATCATGTGTAAAGGTGGTAGTAGAAGGTGAACTTAGAGGGACAGGGTTCAATCAACATGATAACCCACAGTAAAGGTTGCATATGGATTGACTGCAGGTTGTCATTGCACTGGCCAAGATAAGTCATGTTGAACAACCCATACTTCAAAACCCAACAAGCCATGGTTTTTCTTGATGGGTTGTTCATGGTTAACAAGCCAGGCTTATTAGCACACCTGGGTCCAGACACCACAGTAATTTACATTTTAACAAGCCACAGTTTAATAACAATCCATACATTATCCCATTGTTTGACCCCTATGCATGTACAAGGGGGACCCAAAATAACAGGAATTATCTTCCTCTTGTAGTACAGGATCACTAAATGAGTGTTTTAGGAACCCATCTGTATCAGTGTATCCAGCTGGGTTGTTGTGAGAGGTTGCATTCAGCTTCAGGGAGGATTTTTGGGAGACTTTCAACTCCTTTACCTATTTTGCGATGGCTGATTTACATGAACAATGTGTGACAGTGAAATTTGGTTCAGCTGAGTGTTCAGCAGTTTTTGACCAAAAGTGGTATGACCATTGTGCCCCACCCTCCGTATTCACCCAGTTTTACCCCATCTGTCACTTTTTTTTTTGTTTCCCCGGATGAAAGAAGTCCTCAAAGGAAAATGTTTTGCCGATGTTGAAGAGGTAAAACGAAAAACAGCAGAAGCACCTAAAAGGCATCCAAATTGATGAGTTCAAAACCTGTTTTGACCAGTAGGAAAAACATCTTGATAGGTGTATTGCATGAAATGGAGAGTACATTGAAGATGACTGAAGGATGAACATAAAAAATAAATACACTTTTTATAAATAAATCCCTGGTTTTTGGGGGTCCCATTGACTTATTGCCAGGTTTGTGTGTATAGGATTACAGCCTTTATCTACAGTCCTAGGAAAGTAAGCACTGAACATGTGTAGAAGTCTATTCTTCATAGAGCAGAATCCATTATTGCCTTTCACAAATCTTAATTTGAGTCTCTATTCAATTCTTTTTAGCTGATGACAGGCCAAAAGGCAACTGCTATCCATGCAGCTGCTCTCCTGGAAAAGATGTTCTGCGGGCCAGGATCAAAAAGGAAAACAGTAATACTTGTAGTAGATGAGGTAATTTGGGAATTCTTACAATATTAGAAATAAATTATTTTAGCCTGCCCAGCTTGAGAACTAGGGAAATGCTGAAGGTCTAATGCTCTTGATTTATACTATGAAACTGAAGGACCATTTTTATTTAGAACATTTTTGCCCTGCTCTTCAGCCAAAAAAAGTCACTTAGGTCATCATTTAGTGTGGCTGGAGGATTATTGGCATCCAGTGGAGGGTGAAACAAGTGTGGAGCTGAGCAAAATGGAGAAGAGGATTGCCTCACCACCTCCTTCACCCTCCAAAATGCTGGAACTGGAGGCACCACCAGGATTCCTCATAGGATGATGGTGCTTTGCTTTTCCCCTTCCTGTTCTCCAGAATACCACATACACTTAAGGAAAAGTATAGTTGAAAGCAGCTATCCAAAATCTTTGTACTGTGTTTTGCCTTGCTTTGTAACTTTTTATCCTTTTCTTCTTGACTTAGCTTGATCTCTTGTGGACCCGAAAACAAAATGTGATGTACAATCTCTTTGACTGGCCAACCCAGAAAAATTCCAAGCTGATTGTCTTGGCCATTGCTAACACCATGGATTTGCCAGAGAGAATTATGATGAACAGAGTAACTAGCAGACTGGTATGTCCTTTCAGCTTTATTAACCCTGACTGCTCTTTAGAAGGCCAGATCCTGAAGATGAAACTCAAATACTTTGGCCACCTAATGAGAAGGATGGACTCCCTGGAGAAGACCCTAATGCTGGGAACAATAGATGGCAAAAGAAGAAGGGGACGGCAGAGAATGAGGTGGCTAGATGGAGTCACTGAAGCAGTTGGTGTGAGCTTGAGTGGACTCTGGGGGATAGTGGAAGACAGGAAGGCCTGGAGGAATGTTGTCCATGGGGTCGCGATGGGTCGGACACGACTTCTCAAGTAACAACAATTGTGGTTATACAATTTTATATTGCTTTGTCCCGCCAGCATTTCTTCTGGTGCTCAATGAATCATTCTCATTTATTTGTACCCCCAATCCAAACAAATTTATGGTGTATAAACTTGTAACAGTGGGTCCTTGGTCTCTAGGTGGATTATAACTGGAAATCCTGTTATTGGACTTAGACTGTCCCTTATTAATGGTATGATAAATGTGGCAAATCCTTTGATAATTCGTAATGAACATGCTACTTCAGAATGTGGTATCTAAATGGCAGAAAATCCTGTAGTAATAGTTATGTCAATTGAACCACATTTGTGTGCATTGCATTTTTCTAAGGTTTTATGGTGTTCCAAAAATACAAAACTGCCTTATTCAGAATCATCTAGCCCAATGTCAGCACTGAGTGGCAGCAGTTTTCTGAGATTTCAGGCAGGTATTTTTCCAGCCCAAACTGGAAAAGCTGGAGATTGAACATGGAACATTCTGCATGCCAAGCATGTTCTCTGCCCTACTTACCACTTGGTTAACAGGATTGCAAAACAGGGATACTAGTGGAAAAAAAGAGAGACGGTTTGTAACTGGGTATTTTGCAAGTCATGTTAATGGGAATGAGTGCATCAGCATTCTGCAAAAGTATCAGCATTATTATCACAAGGATAATTCTGAACAAATTGAGTGGCTCACAGGTAACAATGCCTTGGATTATTTGTTGTTGTTAGTGGCGAAGTCACATCCGACCCATCGCTACCCCATGGACAACATTCCTCCAGGCCTTCCTGTCCTCCACCATTCCCCGGAGTCCACTTAAACGCACACTGACTGCTTCGGTGACTCCATCTAGCCACCTCATTCTCTGCCCTCCCCTTCTTTTGCCTTCAATTGTTCCCGCATTAGGGTCTTCTCCGGTGAGTTCTTCCTTCTCATTAGGTGGCCAAAGTATTTGAGTTTTATCTTCAGTATCTGGCCTTCTAAAGAGCAGCCAGGGTTGATCTCCTCTAGGACTGACTGGTTTGATCACCTTGCAGTCCAAGGGACTCGCAGGAGTCTCCTCCAGCACCACAATTCAAAGGCCTCAATTCTTAGGTGCTCAGCCTTCCTTATGGTCCTGCTTTCATAGCCATACATTGCAACTGGGAAAGCCATAGCCTTGACTTATTACTAGAAGTTAAAAAAGTGAAGATCTAATTTCACTGTTTCCAGCTCATGTAAAATGTATTCTGGATAGAGAAAAACCACAAGTTACTAAACTTGCTATGTAGATCTCCATAGGTACAGCCTCTGACTTGTCTATGACTGAATAGAAATGTGTTAAGCTTAGGTTGCAAAACCTTTAGATACTGTGACAGACTGGTACCTCTGGATATATACTTATAATCTGTTCACTTTTGACTCAAATGATTTACATGAAGGCAGAACTTCCTTGTTTTGGGTAGATCTTTGCATACACTTTTGCTATTTACAGTGAGCAGATTGCAATATAGTTTTCAAATTGATTTTATAGCAAGAGAATGTGGTTAAGGTGAAAAACTGCTCCTGCAAGTCTTTAGAGGATTTAGAACAATGTCAAAAATAAATTTTGAAGAATCTCAGTTTGAAATGTGGGACCATAGTTCTTGATGTTAACTAAGGCCTTAAGATACTAGCCACTAACAATTCAGTGTGTTGTATACTCTAGGGTCTCACCAGAATGTCTTTCCAGCCATATACTTACAAAGAGTTACAGCAGATTATCTCAGCCAGAGTGGGTGAGTTGACAGCATTTGAAGAAGATGCCATTCAGCTTGTTTCTCGAAAGGTAATTTCAGTATACCAATAACCCTGCTTTTCTGCTTGAAAATCTGGGGATAATTAATACTGCTCTTAAGAAATGGAATGAGATACATTTAAACATTCTGACTGCTGAACTAAATGCATATTGGAGCTAGTGCACCTAATCCCATAACTGAATTTACAGAACAATCCTATGGCCCTTTGAGAGCCATAGAATTGCTCAGGTTTCCAGCTCCAGGGCTAGCAAATCACTCAGAACTTGGGATCTGTGCACAAATCTCTCTCCTCTCCTCACATCCAACTTGGAAAGAACTATTCTGGGTACTTCTCCAAGGGTACAAAAGTGGCCTTGGAGAAGGGACTTAGACATTCTGAGGGGAGGAGACGGGCACCCTAAGATATGAGATGCTCTGGTAGCCTCCTTCATTTATACTCTGAAACTCCACGGTTGGACAGCAAAAACTGGCCACCTAGCTGTTTGCAGAACTGAAAGAGTGGGGAGGTGACATTGCCAAGGGAATCCACACCTTTCAATTGTTAACAACAGTAACAGGAATGTGGGAAGGCCAAGTTAACAAAGATGAGAGGGAAAGTTTCTTAGACTGTAAGAAACATGGTATATTAAAATGTATGTTATTCTTTCTGTATATTGCAATATGGGAAACATTTTCCTTTTCAAATCAATTTGTTTTAGGTAGCAGCTTTATCTGGAGATGCAAGACGTTGCCTTGACATCTGCAGAAGAGCCACGGAGATCTGTGAACTTGCTAGTCAGAAGAGCAGCCCTGGATTGGTCAGCACGTTACATGTTATAGAAGCCATGGATGAAATGTTCTCATCTCCTTACATAAATACAATTAGGTAATATAACAGTTTGGCCATGTAGCTCTTTTGCTGAGAGCAAAAGTCTCTTACATTGCTGCAGCCACCTATGATCTTGTATCTCCAGAGGGGCAGGTCACCTGTAGTGTCTGATCATGAGGTAAATCAGATTTGGTGATATATATGTATAAATTTTAAGTAGTTACCATGGCCCAAACACAGTCTTATAAACTTTAATGCAGTAAAACCAATGGCGGTAAACAACAGAGATTCAGTCATGCAGTTCGGGCAAAGTGAAACCATGGTTTGTGCTAACTATAGTTAAGAACCATACTATAGTTTGAGTTTCCATGTGAACAACACATAGATCATGGTTTAGAAATGCTTTCCTCTTTCTCCCCCAGCCCTTCTTTGCTTGGTTTAGTAAGTTCACTCCTGTCTATGGTTAGACAGCCTCTTAAGAGCACCTCCTATTTCATATAGTGCAGTAGTTTCTTAAAGCAGAGGAATAGCTCTGTGTTCATTCAATGAATTGTAAATTCATGCATAACAGAACATTACAGTTAGGACAAGCTGTGATTTGTAAACCAGCTTCAAACTGTGGTTTCAGATCATGCTTTATTAATGCTGTATGTTCAGGTAGTACTGTTTGCTTTTACAATTCAATTTTATTCTGTCTCCGGCCTTTATTATCCTATAAACCTATAGTTATTTAGTCATTCTATGCTTATAAATTTTAGAAGGAAATATACTTTTATCAAAAGTCTATTGAATCAAATCCCATTCTCTATGCAGCAAAATTGTATGTTCAGCTAATGAAACATGGTATTTTCTTGTTTTTAGGAATGCTTCACTACAGGAACAAATTTTCTTGAAAGCCACTATTGCAGAATTTCGCAGGTTAGGACTGGAAGAGGCAACAGTTCAGCAGGTAATATTAAAAATAATGAATGCTAAATTTGTTCAGCCTTTTAGCTCATCCAGAAGGCTGTAGCTGTATTCAAAGCATGCAAATACTTAGGGTCAGTGCAGTGCGATCGATTTAACATCTAGGTCACAATTCACAGAAATGCATGGACTAAATGTTCCATGAGCTTCAATTTTTTCTAGCCAGTTTAGCAGCTAACCTACTTAATCTATTTTTAACACATTGAAAGCAAGTCCATTTGCTGTATCATAACTAATAATAAAACAGCTCGGATAAACTTTCCATTTGTGTATGCTCAATGGAGGAAACATTTGAAAATCTCTATCATTTTCAGAATACATTATACACAGTATTACAAAAATATAAACCATTAGTTCAAGTACTTTTGCAAGGCAGTGAGGAGGTTTACTTATTCCTTTTGATGCTTGTTCTGATCTTATTGACTAGTAGAATTCTTGTTTATTTGTTTAGATATTTCATCAGCATGTTGCACTATGTAGAATTGAAGGCCTGCAAACTCCTACCATATCAGACATAATGGCAATTTCGTCACGGCTTGGTACGTGCAGACTTTTGTTACTAGAGTCTAGCAGTAAATATCTACATATGCGAATTCGACTTAATGTTAGCCAAGATGATGTCATGTATGCACTCAAAGAAGAATAAAGCAACAGAATTTCTGCCATATGTATATGGGGCTTTATGCAAAATTTTAAAGAGACTTTAAAATAATGATGCTGATTGTTTTTAAATTGATTTCAGCTTTCTTTTAATGTACTTTTGTACTTTAACATTTACAATTATACTATAAAATAAATATTATTGTTCATAATGGCTCCATTTATTCACTTGTTTCAATTTTCTAAGCTGAATTTCAACTTGGCCTTGCTGATTAGAAGCTTCAACACAGGCTCATGCTGCCCCTTGTATCTATGATGCAGCACCCTAAACCCCTGTGACATCCAAATTGGCAAATCATGTTTTGGAATTTGTTTGTTTGTTTGTTTGTTTAAAGCTTTTATAACCCCATCCACCATTTGACATCCCAGGACAGCTTACAACAAAGAACAATAAAACAGCAAAACAATACAGCATCCAGCAATTAAGATAAGCCCCAGTTAAAACAAACTAAACATTAAAATAGTAGGAAAATAAAAAAGTTTTCATCTGACGCCAAAAAGAATAAACCATTGGCACTGGGCAAACCTCTCTGGGGAGCATATTCCACAGATGGGCACCACTGCAGAGAAGGCCCTTCTCTGGGTAGCCACTCTCCTAATCTCCAAGGAGGGCTCCCGGAGCAGGGCCTCCACCTCAGATCTCAAGGGTGGGGAGGGCACATATGGAAGAAGGCACTCTTTCAGGTATCCAGGACCCAAGCCTTTAAGGGTTTTATAGGTTACCACCAGCACCTTAAATTGGGCCTGGACTTCAATTGGCAGCCAGTGTAATTCATAGAGGACCATGTTATATGTGAGTACCTGCCAGTCCCCATTACACAGGCACCTTGGCTCATGAACTTAATCCGTTCCAGGACTCTAGTCATGACCCAAATTGGTTGTGAGCCAAGTTAAATTTCCCAATAAGTTTCATTGTAAATGAGGTTAATCTGTTCTGTAACTATTTTTTTAATCAGAAAAATGTGAAGCAAAGTGACAAGAACAAAGATTGCAGCCATCTCTCTCCCCACCCCAAGCATGAGCGCTGCCATCTTCCACTCCCCCCCCCCCGCAGCATGACTGCGATCGTGCCCATCATCCCTGCATGCGCCCATTATCCCAGCGCACTGTGGGGGGGAGAGACGAGTGCGATCATGGGCGTGATTGGGGGGGAGACAGGCACGATCGGGGGTGTGCTGGGAGAAGAGATGGGCATGAACACAGGTGTGCTGGGGGAGACAGGTGCGATCGTGCTAGGGGGGAGATGGCCGAGATCAAGGTTGTGCTTGTGCAGGAAAGACAGGTGTGATCTTGGCCATCTCCCCACCACCCCCAGCACGATCGCGGCCATCTCCCCACTCGGGGGGTGGGGAGATGGCTGCGATCGCAGTTGCCACCCAATGTGGAGTTCGCAATCTGAGTAAAAATGCTTATGAAAGTTTTGTTTGCGACCTGATCTGGTTGTGAACTGAGGCATTTGTGAGCCGAGGTACCACTGTAATATCTTGGCAGCTCTATTCTGGACCAGTTGAAGTATCTGGACTGTCTCCAAGGGCAGCCCCACATAGCGTGTTACGCTAATCTAATCAGGAAGTTACCAGAGCATGAGTTGCTAGCCATTGCTCATTCAGGTAAGGGTGCAGTTGATAGATAAGCTGAAGGAAAGCACTCCTCACCACCACTGCCACCTCAGACTCCAGGGACATCTCTGGATTGAGGAGCACTCCCAAACTGTGCCCCCTATTCTTTAGGGGGAGTCCAACCCTGTCTAGGACAGAGTTAAAATCACTTACCTGGAAGGCAGAACCACCCACCAACAGGACCTCCATCTTGTCTGGATTAAGTCTCAATTTATTGGCCCTCATTCACCCCATGACCCCAGCCAGGTACCGGTTAAGGACAGTCACTGCCTCACCTGGACTAGATGTAAAAGAGAGGTAGAGCTGGGTACTAATGACTCTGCAGCCCACACCCAGATGACCTCTTCCAGTGGTTTCATGTAGAAGTTAAAAAGCATGGGGGAATAGAATGGAACCCTGCGGAACTCCACGGCAAAGCTGCCATGGCACAGAACCATAATCCCCCAGCAGCACCTTCTGGAAATGGCAAGACAGGTAGGAGTGGAACCACTGCAAAATGGTGCCTCCCAACTCCCAATCTGGCCAGCCTATCCATAAGGATAACAAGGTTGATGGTATCGAAAGCCACTGAGAGGTCCAGGAGAACCGGTTTGGTTAAAGCCAAGATGCTAAAATAAGCTTGCCAGTTCAAATATAAGAGCAAACTTTGATGAAAAACAAGTGGAATGAGGTAGCAAGCAAGTCCTTGGGTGCTTCCATCCTTTGAAAAATGCAGCTGTATAAAACAAAAGGATGCTATGCAGAATTCGGTAACATCAAAAATACTACAGTTGCAGTAAGTTTTTAAAAATCCTGAATTTCTGACTTCACTACTGCTGCTCAGTAGTAAAAACTAAGCCTGGGATTTTTTTTAAAGCCCACCTGTTGCTGAAAAAAACCACAACTCAGGCACTAGTTGTGATTTGGACTCTACAGTTACTCTAGTCCCATTAACAGAGCCATCCAGAGCACCATCTATTCCAGTTTTGATGCATGAGTTTCAGTTACAGATGCATGCAGATGAGGACAAGGTGTTCGGTCAGGTTCAACCTACCATTGATATGCTCAACCCTTGCCCAGTGCCTTTTTGGTCATTGTACCCATCTTTGGAACATGCTCCCCTGAGAAATAGGCCTAGTGCCTTCTTTTTCTTTCCAGCACCAGGTGAAAACCTGCTTATTTACCAGACATTTTAAGAACTGAATCATACACACACACATTTTTTACTATTGTTTTATTGTACTGCTGTTCCAGTGATTAATTTATCAGGCTGCTGTGGTTGTTTCCCCTTGGGGTTTTTTAGTATCGTTAATGTTTGATTTTACTGCATTGTATTGTTGTATGGTAGGTAATTTATTGTTGTGTATCAGTTTTTATTGTTGAATATTTGTTTTTGATGTGTAAACCACCCAGAGAGCCTTGTGGGCTATGGGAGTGGTATAAAAATGTAGTAACAAATAAAGCACTAAAAGACCCTTTGGAAAAGGAATTCCACAATTGAAGAGCTACTATTGAAAAGGGTTTTCTGGTCTGGAATGAGTCTTAATTGATCAGGCTGCATTCAGTCAGATATAATACACAAAATTCTGATACAGATCATCCATTCCATCACCTGGATTTGAGGAAAAGGAAAGCCAGATCTGAGTATTATCAGAGTATTGGTAACCCAGCCCATCTCAGTGACTGATCTCTTCCAACAGTTTGTTATACAAAGAGCTGCAAAAATTCTTCTCAAGTTAAATAACCAAGACTACCAACAGTGAGGCATTTACTTCATTTATTGCAATAGACAGCAAGAGCCCACTCTATCAGAATCTCTCCAAAGAACAAACACACAAAACAGCTCCTTTTATACCCCTCAACCCATCCGCCACAGTCCTCCCCTTTTCCCTCATTGGGTAAGGTACAAGGAGGTTACAGTCTTTCCATCCTATTTCACATCCCCATCTCATCCCACTACATACATCTACATACATCACATGTGCATTATCAAGGTGTGTGAGTTAATATTCATCAACCTATTACACCTGCATGCTTATAAGTTCATTCTCCGTAGTTCACCTTGCCCTATGACCCCCTTTCTCATAAAACTACTAGGAGGATGAGATAGGAAGTAGCACACTTTCTTTCAAGTCATCATTATCTTCTCTCCCCTCCGCATTCTTTCAGACAGGCTTCATGGCTTGGTTGTTTTCCTCTCTGTTTCTCAATCACAGTTTCTTCAAGTTTAAAGTAGATATTGAATGGCATGGAGAGGGGAGCTCTGTACAACTTGCAAAGAACAACAAACAATCCCCCAACACTATTACATAGAGTTGACCAAGTAAGAGTCAGACTCCAGCAATACAGTTCATCCAGGCAGCCCACCCTGAAGAATAATATAGTCAGTAGTATGAAAAGCTAACAGGTGCAAGAAAATCAACATAGCCACACTCTCTCACCCATCTCTCAGCAAAGGTCATCTAACAGGGTGGCTAATGGCACGACCTTTGTATGTTTAAACAGAAAAATCCCAGCATTCTACTTGGGGAATGCTGGAAATTGTAGGATTTTTTTTTGGTCCAAACTTGCACAGGACTTGCTTAAGCTCTGTTCCAAAACCAGGCCTGAAAGGAATGTATTCAAGCTGGTGGGCTACTCCTATCAATCACAGCCAGTACGCCTAGTAGAGATGTTGCGACTTTGGAGTGCAAAACAGTTTGCTAATCCCTGTTTGAGTAAAGGGGCTTGATCCCGAAAAGCCTGGAGCTGGCTTACTACAATCGTTATAGACAGACATTTACCATATCCCATTGCACTCAATGAACAGAAATGGCGGGCACCTGACACCGACTTAGTTATCGAGGTTCTTGAACACCCTAGACGTTTTATTCTACCAACACTTCTTAAGAAAACGAGGTACTATTCACACGCTGTTACGAAATGAGATGAGAGAGAAAAGAACATTTCAGAAAGGGCCAGTAATGTTTTAAACGGGGCATTTAAAAATACCGATGTATCTGGTTGCATTAGCAGAGGTACGAGAAAGGCCGTTCCGCCAGAGCACCGCCGGCACCGACACGAGCGCGTTGCCTGACCTCACACGTTTCGCTCAAGCGGGCTTCCGTCCGCCTTTCAGCCAATTGACGGGCCGTCGCGCGCTCGTGGCTCCACCCACTTCAGCCTTCCTCTCCCCCCCCCCGTTTAAGCAAGTAAATACGCGCGCCTGCGCGTTGCGAGGCCCCTTGATGCAGCACCCGCCTGAGGAAAAAAATGTGTGTGGTTTTCCTGGGATGAGGCCGCCGTTCCTCGGCTGCTGCGTTGTGGTCCGCGGGTTGCGGCAATAGGTGAGCTCGTGCCTTCGGGCACCGCCCGTCTTAGCTGGTGGGCGGGATACCTGGGTAGGCCCTTCGTTCGCCCAGAGCCTGAGCAGGAGGTGGGCACTCGCTGGGGCTCCCCTTCTTCCTTCTGCACCTCCTCTCCTGTAGGAAGGTTTGTTGTTAACCCGGAACATAACCCAGCTCCTTTCTGTTTCCACCCTTCCCCGGCAGGATAGAGCCCTAGCAGGCGGCTGGCAGTGTGTGTGGGGCGGGGTGATCATTGGCTGACTGCTGACCGTTTTTTGTTAGACCCTAACGTGTGTCGATTCATACGTGTATGCACATTCCTGGCAGCGCAGCCGACTCGTGTGAACTGCCTTCATGGAAGTACCTTATGTTCAGCTGATGGAAAAGCGCCTTCTGTTGCATGGGGGCGTCTCTAATGACTCCTTCATAACATGCAAGTCATCTTGTAGTCGCTGGATGATAGAAAACCATTCTGGTGCCTTATGAGTTCATTGTAGTTGGAGAAGAGGAGACATCTAGGTTTGCTGAGCCCAACTAGTGCCCCATAAAGATAGTTGCTCAGGGGAACAGGAAGTAAGCGGCTGTCATCTTTGAGTGGCAGGTGTAGAACTAGGGTGAGTCTTGGAGCTGAACTTGAATGCTGTGCTCATTGAAGTAAACATATAGGGTATTCCTTCCTGGGTGGGGGGGATGGCATGTCTTTGCATAAACACCAAGGCATATCCATAAATCTGAATAGGCAATTTAAAAAAAACTGGATATGCTGGGGCTACAAAAGTGTTTTCTACTGATGTATTCTTTCCTTCCATCTTTCCAAAACTGGCATTATTCTGGTGGCAGGATTCCCAGGTAGGTTTTTAGAATGTTCTGAATTGCAGGGTACAGGTCTATTTCATTTTATGAAGTGTTGTGTGGTCATAATCTAAAAAGCAGTGGTGATTTAATTTCACCTCTAGTAGGATATAGGGTACTGTAAGCAGTATGTTTCTTGCTCTTCCACTTGTATTGCGTTGTATTGTTTTTTACACATTGTTGTAAACTTCCCAGAGAGCTTTAGCTATGCAGTGATGTGCAAATAAAATAAGAATAATAAAATAATAATTGTGCTGTGGCAATAAGAACTGAAGGAGGGGAGGCCTAAAGTGAAAGCCCATAACACAAGATGGCAATATATTGTTACTCCTTTTACTTGTTTTCCAGTCAGGTTGCTTTGAATGCTCCAATTGGCAATGTCTGCATGCTGTTCCAGTCTGTTTATATCTGGATATCATTGTAGGTAACTTTTGTGGACTCAGCAAATCATTTGTGGTGTTCATTGATGAGCCAATATGCTTGGCAGAAGACCTAGGAAAAGCCCCCAGGTGAAGGGTCAGGCAGCGGCAAAGCAGGTATTCATGTTCTGTCAACCTTTTGTGTACTAGACCTGCCCATCTGGTTCATGCAACTTTTCTGCTGTGTTAATACGATTCAAAGACATTGTGGTGTACTTAGTGCCTCAAGTAATTTTAGAGAAATGATGCCTCCTACCTGCTTATTTTGATAACCAGTCAGAAGTACACCTGCAGATTTTGCTCCAGGAGGAATTGAATTCCAAGTTCCATGCATCTAACAAGGTTGACTTCTTTAAATTAACAATATTGTTAGATCCTACCCAGGCACCTCTTACAAAAAGTTTGTGCTCTGCAAGGTGCTGTATTTTTTAAATCTGTGAGTCATTGCCTTATTAGCACCTTAGGTTCCTGTCAGAATTTTCTACCAACTTTTGGATGCCAGAAAAACTTGTGATAATTTGTTCACTAATTTAGAGGAAAGGTAGGAGCGAAGAAGTCAGAATGTTGAAGCTATTTTTTTCTTCTTTGTTTTCAGGTCTTTTTTGTTGCCATAGATTGCACAGGCCTTAAGAAATTGGTGGATCCCATTTCATCAAGTAGATTGCCCTAAGCAATATTTGTAGTCCCGTTCAGTTTCACTTCCATGATTTGTTTCTGAGCACTGACTAGTTTTGCTGCATTCATTCATTCTGTTAAACATCCCCAGCTAAGCTACATGTAACACCCATAGCTGGGTTACCTGTAGCAAAAAGACATCGATGTAGATTGTGAAGGCAATCAGCAACTTACTCGCAACTTTCGTCAGTGTATTACAGAACTAATATCTCCATATATGGGAAACACTGCATGCTGGAAGGGAAGGCAAAATGTTATAAACTTGTTAATGAATCTGGTTTTATAAAAGTGGGAATGGCTGTTTCCATACAGTAAGATCCCTATGAAAGGAAGTCTGTGAGATAAATAAAAGTTCCACATTTCCAATCTAATAGTAAGAGAGGAAAAAGAATTTGACCTCTTCAGAAATGAAAGTTTTACAGTTTGAGTTGGACAACAGAAGTTATGTTGGAGGGTAAAACTGCAAAACAAGGAAACAATCAGAAAATATGGCAATAATAGGCTAAATATGATGGACGCAAATGTAAGCATTGAAATCAGTTTGAACATCCTAATTAACTCTTGAATTCAGTTTAATTGAATTTGCATGGGTTATTTATGCTAAGAGCTGATAAAACTTGTGGTGTTCTTGCTTGAGTTTAAGACACACAGTTTTAAAAGGATGAAACTAAAAGAATGTTAACTTTGCACAATATTTGAGCCAGGCAAGAATATTTAGGTCAACAACTTTATTCTTGATTTGTAAAAGCGTACTGTTCCATGTTCTCCAAAACAGTTCAGGGATTACAGCAGCCTTCCCCAACCGGGTGGCCTTCAGAGGCATTTGGACAGCAACTCCCAGAATTCCCATCTAGCGGGGCCATTGTATGGGAATTTTGGGTGTCGCAGTCCAAACATGTCTGGAAGGCACAAGATTGGGAAATGCTGGTCTATAGGACTCTGTATGTGCTGGTATGCATGTACGTATAAACTTCTTAAGTGAAATTTCCTTGTGCTTACTGGTAGAAGAGAGATAGCAGAAAGCATCTTGTTCTGTTTGTTAATTACTATGATTTTTTGTAGTTTTGATAAGGTGTGCAATATAATTGCATAGCAGCCTTCTGTTGAATTAGTCTTGATATTAAGGAAATGGCTGCATTCCAAATTTAATTCATGAAAATGAGGCTTGGGTGACTGCAGGGACATCAAAAGTTTTTATTATCATTTTTGGTGAACTACAAAGGAATGTCATCCAAATCCTAAAAAGTGATAATCTTAACATTAATGAAGAGAAAACAGATTTATTAACCATGACTTGAGATTGGTTTGTTTCTACTAAGCATAGTTAATGCTTAGTAACTTAGTTAAGCAGTTTGGACACACTAAAATATTTGCCATCTCTGATCTATATGATAACCTTGTTGGGAAAAAGGTGAGGGGAGTATCATCCTGTAGATATTTCTGGATCTTTCAGCAGCTCATGGACTACTGACCTCTGCCATGGCAGCAGAGATGGAAATGAGGGGCACCAGGCCTACTTGGATTGGTACTTGGCAAACATTTCTAAGCATATTAGGGTATTCTTTATGGGCTGGCCTTGTCCTACTTGCGATTCAACAGCCAAATGAAATAACTGAGTAGAATCATGGGGGCAGGAGTTGGAGTATGTTGTCTTCAGTACAATCTGTAAACTAGACTACTCCAGTGCACTCCACATAGGGCTGCCCTTGAAGATTCTTCATAAACTTCAGCTGATACAAAATGAAGCAGCCAGATAATATTAGTTCTGATTTCTTGCATTGGCTGCCTGTATGCTTCCATGCCAATTCAAGGGTTTGTTTAACCTATAAATTCAATTTTTTAAAATTCTGCATCCTGTTGTAATTAAGATGTCTCACAAAAAACCTGGGGCACTCAGATTAAAGCCAGTCCTTAGGTATGAGGTTCATCGGTGTTCTCTGGTCAGTCATTATCTTTCTGCCTAACCTCACAAGGTTGTTGTGGATGTAAAATTGGAGCGGAGAATTGTGTCTACTACCTTGGGATCCTTGGAGAAAAGGATTGAAATGAGCATAGTATATGTTATTCTTAGTGAAATGTGTACATAAACTGTATTGTTTTGACAGCAATATCAGTACAGTCTCCAATTATCTGCTGAATTTTTGCTGGTGTTAAGGAACACAGCTATTTTTAAAATGATTTGGAAGCACAAAATTTACTTAATTTTATATAATCTTGTCATATAATTAGTATTAGGGACTGAATATGGTAACTCCAGCTTGTCAAAATAATGACACCTTTAAAAACTTATTTATTTAAATTTTATTTATTTAAACAACTTACATGCTGCCCCATCGCATGAGCCTCGTGGCGGCTTACAATCATAAAATCCCGCATAAAATACAAAAAAAATCAAATAATTAAAATACATAAAATAAAATAGTGGACACAGCCTGGTCAATTTAAAATCAACAAATAAACCATTAACAGTTAAAATAGTGTTTAAATAAAAAGGTCTTGGCCTGGTGCCGAAAAACAAATAAGGACAAGGAGCGCATTCCATAGGTTGGGCACCACCACAGAGAAAGCCCTCCTCCGAGTACTTGCCCTCCTAATATCCTTCACGGAGGGTTCCCGGAGAAGGGCCTCTGCCGCCGATCTCAGGGGGTGGGAGGGTGTATATGGACACAAGCGCTCCTTTAGGTAACTTGAAGTATAAAACTTTACGTATTGATTTTTTGTGAGCTGGAAATATTTGCATGTATGAAGGCCATGAGGTCTTTTCAGTTTCTTCAGGTCCTAAATTTCAAACCAAACCAAAGAGAGTCAATTTGTTGATTCTGATTCAAATCTGATTCAATTTGTTGCTTGAATCAGAACAAATGAAGACTCTTTGCATTTCTAATGCATCAACATTTACGTAACATGGACTTGGTGGCTGCTGGTATAAGCTTCCTCCTAAGCTTCTTCCTTTTTTTCTCATGGTGTCAGTTGGGGCTCTTTGTAGAATTCAATCCTGAAGAGATGCTATTAGAGCTGGAGGATAATGGGGACCTGGAAGCTGAACTGGCTGCTATCACTGGAGAGTCCTTGCCCACTGGAAAAAACAAACCTAAGGGAAAAGGTAAGCTCATTCACTGGACAAGGTGGATTGTTTATGGAAGAAGAACTTGCATTTAGGGCTGCTATTCTCTACACTTTTAACCTGAGAGGGAATCCCATTAAACTAAATGGAACTTACTTCAACCATAAATGGGCTTGCACTGCACATTTTGTCTTGTTAATTGAGACCAAGAAGGAAAATTTACAATATAATCCTCTGTGCGCCTACTCAGAAATAAGCCCAGTGGAATTCATTAGAACTTACTCCCAGCTAAAGGGTTGTAGGATTGCTGTCTGTATTTCTTGGGCTGCTTTTCTTACGAGATTTTATTTTATTTTATTTCTATAATGATAAAGAGGGTATGGAAGCAACCCTGTTTATTGATGCTAGCAAAAGGAATGAAATGGAGCAGCTCAGAAGGAACATTAGTCAGATGGTAGAACACAACAGTGATGCCAATTTAGGAGAAGATGAGCTAATACAAGTTTAGAACTCATGATTTAGAGCTTAGAAAGATGATGGAAGGAGAATGGACCAGCACTGAGTTGATGGTATTGTGATAGTTCAGCTCAGCCAGTAGGCTAGGAAATAAAGGACTGAGATAAGAATTGAAAGCCACATACGTTAGATAATTTCTTACTGATCCTTGTAGTCCATGTGTAAAACAAAACTAAGATCACTATATCTGAGACTTATGTTAGACTTGAAAAGAAAGAGAGGCCTGGGGCCAGATCCTGCTTTCTTATGAACAGAAAGGCACCTTCCATCTGTGAAATGCTTATAATCTGCTCATCTAATAGGGAAAGAAGTTATTTTCTCTGCTTTCTCCCCTTCCGTGGCAGCCCCTATGACCCCAGATAATCTGCTCTAGAGGACTGGGAAACCCTCCAGAATAGTATGGGAAGTAGCAAGAAGAGGGGGAGAATTGGTAAAAATTTAAACTCCCTGTTTTCATAGGCCATTCATCCTAGTGGAACTCTGAATGCAACCCATGGTCTATAATATGTTTCACATTAAGAGTTCTTTATAAATGATTATCCTCTTCAAAAAAATGCACACAGTTGTTCCACTGCACCCATCCCACTAGTAGTTAAGAAGCTGGAGTTAAGAAGGGCAAAGCAGTCTTCCAGACAGGAATTATAAGAATAACCTAGTAGTAGTCATTTCCAAGATATATTTTGCTATGGCTGCAGGCAGTACAGGTAGCCTGCACTGCTTGAAAAGCACGTCCCTGATGAAAAAGAATTGCGCTGTGCCTCTGGAGGCAGGTTTTAGGTCTGCTGTACTAGCAGATCACTGGCTTACTCAATATGAAAAGCAAATGAGATTGAAAGTATTCTGATGTAGCCCCATTTACTCACAGCAGCAACATTCTGTCAGTGGTATATGTGGCAGTGTTGACTGCATCCAGTGTGAACAAGACTGCATCTGGGTCAGAATAGGGCATCCTTCATTTTCAAGCTCTTACTGGGCGATCATGCTGGCCATTTCTTGGGAAAGCTACAGCACTCAAGCTTCTAGAGCACTCTTCCCTCAACCTGGTGCACACCAAATGTTTTAGATTGCAACTCCCAGCAACCAAAGCGGCTGGTGGGCATTGGGGAAGGGAAGGAAGCTCTTAAGTAAAAACTATTTAATTTGATACTGGTTTAATGTAGGGGTGGGTTGCGGTTTTCCATTGATTTAAATATAATCTCATCTGCTGCATAAATAGTGGAAAAAGTTACTAGTGGAAAATGACTAACAACAGTTTTTAATATTACAAAGAAAAAATAGGCTTCCCTTAGCACTCTTCTTCAGGCATAATAAACATATTTCATTTATATGTTTATACAGCATATTTTTACTTTTTGCCTTTGAGTCAGTAGAAATCAGATATTTGAGGGAGCTACATATATGTGTGAGTTAGAGGCCAATCTTATTCCCTAAGTTGATCTATCATTTTCCATAATATCCCACAGTTGCTATTGAAGGAAGGCAAAACATGACAGAGTATAATATTTGCTATGTAGTGTGTGCCAAGGCAGAAGAACTTATCTATTTGCCACTGTTTGGAGCTTATGCTCAGTGATTTTTTTCTCTGAATGTCAGGGTTTCCTTCCTCAGGATTTTTCCTTTTTGATTTTCACCAGCCCCTTTGCCTATGGACCAAATTGAAAAGATGGCTTCTGAGTGCATGAAGGACCTGAATGAGGAAGATGATGAAGGTCTGGAGGAAGATACCGAACTTTTGGTATATATGGGACTCTGTTGGAAGGTTGTTTTTCAATAGGAAGAGGCATTATCACCTTACAGGGAGGATTCCAAGTGGTTGTATCCAACAATTTTGGAGGCTGGAACATTGACAGGGATTGCAGTATAGTTAATAGTTTAAGTTAATGCTTAAACTTAGGGTACTGTAAAGAGTGGAGGTCACCATCCCTCAGATTGAGCATAAAGTGGGAATGGATGTCTGTAGGAACCAGGTAAGAAGGCACAATCTGCTCATGTGTATGTTTAGTAAGAAATGGTATCATTCTTAAGGCTGGAACTGTGCTACAGATCACTTCTTAGTCAGTGGTATGTAGTAGATTTAGGCTGCAGTCCTATACTGACTTTCCTAGCAATAAGTATCATTGAATGCATTGGGCTTCTGATAACAGGATTGTACTGCAGTTAGACATGGGATAGTTTCCAGCGTTAGTCAAACAAACAGTATATTCTTGGAAGTGAATGGGTTTTAGCTAGCCTTCCATGCATGTGAATGTTGCTTAAGGATGCAGAGGGCCGAAAGGAAACTGAGAACTTCTTAGCAGTATTTCTCTCAGAGCTTCATTTTAGAACTGTTTTCCTAAGGTGAGCATGCCTATTACACACATTTCTCTAACACACCACCCTCTAGAGGTTTTGGACTACAACTCCTTGTATCCCTGTCTACTGGCTGTCCTTTCTGAATCATTTGTAGGGTAAGGTTGGGGGAAACTACCATATTGTATTTTCATATTCTTCAGGACAGGCATGAAAAAGGGAGATGCTAGTGAAATTAATGCAGTGCCATCATCACTGAAAGTCTGGGGCAGATATATCATTTTGATTTGTTTAAAATTGGTATCTTCTCCCACTTGCAACTTTTGGAGCCTACAGATTGAAACTATATCTTCCAAGGAAGGCTTCTATGTAAGAATTTGCACTGAAAGTATAAAATTATGCAGGAGCAATCCCATCAGTTTCACTGAGGCATGAACTCTATGATTGTATGTAAGGTTGGTGTTTATTTGCTTGACAGGCTGTGAAGTCCTTCACATAATGGTGTATTATGTATTAGAATAGCACAATTACTTAATTGTCAAGAATACATTATAGATCCTTAAAAGATGTGGTTTAGCTGAAAGTTCAGTGTGTGAGAAGGTGACTTAAGAACAGGTTTCTCACTCCTAAAAGACACACCTCAGAGTCAGATTGGTATTACTTTTCTGCGAATTCACATTAGGTAATACTTGGAATATTGCATGATGAGCACACAATTCTTTCATGGAGGAACAACTTTCTGTCTCTGATAAGACAGTTCCTCCATCCATGTATAATGCTTGGTTAAAAAATTTTACAGCTACTTGGGCATAACAAGAATCCTTTTTGATTCTGAGGGTGGTTCCATATATAGGGTCCCTAGTGCTAACTACCAAAAGGCATTGTACAGCTTTCCTGTCTTCAAAAAATGATTCTTGAATCATTTGAACACCCCTAAAATTCCATGTATGAGTCTGTGCAGTTGTGCAATACAAACATCATCTGAAAGCACCTTGAGTGAGTGACCTTAAGGCCCTGTCTTTGAATGATAGCTGTGGAAAGCTGTGGCTCATTTTAACACAGAGCTAAAAATAGAAGTATCTGTTCCAACCAACAATTGTGCTGGTTCTTGCTATAGGCAGAGTTGCAGGAGGTCCTGGGAGAGGAAGATGGAGGAGGAGACAGTGAACATGAGACAGAAACAAGGGAAGCATCTCCAGTTGCCCCAGTAACACATACAGATCAGCAGACACAGGTAGGTGGAGGGTCTTACTTTTAGCCTGGCTAATGGGATGTGAAGGCATGGAAAGGACCATAAAAGTAATCTGTTGTTTCTCCCCGACTCCCTAAAACCTCCTTCATTATATTCATTTCAGCAGACTTCCCCACTTGATGCCCTTCAAATATATTGGACTATGTCATATATCACCCCCATGCTGGTAAGGGCTGATGGAAATTAAAATCTAAAACATCTGAAAAGCATCAAGTACTGTATTCCTGAGTTTAAAAGGTTTCTGCCATCTGTACTAGGACTAAGCATGGGTAGGGTTTGCGCATCACAACAACCTATCAAGGTGATTTGCCTCAATGAGTTGGTTGTTGCACAAAGCTGTCATGATGAACCTAACACAACTGGGCTCACCTTGGATGCTTCACTTCCTTCCTTCCACTTCTCCTCCCCTTGTTTCTCCAGGTGGCATCCCAGGGGACACTGCAGAAGGAATGAGTCACCCCTTTTCTCCCCACCGCAAAACCAAAACATTTTTGGCCTGAAGCAGCTATTTCTGCCTTTGTTCTTTTTAATGGAGATTATAAAAGCCAGCTGGACAGCTAGTTTTCATATTCCTCCACATCCCCAGTGGGATATTAGAGGAGCTGTACATGGTCACCCACCCCACTTTCTTCCCTGCTTCCCCTCTTTCTTTATTTCCTTCTGTCCTTCCTTCCTTCCTTTTGAGAAAATAATGTAAACAAATAATTTGGAAACATTTTCCTTTCCAACCTGACTTTTCTGTTTTGCAAAAATTGGCAGAGAGTTTGGACAGTGAGAGCTCCATATCTGCAATGCACTTTGGAAGGGGTTACAATTGGGCGTAAGAAAAGTGTATAGGTATTTGAAGTCTATGTATCTGTGTACTTTCCTGTCAAAACAGGACATTAATCTATTCTTTTTGACATACAGGGATTGTGGCATGTAAACTTGGTGCCCGATATACTGGATATATGCTCAAAAGTACATTAGTAGCACATTAAGAAATATGTTTCGGAGGCATGTGAAAAGGGCCATAAAAAGACCCTTTGCATCTGAAAGTGTAAGAATTTGGGGAATGCTTCTACCCTCATTTTTACAAGTGTGAATAACCAAGAGGCACGTGACTCCCCCCACCCCCCCATCCAATGGCCCTGCACTCCTTGTTACATCCTCCTTGCCATGCATCCTGGCAGCCCCCATGTCCTTTCCCTGTTCTTCCCTATGGATCATAGAAACCTCCTGACTGGTCCACTACAGTTATGAGGCAGGTTTCCCCTTCCCTCTCCCATGTGTAATTGCATGTCTGCAGTGCTTTTGAGCTGCTTAAGCCATCACCAATTTTTATTACATGAAAATACACAGTTCCCCCCTTATCCCTCCACATATTTTCATGCTGTCCTCTGTTTCCAAAGGTAAACAGGAAGATGAACGCATTGCTTGTCCAATAGGAATAAGGCAAGCAATAATGCATGTGTTGCTAGGGAGCTGAAGGCAGTAGAGATTGAAGACTAAAATGGACCATTTCCACTGCTGCTCTTGAAATTGGACTCTATGGTGCTTTTTTTACCAGGCAATCCTGAGTCTGGACAATTGTACAACAGATCACCACAATAAGATTTCATCATGGCTTCTCATGCCACAGAAACCAGCCCACTGTGTTTTGTTTTTGCTCTAAGTGAATTTGGAAGCTTGTTATAACAGTGATAACAGGCAACTTTACTGCCTGATCTTTTTAAATGTTTTTGGAGCATATCATGTAATGTAAACAGCTGAACTATGATTTGGATGGTTGCAATTGAGTGTGACTCTGAGAGATGTGGTTTTGCAAGAATAGACAGTGGTATTCTCCTTGGCTGGATAAAGGGCTTATTTGGTTGCACACATACACTGTAAATTCTCTGTATTATTCCTATTAGCCAGAAGGATCTGGCCTGATGAGCAATTATGCTAATATTTACTTACATTGGCATCCTCTTGGCAAAGTATTTTGCTAGTGGTTTACTGCCAAGAGCTTTCCTTGTATGCTTGAATATAGTATTTGCCTGATACTGCTTCTGCCTTCAAATCAAAGCAGAGACTTTTGTAACTGGACATGAAGAAAGTCATTGAATGTTCAAAAAATAGGAGAAACAAATATTTAATAGCCTAAAATATCTGTATACTCTTTTTTTCCCCCTGAAATGACTATGTTCCTTCATCTTTTCCCTGGTCAAATATCTCCAGTTATCCTCCTACAGCCGTAATGTTTCCTGAGGTACTCCACCTACCTCTCTGCTGCTTTGGCAGGAAATCCAGAGGTGGCCAGTGGAATTTTTGCTGAAGAGCAGACACTTCCTTGTTTAAGAAAAACGGTTCAACCTCTTATGTCTTGCACTCTTTAGATGCATGTTACGGAAAATAATTTTGTGCTGGTGCTCAAATGTCATACCAGAGTGTGATTCTTCGGATCCAACATTGTCTGATTTATTTTCTCCTCCTCCTCCTCCTTTGAGATGACTCCTGCTATTTCCAGTGGACTGCAGCAGACAATTGAAGAAAGGATAGCTAACTATAAGTCAGCAACGGCAAATGCGAAGGAGGCTGGTGAGAGTGCCAAAGTGAGACGGTATGAGCGGGGCCTCAAGGTGTGTTGGATTCATTAATGATTGTTTCCCTTTCTTTTAGTGGATAAATTGCTCAGAACAAACTAGGCATGTTGCATGTTAACTCCTTACAGAGGACATGCAGAAAAGAGCAAAGCGATACCATTTATTTTCAGTTTTGATTCATTCTATTAATTTCTGTTAATTTTCAGTATAAATAAGTGCTGATCATTCCTGGTCAAACTTTTTAGTATAAATAGAAAATTTATACTTTATATTTCAGTATAAATAGAAAATTATTTAAAGAAAAAATTATTTTTCTTCTATTGAAATAATGAGAACCAAAAACAGATTTTAAAAAAGCTGTTTTAATATGTGCGAGTTTCAACTAAGATTTCTTTAATTTCTCCAGACTTACTTTCCTCCCTGTCTAACAATTAAATCTTCATACTCCTAGTGCGCATTCTCAAGCAATAATTCATTCAAATTTATATTAATTGCTAGAGTGTGATAAATAACCACTGTTGATATTGAAACTTTAAAATCTATTGTGTGTATTATATAAAGTTCTGTTGGTTCCCAGAGAGTGAATATTTTGGGGGTAATGAAGTGAACTCTAGATTTGACAAATGCAAGAGGATAAAAGTGCTAGAACCTAAGTCTACCTATATTCAACAGGATCTGTTTGGATTTTCAGTTGAATGTCATTATTTCCAAAAGAGGCATTCTACCTTAGGGTATTTTTATTATGGTTGATGTTTTCAAGTTGGATGGCCCATATTTTGTGGATAAAGCTGTATTAGAGTACTGTACTTGTGCCTCAGGGGAGAGCTGGAAAATCTGCATATTTGTTCTTAGGACATAAAATTCTGGAGAATCTATTATGCTTCTGAGCAAGGTGGCCACACTTTTACTTCCTTTGTTTGTGCATTGCTGTTGTGTATGCATTGCTGAATGTTCTTTTATAGTTTAGAGTTCTGTTACTGGATCTCTGTTCTGTCTCATGAAGGAGGAATTGATTTTTTCTATCTTTAGCTGCAGGTATATTTGTGCCTGTGTTTTATAGTCCAAGCACTTGCCACAGATATAATAACATTTTTCCCCTGTGTGTACTGGGATTGTTTTCACTGACCTCAGAGAACTGAAAACTCTTATTTCCTGGAAGACGGTAGGGTATAAGAGTTCAGCCATCCAACAGAGCTGTCTGCAAGCAGCCATTCAAGCATGATTTTTAGGACAGCACCCTTAAAATAATTTGGTGATTGAAAATATAACTCCTAGGCACATTTGTGTTCATTTTGGTTCGTTTCTTCTGTTAACACCTTTAGCCAGATAATAGGGATGCTCAGTTGTTGCTCAAGTAATGGTAATGCTTAATTCGCAAGATATGTCTGATTATTTTATTTCTTCGGTCAGGACATTCCTTTGTATTCATTGGGGTTGACTTCTGAGTAGTCATGCACAGAATTGCTGGCTAGTTCATAAGAATCATAATATAGGCAATTGAAGTCAGCTTTTTCCAGGTGATCTTTGAATTGTATAATGACCAGATTCACGTGATCAAGAGGGGAAGGGAAGCCATGGTGGCTTCTTTTCCTTGTTCCCAACATGCCAGATGCACACTACTGTATTTCCATAATTATCTGTGCAGGGCCTAGGTTTCCATGTTGTCTGAACCCAGCAAGGTAGGTAGAGGGAGTGGTTTCCAGATCATCCTGCAACCCATCTGCTACCCATGATTTGTTCTAGGGTTCCAGTGTGGTATGGAAACCACCCCCATAGCCACTTTGCTGTGTTCAAGCAAGATGGCAATTCATACCAGGTGGAAAATTCTGGAAATGAGGTGGTGTGCAATTAGCATATGCGGGGAGAGGAAATGAACCTTTCTTTTCATTTCCTTGTTCAGCAAATCCAGGCAGTGGATGCTTCCATGGGCAAAAGAAAGGTTTCCAGATATTTTAGATATGAATTTCTGGAAGTCCCTGTCTGCATGGTCAGAAATGTTGGCAGTTGAAGACCAAATCTTCTGGAGATTAACTTTTTGCCTATCTTGTCTGGGAGCCTTCTCTCAAAAGGCATCATGCAGCAGTTCCATCTTTTTGGCTGGATTTCTGCACTGAGGGAAAAAATAGGAGAAGTTGAAGTTGAAGCCCAATTCAGGGTGCTGGTTTTAACTTATAAAGCCCTGAACGGCTTGGGACCAGGGTACCTGAAGAAGCGCCTCTTCCCTTACATGCCCTCACACCCCTGAAGATCTGCAGGAGAGGCTTTGCTCCAGGAGTCCTCTTTAAAGGAGATAAAAAAGAGCAACTATTCGGAGCAGGGCCTTCTCTGCGGTGGCACCCAGATTATGGAATGCACTCCTTGGAGAGGTCTGCTTGGCGCCAAGTCTATATTATTTTTGGCACCAGGTTAAAACTTTTTTATTTAATGGCCATTTTAAAAATTAATTTTATCATTAACAGTTGCTTTTTTGTTTTTATATAATCTTATTGAATTTGTTATTGTTTTATTGTTTTTAATTCTATGTTTGTAAGCTGTCCTGTTATGCCGAAACATGTGGTGACAGGATATAAAAGTTTTAAATAAATAAAATATGAAAATAGATGAGGGTTGGTGGAAAATATCTCCTCCCACATGAAATTCCATGAATGAGACTTAGTAGCAGCACCATAAAAAGGTTTGGAAGCTCTCGTGGTAGTCTGAGTTCTTTAAAAATGACTGTTACAGCAATTGTAAGACATACCTTTGCCAGCAGTTCCCCTTTTAAGCAAAGATATCTTGGTTGTTAAAATAATAGTGTTGTTCCAGATCACTTTAAGAGATAAAAGTAAAATGTGTGCTTCTGCTTTTGCTCTGCCTATGTTGTAATGTATGATAAATGTGAGAATGAATGAAGAACTTGCTTGCTGAGTTTCCTGATGAGTTCCCCATTTATCAGGTCACATTGTCTCTTGTTACTGCTAGACATTGGAAGCCATGCTGAGTGCAGTGAAGAAAGGCAAGAAAGTAAATGAGGAAGAAATGCCACCTCCTGTAGCATCAGGGAAAAGCTCTTTGACTATGCCAAAAGCTGTGCTTCCTGATGACTTACCTGAAAAGCTGGATGTTCCTGATGAAATTATGGTACCTGAGGAGGAAGAAGAGAAGGGAGGCTCTCCTGTAGACCATGAATTAAAGGACCCCTGTGATGTGGGCATAGTAGTGAGCCCAGCTGCTCTCCAGGGCCAGGATGCAGATACAGATGCTCTGGCAATAGGTACCACCTCTGAAAACAGTAAGTAGTTATGGCATGGCCCCTTCCTATGCAGCATCCCCAGTTTAGAACCATTAAGAAAATAACCCAGTTTGCTACTTGTCTATTCCTGGAAGGTGGGCCAGACTAGAGAGGAAGGAACTATTGTTCTTCATGGGATCTATAAGGGTGTTTTACTGTCTGACTTTATTGTCTTGTACAGTTTCCCCAAGCACACGGGCACTGCTTGTGACAAGGGAGAAAGAGTATAAATTAGCAGCACTGAAAGCCAAACATAAAGGCAATTTGGAGAAGGCAAAAGAATTCATGAGGACTGGGAAGGTGAGACTTCATTCTTCATAAGCCAAGGCAGCTTTCAGTAAACCAGAATGTGTGTAAGAATCTTGAGGACTAGACATTTCCCTTTGAAACTGAGCTTATTAAATGACTTTCACAAAGGGTTGGAAATAGCTGAATCAGGGATGGAGAACATCAGAATGATGGTCCTGTCTCATAATAAGCTTGTCTTCATAAAATCCTGTGGGAGGGGAATGCTGATGAGGGTTTCCTTTTCCTCTTCTTAAATTTTTTTAAAATCATAAACACTCTTCTAATACAGACTTAGTTTTTCTTTGCCACTAAGAATTTGAAAATGTGTTATTTTAAATGGATCCTTAAGGATTCTTTTTAACCTGCTGGGGTGTGCCCTTGGAAGCATTGTTCACATTGTTTCAGTTGTCATGAAATTGAGGAGATCTAGATTCTCTGATAATAGTTCATACCTGTTTTTCCATTGTATTTCAGAAGTTTAGCATGCTGCTGGAAGCACTGGATAGTGGGCGGCCAATAGACCTTAGAAATATGCCTCCAGCACCACAGGGTAAGATCAACAATGATCTAGTCTATTTTATACCATAGCTAAAGGACACTTCGTAACATGTAAATGATGAAGATGGACTATCTTGACTTCATATGTATTATAAAAACCCTGGACAGGGCTTAAGTTTTCTGATGACTTACAGCTCAGCTGTAACATTAGAAAGTTGAATCTGTGCAGGATTCTATATAAATACTGTTTTTTCCTTCTGTTTTCCTTCTGTTTTTAATAAATCACTTTTCATTCACTTTTTGTTCAAAACAAGGACATGTATTATGACTCCTATGCCCTTACTTTTGATCCTAGAATTAATGCTGTTTGATACTATTGCTTTCACCTCCAATGATACATAATCATTTATCCCTTTTCTGTCCCTGCCTGCTTAAGTTAAGCTTCTGTGGCAGGGTTGCTGTGTTTTAGGCATGTAGGAGTATAATACCATGTGCCTGTAAAAATGCATTACATGCCCATACTTTCATTCCTGTTGTATTTGTTATGTACAGTCTGTTTGTGATGATTATGTTATTGTCATGCAAAACTACTTGATTTGTTTCTTGGTAAATAATTTGATTTGAACCACTACCTCAATACTATGTCCATGCTATTTTGTGAACTGATTTTGCTTGGGAGCTCTTATACTTCTCAGTGGTGGAATGAATTAGATATATTTCCTTTTGTTTTTTGCAGAGGTTGGTCCTGCTTGAGGAATCAATAAATTGCTAGAGGAATTGTAGGAACAGGATATATTAGTGTGATCAGTTGACATTTCTTCAGGGATCCTAGGACTTAGACCTTTGATGCTATTCCCACTAAAAATATCAGCCTCACTTAACTATATCAGAATTTTGTTTAGATCTTGCTGAATTATGTTGCAGCTATTCTGAAGGACTTTTTCTTTGGCATGTTCTTGCCTTTTTAATGAAATAGTCAGAAACTATCTTCTCTTCCCCACCTTCTCAGAACTTGAAAGCCCAGAAAAGATGCAGCTTCCTTCAAAACCAACTCCAGTTATACTTGTGGAAACGTCCCAGCCTATAACCTCATCAAATGCTCAAGGTAATGACATTTTCAGGTGAGAAAATGTATTTAATACTGAGCTTCTCTCTGGTGAGCTTGGTTATATAAGCTGGGACTGGCCTCACCACTGCCCCCAGCTTCGCTGCCCCAAAGACGATGCTGCAGACCCCACTTACTGCTGTGAGGCCGGGGACGCTGTGAAGGCCAGGACAACGCTGCTGCTGCTGCTGCCGCCGTGCCGCCATTTTCCTTTCCTCCTCCTTCCTCTTCGCTGCTTGCTGGCAAGCTCCCCGTGGGCCTGCCCTCACTGCTCCAACTGGCTCGACTCCTGGCATAGGGGGCAGCTGCACCGGGGGTGGACTGGCAATGGCTGGGGGGGAGGGGTCGCGGCCTGTATCTTACTGGCTACAGTCAAGGGCCGGCGGCCTTGGGCCTGTGGCTGAAGGGTGTTGGCCTAAGGGCGCTGAGCCATTTGGTGCCATGCGGGGCTGAGCTGGGCCAGGGACTCTGTTCTTTTATCGTTGAGGGGTTTGGGGATTTTAAGTTAATGTATTTTAATCTTATTGTATGCCATGACTGAGCTGTATTTTATTGCTAGGTTTTAATATAATTTTGTTATGGATGTGTCTGAGAAGCGCGAGGATGCCACCATTGGTGTGGTAATGGGCAGGGGAAGATACTTTAAGGAGAAAATCGCTCAGATTCGTCACGAGCTGGATTCCACAGTTGATAGGGTTCCATTACGGGAAGTGTCCAGAGCCCCTCTGGTCCATCATTGTTGGATGAGATCCAGTTGTTGCAGCCTGAAGTGGACAAGGTGCTTGGACTGGTACGCCCTACTACCTGCTTGCGCGACCCTTGCCCTTCCTGGCTACTTACCAAAGCCAAACACAAAATTGGTACCTGGGTCCATGAGGTTATTAATGCTTCTCTGAGGGAGGGTCAGGTCCCTGCCCTTTGAAGGAGGCGGTGATCAGGCTTATCCTGGAGAAGGCATCCTTGGAACCAGAGGTGGCCGCCAATTATAGACCGGTGGCCAACATTCCATTCTTGGGCAAGGTGTTGGAGTGGGTGATGGCAAGACAACTCTTGGCACTTTTGGATAAAACTGATTATCTGGACCCATTTCAGTCCAGCTTCAGACCTGGTTGTAGAACTGAATCTGCCATGGTCACCCTGTATGATCACCTGTGCAGGGAGAGGGACAGGAGGAGTACGTCCCTGTTGGTTCTTCTGGACCTTTCAGCGGCTTTTGATACCATCAACCATGGTATCCTTCTGGATAGGCTGGCCTCTTTGGGAGCAGGAAGCACTGCTTGGCAGTGGTTCCACTCCTATTTGGCTGGCTAATTCCAGAAGGTGATGCTGAGGGGACTATAGCTCTGTGCCATGACAACTCTGCCATGAAGTACCATAGGGTTCCATTTTGTCTCCCTTGCATGAAACTGCTGGGAGAGGTCATCAGGAGGTTGGGGCTGAGGAGTCACCAATACGCTAATGATACCCAGCTCTACCTCTCTTTTATAACTAATCCAGGTGAGGCAGTGGCTGTCCTGAACCGGTGCCTGGCCGAGGTAGTGGCTGGATGAGGGCCAATAAACTGAAACTCAATCCAAATAAGACAGAAGTCCTTTTGGTAGGTGGTTCAGGTTTCCAGATAAGTGATTTTGGCCCTGTCCTGGATGGGGTTGCACTCCCTCTAAAGGACAAGGTCCACAGCTTGGGAGTGCTCCTTGATCTGGAGCTGTCCTTGGAGGCCCAGGTGGTAGTGGTGGTGAGGAGCACTTTCCTTCAGCTTTGGCTGATCCATTAGCTGTGTCCTTACCTGGATGAGCACTGCCTAGCCATGGTGGCACACGCTCTAGTAACTTCCCGGTTGGACTATTGTAATGCGCTTTGCTTGGGGCTGCCCTTAAAGACAGTCCAGGTTACTTCCATTGGTTCAGAACAGAGACGCCAGATTGCTTTCCAGAGCTGGTCGTTATTCTCATATAACACCGGTCCTCTATCAGCTTCACTGGATTCCAGTTGAAACTCGGACCCAATTTAAGGTGCTGGTATTGACCTATAAAGCTCTAAACAGCTTGGAACCAGGATACCTAAAGGAACATCTTTTTCCCTACATGCCCACCTGCCCCTTAAGATCTGCAGAGTCCCTGTTCCAGGAACCCTTCTTGAAGGAGGTTAGGAGAGAACATACTCAGAGGAGGGCCTTCTCTGCGGTGGCACCCCGGCTATGGAATGTGCTCCCCAGAGAGGTCTGTCTGGTGCCAACATATGCTTTTCAATGCCAGGTCAAGACCTTTTTATTCTTCCGTAATTTTAATGTTTAATATTTTAACTGTGTTTTATGCTCAGTCGTAGATTATTTTGTATTATTTGGGTATATATGTATTTATTGGAATTTGACTTGTAACATATTGGACGGGGTAAAAATACCCAAATAAATAAATATAACCTGCAAGAAATGAATGATGGATTAAAGCAGGGATGGGGAACCTATACCAGATAGGGACTCCTTATCTGTCCTGCCAGATTCCTCCCCAGCTCCCGACAGCTGATTGGCTTTTAGGGCTTTTTCCTGCTCACTGCTGGGGAAGATTTCTCCACAACCCCAACTTGATCTACGTGCATCAGCTGAGGAGGTAGACTGGGAAGGAACAGGGTTGTGTGCATGGTCTTTGTGAATGATGCATTTGAGAGTGGGGTGGCATCAGCCACTTGAAGCACAGGGCATGGCTGGTGGGATATTGCCCTCATGAGATTTCTTAGTTTGGACTTCACCCCACAAAAGGTTCCTCACTCCTGGGTTAAAGGAAAAATAACTGGTACATATTGTGTGATTGAACTCATCTGTTACATTTTTTGAATCTCTTTCAAAGGTTCTCTGCAGCAGCCAAAAACAGTGCTAGAGGCTTTGCAGCAGCGGTTGGAGAAATACACAACAGCAGCAGCTCAGGCCAAAGCAAGTGGAGACGGTCGAAAAAGTAGGATGCATGAGAGGATAGCCAAGGTTAGAGGGAGAAAGAAAGCTACTTGCCTTGGCACAATTGCCAAGGAAGCTGCCTTGGTAGAATTGCCTTTTGTTGAGCTTCTAATGCAGCCTTCACCTTCCTGGTGCCTTTCTGATTTTTTTGGACTAGTACAACTAATCTGCCAATTGGCCATTCTGACTGGGGCAGGTGTGAGTTGTAATATAAAATGTTCAGAGGAAACTAAATTAGGGAAAGCTGCTCTGATGGCGCATCGTAGTCTCATAGGCTAGTTTCATGATATCTCATAACCACCGTGGGAGAATTTGGTTTTATTCAAGTTGCCAAATACAAGCCAGCTAGATGGTAGTTTCTAAATTAAATAGCCTATATTATTTAGATACAAAAGTTTGGTTACACACTCAGGCTGCACTTTTGCACCCAGATTAGCTTCAGTGAACTCAGTGGGACTTGACTATATAAAGCTTTTCACTGGTTCATGTTAATACTCATAAAATTTAATTTGCAAAGATTATGACAGATATTGCAGAACAAATACAATGCTGATGGATGCATTATCTGAACAAAACTTTGCATTTTCTTAGCTATAAAATGTTGTGTTCATAAAATATGATACGCTCCCTAAAATCTCTTGTTACAGCAATATCAGGATGCCATAAGAGCCCATAAAGCAGGAAGGAAAGTAAACTTCGCTGAACTTCCAGTTCCCCCAGGTAGGTGTGTGCCTGTCAGGTTTATGTGTTTTTATGCAAAATATCCTAACAAGGTACTTTCCAGAAATGGAAAGGTACATTTGCCAGAAATGCTTCACCAGAGTGCCTCCTACTCTGATCTATCAGAAGACTGGGTTGCATCCATGACACTACTATAGAAGATGCTTTAAAAACTGCCTGTTACTATCAATAAATTTTCTTGAAGTTTCATGATGATCAATTTCCAGCATCCCCATACTGAACTAGATGGACCACTGCTAGATAATTTGGCAGCTAGTTCTAGTTCTTGGCAACTTCTAGCATCCTAGAATGATGGGTGTTGTTTTCCCAGGATAGACAATTTGTATGGCAAGTTAAAATGAATTGTTTTAACAAAGTGAAACATTTTACATTTTTGCTTGCCTAGGGATACTTAGCCTTAATTTAATGGCAGGAATTTTGAAATTCATGAAACTATCCCAGTCAGCCCTTCCTGTTCAACAGTTCCTGTTTTTATGCTAACAGTAATCATCTAACAAAACAATTCTGCCTCTGTGATCAGAATAAAAAATGTCTCCCTTTTTCATATTAATTTTGCAAGACAAATTTTAAGATACATGCCTTTGCATTGTATATTTCATTTTGCTAAGTTTGAACTGGTGGATTTACAATATTAGCATTTTAAAAGAAAAGAAGGGCAGGGTATCATTGGTCATAAGCATAAGACATTTCGGTGACAAATATGAAAAGCAATGAAAAGGCATTTTTTTGTCTGCCAACCAAAACTCACTGCATTTGTAGGAGGATGCTGCCCTTTATAGATAGCCATGGATATGTGATATCCTTCCTGATTTATACAGAGAATATTTTCCTGTTTAATTTATCCCAAACTTTTGCTTTCTCAACCATGGGAAAATAAATAGCTGCAGGCTTCAGTCAATGCTTATGTTTGTATCTGTGTGCTTGTCTGCTTACAAAAGCCACAGTTTGACATTCCATTGTGCGGAATCTGTTGGGAACTTTTGTAATCCATAATCAGAACTCTCGGATCTTGACATTTTGACTAGAACTAGAATTCTGAAAGTGCTTTTTACAAAAGCATAAGTGTGTTTTTGCCTTTTCAGGATTCCCTCCAATTCCTGGAATGGCTCCTGCAGATGAGGATGATACAGTTGCCGCAGTACTAGAAAATGTGAACAGGCTAGTTAAAATGGAAGAAGAGGAGGAAGAGCATGAGGGAGATGAGGAGGTATGTTATTAAAATAAATAATCTAGGGATACCACTTAATTCATGGCAGGGTTTGTTTGTGACTCTCTGTGTTCTGCTACAGCCAAATGTGCAACTGCAGTGGCAAAGACCACGGCAATTTTGCATGGAAACACGACATGTGGGTGGGCTTTACTAGCAGAATCAGAAGGCATTCCATTCCTTTTTGATCCCACTAGGATGTGTCTTCCGTTCAGGCTCCAGCTGTCACGAAGCCCACCCAACTGCCCAAGAAACCAGTGCAAGTTGTTAATCCGCTAACGGTGCCATCTGCTGTAATGCAGGAAGAGACTGTTTTGGAAAAAGAGAATTCTTTGTCCACCTCTATAACAGCACCAGAGAAATCTGCAACCCTTGAGCAGCTCTCTCAAGTTGGTAAGGACTCCAAAACTAGTTGGCTGTTGCTCAGTTTCTTTCATTCATTCATTCATTCATTCATTCATTCATTCATTCATTCACACAAAGTATTGTGAAAGTACTTGATGGCATTTTAGGAACTTAAAAAATATAGAAAGGGAAGTGGGGTGATGGATAGCCATCGGATGAGAGGACAAAAATTAATGGGCATGCAATGATTACCTTGAAATAGCTACTTAACAGTGGGAGCCTTTGGGGCCCAGCCTTTGGTGTCAGAAGAATGCAGGCAAACTATTACTTAGTCCAAACTAATTAGCATTTTATCTTCCTCCTTAGCAGTTCATATGCACTAACTGTGTGTTACAGAAAGGTATTCCATGTGCATTATTGTAAGTGCATGAAGCTGGCTGGCCATTTTGATTTTGGGAAAAATAGCCAAATTGGACAACCCTTTTGACTAGTTTTGCCTTTCTCCTGTTTTTCAGAGCTTGAAAGAGACAGTGCATGTCCTCTGCTAATTAGATATTAAGGATGGTATTACACTAAGGCTTACACTAGCTCTTAAGAAATTGTCTTCTTGATTTGTGTCATTTTTCATTCTTTATGTTCCCCACCAAATGTTGAGCTTCCTCACACAGTTCAGCTTTTTCCGTTGAGTCAAAGCCTGGCAAATAAATAGTTTTATTGTAAACTGTTCAGAGAGCCATTTGACTTATGTGGATGGTATATAAAAGTTTTAACAAACAAACAAGCATGTATAATTGACTGGGTTTTGGATGGCAAGGCACCAGGAGCTGAGTTCTGCCAGTTGTCGCTTGAAGATGGTTCGGAGGTGCCATCATCACACTTGTCTCTTTGTGCTGTTGACAGCCTATTCTGTGCAGCCCTGTAACTATAAAAGCTTCTCCCATGAGCATCTTTGTTCATGCCATCACTTTGTGTATGCAGAACATTATCGCATCTGCCTGCAGCATGGGAATACATGAAAACAGAAAATGAGAGTGCATTCTTCTTTGCTACCGTGTAAAATATGGGGAATTGTCTTTTCCATCTCATCAAATTAGTTTGGTGTCAAGCTTTATGAAGGACCTTAGATTTTGTTTTATTTGGGTAGAGGGAATAAGGGTTGAAAAAGAGCCACCTTCTAGAGGCATCTGTCAAAAGGCAATGTCTTCCCACCAGATTGGTTAATGTAATTCAGCTGTCAGGGTACCACAAGTGATCTTAGGAGGTTCGTAAGGAGCACGTTATGCAAGAGGAGTGTCTCAGATTCAGAAAGGAATCTCGCCGTAATCTCAAAGCTGTACACCGTACAAGGAGAAAAAACCTGGTCACGGGGGTTTTTTCCCTAACTCCAAACAATCACTTAATATCACCATTACAGAACATTGCAAGAACCCTACTGGGTCAAAGCAAATGTCCGCCAAGACATCCCAGTGGACATTCTGTTTGACCGTGTCCCCTTTCTGTCAGGTTCTCTTCCTGATGCTAAGTCACATTACCTTAGGCACAACAGTGTATGCTTGGCACTATACAGACACGCTGGTCCCAGATCTCATATAATAGCCGACATGACTTGAGGATACTATGATTCATGGATGGTCCTGAAGCCCTGTAGATCCCTGTGAACCTCTCCCTGTCACAAAACAGCCCATTAGATTTGTACTACATCACATGCATGTCTGACTGCATCACTTTGGGTTTTCTTCTGTCTTTATTTTCTTTTTAGGATGAAATCAGAAGCATGAGAGTACTAAGCATGTTGTTCAGCAGTTGCATTGTTTTGTTTCTCTGCAGCTAGAGAGCAAGTTGAATTTCTGGAGAATAGAAAGAAACAGTATTTAAAAGCTGCAATCCAGGCAAAGAAGAAAAATGATATTGAACAAGCCAAGATGTATCTGAGAACAGCCAAGAGCTTTGACCCAAAGATTGAGCTGGCAAAAAGTGGCAAGTCCATCGACATTTCCAAGGTTAGCAGAGGAACTCTCAAGCGTGTATCAAGACTGATATATTTTGGAGGAGACACAATCCGTGCCACTTCATATCACCTTTTGCTCTTTCTGATGCTAAACACACTCTTTGTTGATTTATCTGAGATGCTCTGGTTGGTCTAGAGGTACTTTGCTATCTTCCTGGCTGTTACCCTATGACTCCTCCTTGATCCATAGGAGCCTATTCTTTGTATTTATCCTTTACAATTCTGGTTCTGTTCAGAATATCACAATCATCTGAGATATTTTTTAACATTTCTTCAGCTAATTCCTGGAGCTGGCCTCTGGACAATTCCAGAACCCAGCCACTTCTTGTCCTATCTTGCTTGCACAACATTCTTATCACATAACCAATGTGTGTGGTAAATTGTATTGAAAAGGTAACTCAGGAGGCTGAATGCTGAAAATATGAGTGCTGCTGTGGATTCACCCTAAGGAAACAGTTTTCTTTTCGATATATCTCAGGGCATGCCATTTGCTGAAGCAAGCGGTAAGATAATCTGTCAATGCACCTGCTGACATTGGGTGAATGTTATGAAATACACTATGCTCTCAGCCTTGGGGATGCTACTTGTGACTTTAATCCTTTATTTATGCTTTGTAAGCCACTTTGGAGGAGAAAGTGAAGAGGAGATTTAAATATACTGTTTGGATTATTATTCCTGTCATCATTAATACATTGCATTTATAACTCACTTTTTGCCTAGTTCGAGGTCTTCAACTTTATTTCAGTGTCCACAAGTCCAAAAATATATTTGCCTTATGTCTCTAAAAGTTCACAAGATATTTGGTAATGACTGTGCTGATAGTAACATGGATGTAATGTGTTAGAGTATTCATATACATGTTATCTTGGGCCCCCGTTGGCTCTTCCACTTGTCCTGAAGTTATGTTGGTCTTTCATTTTCTTGCTGATTATCCACTTGTCCTGAAGTTATGTTAGTCTTTCATTTTCTTGCTGACTATTGATGATTACTGTTGAAATGACTGTTGCTATGCCATGCAATTCACCCTAAATTTGCCTTGGAAAGCTGAAGACCTCCCACAGTCTCAATCAGCAGGCAGATTACCTTCATTTTGTATAGGTGGATGCTCTTGAGAGATCAAGGCTGTCGGGTATGACTCTGTCCCCCATGACCTGGAGGCTCAAGAAAATAAGCATTGTGCCGCATCAGTGCAGCATGCCAAAGAGCTTAAGATCAAAATTTCACTTCTGGATAAAGGACTCTTGATGCTCTTTGCTCATTTCCTCCCATACCCCTTTTGATCCTCTCTGTGTGGGTCTCATTCTGTTGAGGCCGGTCTGTTTTTCTATTTGCAACAACCATTTTCTCTCCAGGAAAATTCTGACATATTTTGTCTGTTGGTGTACAGCTGCCTTCGCCACCGACAGATGATGAGGGTGACTTTATCTTCATACACCATGAGGATGTCAGGCTCTCTCAGAAAGCAGAAGAGGTGTATGCCCAGCTCATCAAGCTACTGAAAGACCAGCATGAGGTAGGTGGAGGAGTGGAGACTGCAGGGGTGACTCTTTCCTGCTTCTGTCTCCAAGAGTCCTGAGGCAGGAGCGTCTGTATACTTCACACTGACCTATTTTCTACGTAATTTGTAACAGTAGTTCAGCAGCATACCTCAGGGGTCATCTGCTCTGCTGCTGCTTTTGGTATAGCAGTGTGGAGGAGACATTCCACCCTAACATGGGTTTTCTAGAAATATATGCATCTGTTTCTGTTTTTTCACTAACTGAAGATTCCCCTTGAATCCAAACATGGAGCTCTGGTTGGCTTAACATATAATTTGTTTAAACAGGCTGTTAAAGGCCAAGATAATCAACTCATCAGAGTTTTACTGCCCTGTTCGGCCGTCATGGTGACCATTAGTTGAAAATCAGACATTTGATTTCCTCCTCACAATCACACCAGACAAGGAGAGGAAACTCTGTGAGCTTGAGAATTGCTGCTGTTTGGGCAAATAGTGCTAAACTGTTTTTAATGTTCTCTCTGAAATGGACCATCGAGCCTTCCCGCCCCCTTTATCTGTTGCTTAGCGTATATGTTTGGCATGGCATTCGAAATCCTGTCATCCACTGAGAATCTGTAGCCTATTTGAATGGACTGATGATTTTTCATTCATTTTCGGTCACCCGATCTAAATCCTGAAGGGATGAATGTCTAGGGAGGGAGTCTGTCCTATGGCAACAGATTCTCTGTCATCCAAGATCGTGTGCTACCTTACATGATCCTCGGCCACCCATATTGTGTTTATCCATGTGACGGTCTCATTAATGCCTCATCATCCTAAACTGGGGAAGAAAGGCGCTCGAAAGCCTAGTTGCTCTTTTCTTATCTTCCCTTCACATGACTTTAGGAAGCTGCTCCTCTTCTAAAAGCAATGTTAGAATGACATGCAATAGCAATCTTTTTGCACTGTTTGCAGAGTTCTTCATGCTTGCCTGAGGCATACATGATGGGTGCTCAGTTGGGACCGCCAGAAAACAGAATAAGTTTAATACAGAGAGCTTGCTTTAAAAAACAACAACAACAAATTTGAAAGGCGCTTCTTTAAGTATCTTCAATTTCATGCCATCTCTAAAATAAACTACAAAGAGAGCAAACTAGGGTTCCTCAAAGCAAAGTGTGGGCCTCAAACATGACAGCACTTGGTTTCCCATGAGTGTCTCTGGGCTGCACATGGGACTTCGAGACCTGTGGAGGAAAATGAAGATGGCAGTTGTGTGCAAATCATCCTTCTGCTGCAGACTTGGCCAACAAGGAAGAGAAGGGGGCTGGTGGCTACTATCTCATAAGTTGGGTCGGGGCTGGTGAGCCCAGTGGGAAAACTCGGAAGGGCAGCATAAACCAGTGAAGGGTTCAGGACAACCAGTTGAGCAGCAGAGAGAACAGCGGGTCGCGGGACCAGTTGTGTGCTTGTATGGCGGAGGATTTTGGACTAAGCGTTTATTTGAATGCTTGCAGTAAGGGAGAGAAGGAAGGGGTGAGGGTGGATGGCTGGAGCTATAGAGTGAGCAAGTGATTCAGAGAGAGGATATAAGTGTTGGTTCAGAGAAGGAGATTGGGTGGTGGAGGGAAATGAGTTGGCTGCTACCAGTGGTAAACGGTGCCTTAGGTGAAATTGAGTTTGAAGTGATTGTTTATCCGTTGGGCCTCTGCCTTTTTTCCCAGTCTTTTGAGCAGGTCCTTTGTGACTTGCCATGCTTCCTGTGAGAGCCATTTTATGGTGCTGCCCATACTGGCAAGCATGCCCTCAGGCTGCGAAACAGTGCCTAACCCTGAAATATCCTTTACCATTTCCAGATTATTATTACGTGTGTCTGAGTGTGTGTGGTAATTCTTAATTATTTATTTTATGTTCTAACTGACTATGAGATTGAACAGCTTTGCTTTTAAAAAAGCATGTCTGTAACTATTTAAAAGTTACAATTTTTCCCCTGGGTAAAGTGCAAGAGATCCTGCATAGCATGCAATGCTTTCCTCCCATGCTCTTTAAATAATTTTCAAAGATAATTTGTGGTTGATATTGTATTTTTTCTCTTAATAGAAATGTGTGCAGTATTCCAAGCAGTTCATGCATCTGGGAAATGTAACCGAAACATCTCGGTAGGTTTATAGTTCAAGATAACTCTGTTGTGCCTGTAGCACTAATGAATCAGAGGCTTAAGCAAAGTTCATTTGGGATAGACTTTGACTGGATTCATGCAACATGACAGCCAACTGTTGACTGTTGATGGTTGGTTGTCATGTCTTGCAAATCTACTTGTGGTTACAGCAACTGGTTCAGTCATGATGAGAACCAATGGTTTGTTGTAGGGTTTGCTTGACTCATGATAGGTTGGCATGTCACTTGAAACTGGATGGCACAACCCAGCATGGCTCAAGCCCCACCACAAGTCAGCCGCTTGTTAAGAGTAGCAAAATCACCGTGCCTTTCTTGACGTGCAGCTGGGTCAGCAAGTGCCAGACAGCCACCCTGAAAGTGACCAAGTGAAACTTAGGATCAGAAGTTGTCAGGAATGTTTCCAATCTCTTTGGAAGCATGCAACAGATCATGGAGCAGCTCAGCTATGCACCACTACCGTAAGACCCAGTGGGGATTAGTGGGGATGGTACACAGCAGAGATTTCACTGATGACTCTCTAGGTCTAAGCCAGAGCTAGAGTCAGGGAAACTTTTCCTCTCGCCAACTTCTGCTGCCACTGCCTGGAGTCCCAACTGTGTTCTGTGGCTTTCATCTGGAGAGGTCTCTTCTGGAGCAGATGGCTGTTCTACACCACCACCCAGAGTGTGGGACAGCAGCACAAAGCAGATTGGGCCTTCCCATACTATTGGCTGGAGAGATCTGCCTTCCAGCTAATGACCACTCTGCACTGCTGCCCCATGCTTGGGGCAGTGGCATGAGATCCAATCTCAAGCAGCAGGCAGGACTGACATCTTGACTCTTCACTGCTGCCCCACCATGACAGAAACCAGGGAAGCCTCCGCCATGCTCCCTGCTGCGCTTCAGGACACAAGCTCAATTTGCATGTCTTTGCATTTATTGCAATGATCCTTCCTAATTCATGGAACTGTACCAAGGGTTAGGTGTTGCCCAGATAGCCTTGTCTTGCTTTTGTAGCCCTCCTGTATTTTCCTTTGTTCTTTTCCCTGTCAGTTAAGGAAAAGAGAGAGCAGCTATGCAGTATTTCCAGTGTGTCATGGGACCCATGCGGCAGGGTTCTCCCCTGCATCAGTGGATCAGGAAGAGTGCCAGAGCCTGTGTGCCCTCCTCCTGTCCTCGGGCCAGTCTGTTCCTCTCAGTGAGTGGCCACTCCAAAGAGCTTTTCTAGCCATTTTCTGAATGGGCAAGCTCCCCCATGGCGACCATTTTATGCACATGGCACTTCTTGGACATTTCAGAGGTGCTCACTGGGCCACAGAGGTTGGGAACCATGACTGGATTTGCATATTGTGCTCAGCAATGGATAAAGGCATCAGCAATGGAAATTATACCCTTTGGGATGTTCTGTGCCAGCCTGATGCCATCAGTATCTGCTCCTAATTGCAGTTCTGGCCACTTTCTGGCATGAAGCTATTCCAGTGGGCAGCTGGGCCTCTCTTGCACATTGATACTCGCTGTGACCAATGGAGGTGCTGCCAGTGTACTTCTGCAGCTTGTTCACCCTGTATGCTGTGTTTCCTTGCCTTGTATTTAGGTTTGAAAAGCTGGCTCAGAATTGTAAAAAAGATCTGGACATCTTACAGCTTGCACAGGCCCAGGGGCTGGATCCCCCAAGCCACCACTTTGAAGAGAGAACGTTTAAAATAGTAAGGTATGAAAAGGCAAGGGCCATTCTTAATCAACCCAGAATGGAGAGGAATGCTGTAAATCTTTTGTTCCCACAGACAGGTGAGCTTTACAAATTCCTTCTGAGCTGTTTTAGAGTACACAACATAGAATGCTATGATTATCTAAGCTGGAATTCCCTAATATAGCAAAAGTTTTTCAGCAATTTTAGGAAAAAGTGACAGAAGTAAGCATTGTAAGAGCATATGGTGCTGCCACCAAAATGGAAAAACTTGATTAAGTCTAAGTGACTTAGCATATCTTCTGACATGGTCACATGGCATGTTTCTCCACAATACTTTTCCTACATCTTTTCTGTTCAGTTCTGATTGCTCGAGTGACCTGTGGTTCTCTTTGTTTGCCCTGTAGGATATTTTCTGAACTCAGTAGCACTGAAATGCATCTCATTGTTGTCAGAGGAATAAATTTACCAGCTCCACCAGGTAGTTGACAATTGCCATTTAACTGTTTCTTAGAATTGTTCTGATTTTGGGATTTTATGATGATCAGATGTGCATGTTTCACAGCTGTTTGAGCCCTTCCAAACCTTTCCATTTTACTTGGCATGGTCTTTTAAAACTCTGAACTCCCAATTCAGGCCCTGAGAGCCCTAGCTTGGTCCTAAGTCCATGAGAGCAGAACTCTTGCTGGTAAAAAATGGGGGAAGGTGATCTCCCCTGCCCTGAGAATTCCCGGAGGGCTGCTGAACCTTCAGTGCAGAAACTGGCAGAATCAAGCTTCAGGCAGCCCTCTTCTGCTGCTTTGGAAACTCTTCCATGAACAGAAGAAGCCTTTCCATTTACGGAGTGGCAGCTGAGGATCCAAGCCACTGAGGCAGTTGAGTATTAAACAGTTTCTGCTTTGGTGTGTGGTGGAAGAGGTGCCTTCATGCACTGCATTTTATCTTGCCTATTTTGTGAGGAAGCCAAGTTGACTTGCATAGCCTTCCTTCATTCTGTTTCATTCTAACTACAACTCTGTGAGGTAGGATCAGTTGAGAGTGATCGGCTCAAAGTCACTCAGTGAGCTTCATGGCTGAGTGGAGACTATAACCCAGATCTTCCAGGGTCACAGTTCAGTAGTCTAACCACTACACCGTATTGGCTCTCACAGGTTCTGTGTAAGGAACAGTTACAGTATGAAAGAACTACGGTGATGCTGAAACTTCTGCAGTTTTCCCCCCAGGCTCTCAAAATGAGCCATCCAGGAACTGAATTGAGTGACCTGGTTCATGTGTTTCTTTCCTAATGAGGTTACAGCACTGGGAATACTTTGCAGCGAGGAACCAAAATGGGTGAACCAGTACAATGTCTTATTGTCATTTGCATTGAGCAGAACAATGTGGAGCCACTACAGAGGTGGCGCACAGCTCCTACTTCCGCCCTGCATATGCACTGAGGTGTTCGGTGATTTTCCCTGTAACCACGAGAGGCAAAACGTGATGGCTGTTCATCAGTACAGGATGGGATTATTACAGGATTTACCAAGCTGTTTGGGATGCAGTGCACAGTGTGCATAAAGTAGAGGGAGGTGGGATATGTTTCTCCCTCTCTCATAACAGAACTTGGGGACAGGCTACCTAAGGAACCCCCTTTGCCAATGTCCCTATCCAGCAGAAGTCCTTTTCTGAGATCCGCCCTCCAAAGAAAAGAGAGGGGACAGGACGGGGGTCTTCTCTTTGGTCGCTTCCCACCTGTGGAATATGCGCCACAGGGAGTTTTGCCTGGCACCCTCAGTGCTCTCTTTTTGGCGCCAGGTGAAGACCTTTTTATTTCCCAGGTGTTACTGTAGTTAAATTGGATTTAACTCTGCTTTTATTTCTGATTTGCTCCATGCCTTGCTTTTTATCTTCTTTTGCCATTAACTGACAGATTTTTGTACTGTTTTTCAATTATTCATTATTATATTATTACCTGTTTTATTGATATACTGTTGATCTTATTGTATTTTATTGTAATCCACCCAGAGAGCTCTCTGGGCTATGGGGTTGTATATAAACATAATAAATAACATTCAATAACCAGGTCATCCCTTGAAGCTGATTGTGGGAGGTTTAAGACATATGAAAGGATATATTTCTTCACCCAGCATATAGTTAAACTGTAGAATTCGCTGCCACAGGGAGTAGTGATGCTTGCCAATCTGGGGATTGGATGGGCGCACGGGGAAGAGGCTATCAGTGGCTACTAGCCTTGTTGGCTATGTACCACCTCCTTCACCAGAGATGGCATGCCTGCATACACCAGTTGCTGAGAAACTGGTCAGGAAAGGTCTTGCTCCCACCCTGCTTGAAGGATCCTGTGGGCAGCAGGTGTACCACTGTTACCGAATGCTGGACTAGATGGACCTTTGTTCTGATCCCGCATGCCTTTTCTTAGATTCTTAAGAGTACCTTTAAATATAGGCTGCTACTTATTTGTTCCTGTGAGATCTTTGCCAGTTTGGTGCCAGCACTGTGTATGCTTTAGGTGCATTACATCTAACGCTGACTTGATGGATCCTGAGAAAGAATGTTTATGTTACTAAATTAATCTTTTTACCTAGGTGTGGCACCAAATGATTTGGATGCATTTGTGAAATTTGAATTTCATTACCCTAATACTGTAAGTACACATCAAAGACCTACATTCCACATAAAAATTTATAATCTAAAATGTGTGCATTCATTTCTTGACATCCCCGAGTGACAGTGTAATATTTATGATTTAATATTTTAATAACTTTGCTTCAAACGTGTTGCTTTGTTTTGGCGTTACTGAATAAAATTGATCAGCGCGAGGCTGGGTGGCTTACTGGTGAGAAGACAGTTTAGGTGACTGAAGCAGCTGCGAGTGTTATGGAGATCTTAGCCCTGCCTGCTTCTCATAGGAACGTTTTATGTAGTGCTTCTCTTAAGTGGCCCAAAGCAGTTCGGATGATCTCAGTAGTCCTTAAATCCCAAGCATGTAAAGTTGATGAGAAATAATATACTGATATTACAAATGGGGCTAAAGGGGAGGTAGATTATCAAGCCAAAAAGGAAGTGCTTCTAAAGAAGTTCCTTCCATATAACTCAGCTTCTTAATCAGTAAGCTGCTGCAGTTGACATTAAGTCCACCACTCCACCCCTTTCCCCATGACTTGAAAGGTCATTGAAGTCCCCAAGAAAGATAATTTAAGTCCCCTCTCAGTTGCTGTGGGACCAGACCTGCACAAGGTAAATCCCACAGACTAATTGCAGATCCCTCCATGATCATGGATATCTCCAGCCTGTTTCCATCTAATTGTGATATTAATGGTGGGCTGTGCAGATCGTCAACAGTGATGACGAAAGGAAGCTTATATTCGTATTTTGTTGCTTCTCTATCAGTTCAGAAGCATGTCTTTCCCAATTTTAAAAGGTGCTCCAGCCAGGTTCATCTGGACAACCTTTGTATGCAGTCTGGCTCTGAGTCTTCTGGGCCAGTGCACACATTTTATTTGAACTACTGGGAGAATGGCTACCTTATGTTGCTGAGTTAAGTGTGGAAGAGTAAAGAACAGGCCTGATAGAAGCAGCACATAAAGAGGCTAAGAGTAAGAAAAGGAGGGCGATATAGTAAGGCTTGCCTGCACCCTTTCTCTGGAAACCAAGTAAGTCTAGGGCGAATGAATGAATGAAGGTGATGGGGGTATAAAGAGACATTGATGGTACAAAGAAAAGGTTGTTCTACATGAGCTAATGAACCTGGGGTGCAGGGAGGCTTCTAGGGTGGGGAAAAAGAAGAAAAGTGCAGAAGGAAATTGTGTTACAGGGATTGGAGGAAAGGGGCAGGGGTTAACAAAGAAGACTAAGAGGAGAAAATAGAATTTAAAATGCAATTGCAAGCATGGCCTTGGGAGTGATTTGAATTGCATGCTCTTGCTTTGGATAAATGAATGTGTAGACTGGCCTTCGTACAAGACGTATTATTTCTACAATAAGTTAGAAAAATAGTGCGTCTAGCTTGTGTAATTTGACACTTGTGTGTCAACAGGAGGTAAGGAGTCTCCTTATGAAGATAGGAAGTCTATATTGCTTGATAACTAGAATCTCTTCTAGAAGTGGCTACATTGATTGGGTAACCTTGTCCTTGTTCATTCCCTAGGGATATCTTCTGCTTCGCTTTTGTGTCAGAAGTTTACATATTTTGTATATGACTGAGGATGTTAAAAAATAGTGATGGTGTAGAAGCTTGTTAAATGATCTGTTGGAGCATGCTTCATGAATTTTCCAAAATTCCCTACTTGTTTCTTTCTTGAGGATGAGAATGGCAAACAAATAGTGAAAACCACATCCATCAGGGCTTTTGTTCTGCAGGAAAACAAAATTAGGGAGGCTGGGGTTTTTCCGTGCTTGTACTGGGTCCAATTTATCTGTTCCCCATGCAGTATTTGTTTTTACTTCAGATGTGAACACCATATTGGATCTTCAGTTAGTTATGTATAGGTAATTCCTGGGGATGACTTCATCTACATTTGAGTCATTTTTTCAGACAAAAGCAAAATAATGCCTTGCAGTAAATATCTCTTGAATAGTGGTGTGTTGTTGCTAGTGCTTAATTGTCTTTAAAGTATATCTTTGTGTGTGTTTTTTTTCCTTAAAACAGGAGCAAGCACAGAAAAGCAAAACATCAGTGATTAAAAATAACAACTGTCCAGGTGAGCATGTTCCTTCTTACATTGTTGGTGGTCGGATGGGGTGCCTTCTTTGAGATTGTCATTTCAGAACTAGGATACACAAGTGAAATCTGTTTTATGTTTTTAGATTAATTTTAATTTCCTGTTTGTAGAATTATTTCTGTGTATGAGCCTATGAAACTATCTCCTCCAGAGTTAAACAGTTGGGCTATAAACCTTGTATTGGCCACCTGAGTGGCAGTAACCTCCTCCAGAGGGGAGCAGCCTTTGCTGTAATAAATGAGAAAGACTGTCCCTCTGATATTAGTTTAAGTTCTCTAAAAATTTTAAAAAGCTGATCAAGGAAAGTAATGCAGTTGCAGATTTTCAGAGATCCTGCTGTGGCTCTTTGAATCAGAGCCTCACTTTTGTTCTGTGCTTTGAACTGGTCATTTTGCTCTTGGAGCAAAAACCCAAGATCCAAATGTTACTTTGGGATCGTAACATTTGCTCCTAGGAGTTTTCTTCCTTTAAAACAAATTTTTCACATCTTGTACAATTAGTAAATTCCTCTGTGCTTTGCCAGTTCAGCAGAATATGAGGTGTGAACTTAAAAAAAATTAATGGGTGCCTGTGCACTGCATGCATGTGGGGCACTTGTGGGGATCACTGCCGATATGTGCTTTTTATTTCTGAGAATTGGTAATCAAATCAGTAAGGAATAGCTGTGGATTTCAGTGTATGGTGGATGAATTTAATCAGGATTCTTATTCCATATGCAACTTCTTCTCTTGTTATATAAAATGGAGGATTGTGTTACAGAGTTGAACAAAAAACAAGTGCCTTTTTGTTGAAATTTTCTTTTAAAGTAGTTGGCACTAAGGATAGCCAAGAGAATGCTTTGCAAAAGGCTAAGGCTTTAGCTGACCGGTCAAATTGACTGTTCTCTTGTAAGTTGAAGGGACACTTAATATTTTCAAGATCTTGTAAAACAAAATGATTAAATATGAAATTGATTGCCCAATGTATAAAATTACGGTGTTGGCTTTTTACGTATGGTTAGAACTGTTGATCTGAATGAATGCAAATATTAAAATAGCTTTCTAGGCTTAGTTTCTGCCTGGGTGGTGCAATAGAGACTTTGGATTAAGAAGGTGGAATAAGTGCAGTAGAAACAAAGGCTAAGCCGGTCCAAAATTGCTCACAGGCATTTAAACAGGACGCCCATGCATTGTCAATCACCCCTATTGCCCGAGCTGACAGTGGTAACCAGTAAAGAGACTGGATGAGAAATGACCCTCAAAATGGAAAGTTCAACTGTGGGGGACAAGCAAGACATCAGGAGAATTAGGCAACTGGAAATGTGGCTTGGATATGGGGAAACTGTGGGTGGACACTCTATATATAGTACTCTGCATTAGGATGTAAAGAATCTGGCCAGAATCTGTCCTCCTTGCACTTGCTTGACTTCTTTCCCATGCTTAGCCCTGGCCAGGAAGTGAGCTGAGTGAAGACTGAGTCTTTGCGCAAAGCAGGTAAAGTCCGCAGGTCACACTTATGAAAGCAAAACTCTTCTTGAACTCACTTCCTGCCTTTCACCCACGCAAATGCCTGATGTGAGGTGGACTTGGGGAAGAGAGAAAGTAGGCTGGAGCCTGAGGAGCTGAGCTAAGGAAATCTGACGAATTCCTACCCCCAAACTGGATTCCTGACACATCCCTATTCTGCACCCCACCCGCAGAATGTTACGAAGTCTTTCTAGGGTATGTGTATGCAGAATCTCTGAATTCAAGGCATTGTGTTTTGATTTCAGGAAAGGTGATCAAGATCCAAATCAGATATTAAGCAGAACACAGAACAACATACACCCTTTTGGGTGACTGCTTGCTTGAAAGGCCCTCTATGGCAAAATAACCCACCTGTACCTACTGATGGACAAAGTACATGCTCTGCTTGATCTTGAATTTGTCTTGAGTGTCTCATGAATCTTTCCTGGCATTTCTAGTGTATGATCAGCTGTTCAAGTTGAACATCAACCGAAATCACAGAGGCTTCCGAAGAGCCATTCAGGCCAAAGGAATAAAATTTGAAATTTTTCACAAAGGGTATGTGTGAAAAGGTGTCTCCAGTGTTGCACTGATTCCTTGTACCCTGCCTAGGAAAACTTTAGATTTGAAGATGAATGGCCACATTCTGTGACTTGGATAGCTTGCATAAGCTAAACAATATGAATAACTTAGTTAATGCTATTGTAGAAGGCAGAATACTCCTTGCCAAATAGAATGATTGAATGCATTCAGTGCCAGTAAGCCCATAGAAGGCTATGCCACTGCTCAGACTGGATGACTGCTGCAGCAATAAAACTGTCGTCTTTGTGATCCACTGCAGGACTAACTCAGCCATAGAAACGAAGCAAAGGCCAACCTGTGCAGTAGGCAGTCATTAGTTAACACCTTTATCTTACAGTTAATTGGGTAAATTACAGTAAGGGCAATGGCCCTCATGGCAATGTGGATATTAGTGTTAACCTGCTTAGGATTAAAGCAGCAACTTGAAAGGAGCCCCCTCTTAGCCAGAGGAACTTGCTAAAGGAGAGATGCTATATAATTATAGCCCATCATGGAGCACTTCCTAGTGCCTCTTTTAACGTTATACAGACCAGTGTAGCAGGTGGTTTGCTGAACCCAAACTAGAAACAACTTCCAAGAACCCTTCTTTTGAGTAACCCTGGACCCTACCCCTCTGGGAGAGCCCTTCTGAAAGCAGGCAAACCTCCTAGCCCTCCTTCTTGGCTAGCCCCTCCCCCAGTCCCGTGCCATGGGTTCAAGGATCATAACAGGCTCATCTGACTCCAGCCCCTTGCCCCCTCCTGGCGCTTGCAGACTCTGGCTGTTCCCAGGGTCTGCCAGAATACCTAGATATGGTGGCCTTGAGATGAGCTGCCTGCCTCTGCCATCACTATCTGTGCCAACCTGACCCTGAAACTTGTGCCAGGAACCACCCTGATAAAGCATGTACAGTCCTGCACATAGCTTTAACCCAAGGTAAATGCCTGAACAGAGCTGATTGCTGCATACTTAAAACAAAACCCTCTCATCTTTTTGCATGTGGAAAGAAATGAGTGTGTATTCAAGCTCAAAGCTTGTTGTTCCTCTCCGTTATTGAGGGGTGGCTTTGATGCACATGAAAATGGTTTATTAGGTTCAACACACTTCTGACAGTCTCCAGGAACATTGTTTTACCACACCCTATTTCAGGTGAAAATGTATTCTCTTAAAATTGGAGCTTGCAGAAAACACACTGCTATTGCTGTATGTATGTACAGTTTGCTTCAATGACTCTGAAATCCCCTACCAAAGTGCATTTTATGCTATTGTCCATTCAGCTCTTTTTTAAAAGTCATGGAATGCTAGGCCCATCTCAACAAGATTATTTTGCAAAAGGCAATTTCCTTGCTCATTTCTTAGGCTAAAAATTTATTGTGTGTGCCAATAGGCCAGAGTCTAAGCTTTGTGATAACTGATAGTACCCTACACATATCTTTTCTTTCATTCTTATGATGCAAGGCTCCTTTTTATTGTTTTCTTATAGTAGTTCTATAGAGCTCTTAGAGGATCAAGGGCTTTATACTCCATTCTTGACCTCAAATGAATAACAGAATTATTTGATATCCTGAACACATTTGGATGTTGCTGTTTCCCATAATGTTTGCTGAGAAAAGAAACTAATTCTCACCCTGCTGGTTTCCTCTAGATCATTTTTCAGGAGCGACAAGCAGGTGGGGACAGCACACTTGAAACTGGACAAACTGGAATCCGAATGTGAAATCAGAGAAATAATTGAGGTACAGTTCATACTTTGTTCAAGCAAACTATGAAGTTACTTTTTTGAACAATATACAGTGTTGTATTAAAATATATGGCATGGGCTTTCTCTGCATCATTTCCACTGCTAACATAGCTGTGGTCTTCTGTTCTCATGGTGTTTGTTATATGCCAATATCAAAGCATATGGCAAGTTTTGGAGCCAAGACCATTTATAGGTATAGGTTGGTTGATCCTTGGAATCAGTTGTCTTATTTTTTTAATGGGGTGCAACATTTCAAAAGCAAGTGCTATTATGCCACTTTGAAAAGAATGTTTCTTCTGTAGCCTGAAATGTGGGAGCCTGGTTCAGGGTTGTCAGCAAGGAGGAGTGCTTGAGAACATGAAACTCCTCTTGCTTTATAACTCCTCCTAGATGGTGCTGCTCTTGGTTCCTTGTTCTTTGGACTAGGATTCCTTTTATTTCTGATACTCATACATGAGAGTAACTCTTCCTATAGCCAAAGCAGCACCATCCATGTAGAAGGCAAACATGATTAGGGAACTCCCAGTGTTCCCAGAAGTGCAAAAAAAGAAAAAAGAAAAAAAATCCTGTGGGGGAGAGAACCTGGAAAATGGCCTATGGGAGCAGACAAACTGCTGACTGGCTTTTGTGTTGGAAGGGATGGGATGAAAAACTGGATGGGAGGAAGGCATGGCGGATTCACTGGAACACTTAACAGGGATGCTCTACACTGCAACATTTTGTTGGAGGCCTCGCTTTAGTATTTGGAAGCCTGCTCCTCAAGAAGAAGTGAAGGCTGTGCTTAGTGTTCAGCCAAGTGAAGAGAGTTCTGTGGATTTTTGTTGTTGTAGGCAAGATTTTTACATAGCTTTTCTCTCTGTCTTAGGTTTTGGATGGCAGGAAGCCTACTGGAGGGAAACTGGAAGTAAAAGTGAGACTCAGGGAGCCACTTAGTGGGCAAGATCTTCAAACAATTACAGAAAACTGGCTAGTCCTTGAACATTAGTTCTGCATAAGGTAGGAACTATTTTTTTATGTAAACTCCTAGTTAGATGCCTACAAGAACTATCTCAGTCTGCTACTCAGTTTGGTTATTGTGACAAGTAGGTTGTCTTGCAAAGATCTGTATTTCAGCTTTGCATTTGCTTAAAACATTTCTATCCTACATTTATCACTAGAATAACTAAGATAATTTAAAATTAAGACCAGACGTTTTTAGTGTTGTTACGTCGTAAGAGAGAAGGGGATTGCCAACCAGCAGTATAATTATATTACGGCCACAAAACCAAATATTTATGCCAAGGTTGTGAACTGTTCTATTATTTTATTTAAAATAATTTATCCCAGTCTCCCTCCAAAAAAGTTTCCCAGAATGGTCTACAATCAATTAACAAAAAGGCAGTCCCTTCTACATAGGCTTGCAATCTATTCCTTAGAAAGCATTATACTAAAAAGTAGTATGAATTTGCATTTGAATTCTGTGTTTGAAAGCAAACTGAAAATACCTTTTATAATAGAGGTCAGGCTTCTATTTATAATGATCTCTATTGCCACAATGTTGTCTTCTATATCTTTAAAACTACATTTATTTTTTCCTCACATTAACACAGATCCAGGAAAAAAGCTGCAGGATGGACTTTATATTCATAGAGCTTCTGCAAGCACCAAAGATGTTCAATGAATGCACTACTGAACATAACATCTTTATTTTCATAACTATCATATAGTATGAGTTGGTAAGCTTTGTAAGTCTACTATTGGAACTGAATATTACTGATCCACAAAGACAGACTGACCTGTCTTAAGCATGGTGAGATTAATATTGTTGGTACGACATGAATGTTACCTGTTAACAGACTGGCTTGTACAAAGGAAGGGTGTCTTTACAGAGTGGGCAAAAAGCTTTGTCTTAACGTATAGCAGTATACTAAATATACTGCTGCAGATGAAATTAATCCTGAATTTACAAATAAGATTGTTCCCAGCCCTAGAATAAATGCTAGGAGTTCAGTAGCTATTACTGTTAACCACTTGTGTATTCTCTTTACATCGCCAGGAATAAGGAATTCTTTAAACTATTGTTATCTCTCTCCCCACATTATTTAAAGCACACAGTCACACCATTTGCTTGAGAGCACACTAGCATGAGCCTTTGGAAAGAGGCCTGTACCATAAGTGAGAAGGCTAACAGCTGCTTTTTAAAGTGCTCTTCTTCCCTGCATTTTATTCTGCTTGTCTTCAGTCTTCGACAGAGGCAGAATGAAATCTTAAGAATTTCAACAGCATTTCAGTTTTGATTCAGAAAGGAGGAACACTTTAACAATTTGGTGGGAAAAAAATAACATGAGATCTTGCCTGTTTTGAAGAATGTAACACACACAATTCTAGGAGTCTGAAGTTGCCTGTTTTCCCTTTGCATAGCCTACACAAGGCAGTTGCAGATGATTTTCACAGTATGTGTGTGACTTCATAAATCTAAGTCTGCCATGCAGGCAGCATTTTTTTCTGTCTTAAGAAGAAAGAGACAATACAGTGCTCAATTTTTAATTTTAATAAATTTAATATACAAAACTACATGTTGAAAATAAAAATATAATATGCAGTCTTTTGCAGTGTTAACTGAATTTTAAAAGTACATTTTTTTTCTTTAAACAAGTACTCATTTCTTAACAATATGGTAATCTTAAGGTATATTTTAAAGGCTATGGTTGAAGCAAACCAGTCAGTCAATAGCATTTTGCACAAACATAACCCAGACAAATTATTTTTTGTTGGGGGAGGAGGAAGAAAAATAGTTTCATCTCCCTCTGTCAGTAACTTACTAATGTAAGACCAAAGCCACAAACCTATGCCTGTTTAGACAGAAGAGGGCCAACAATTCCCAGCATGCCTGCCTGGAGTGATACTGGGAGCTGCACGACTTTTTCCTCTCTTAACAGGCATAGGAGTATTCATGAAGTTACTGGGAAAGCTGCTTCTATGGTGAAACTGGGGTGCCATTTCTTGAAGTAGGAATCTACAGCAGCTATGTAGTAAATTGGAATAGATTTTGGAAATTCTGTCAGTAAAACTGAATGCTGTCACAGGAGGAAGCAAATCTTAAAAGCAATTTGACTTTATAGTCAAGGAAAACACCAGGAACCATAAGTTTCTTAGAAATGCTGAGTAGGGTCCTTGCTCTGTAAAGGATTTCACAGGTGCCTATTAGTGCCTGCTGTGCCCCATCTCCCATAGCAGAATATTGAGCACCTTTGGTAAGCTCAGCACGACCTAAGAAGTAAATGCAGATTGCATGGCCATCTATTAATTTAGTCTAACTATATTTAGAAATAAGAGTAACTTCTCCTATCCTTTAATTTGCAAACCAGGTCTAACGCCCTTGTCTCCTCCAGGGTCCTGTTGCAGTTTGCAATAGGCTGTATTAGGAAAGGTTTTTTTTTTTTTTTACTAATCTTAGGCAAGCAGTGGCAGCTTGCTTGAAAATGAGTTCTATGTATATTCAATTACACTTTGCTACTTACAGAGAAGTTAATTATCATAGCTGTCATTGCTATATACATTTGCTTTTTTAAAAAATGCAAGTGTCTCAACCTTTAACAACTGCTGCTCATCCGTACTACTGCTGATCCAGTTTTAAATCTGTATTGAAAAAGTGGAGCTTGTTCAGTCCATTATCTCCTTGCACATGGATGGCAGCAATTGTGGATGGCTGAAGCCTGTATTTGTCTTCTCACTCTTTGGGACAGCTCTTCCCACTAATTATCAATTTCTCAGGGACAGAAATTAGAAATAACAGGAATGTGTTCGCCTTCTTTGCTAACTCTCATTGCTAGTTTCGTATGGTGCAGCAAGAGGGTTCAAGCTGGTCTCCTCTCAAAGGGTGTCTCAGGTGAGGCAGAGCACAAATTGTCCAGCCTGAAGTGAAAGCAAAACATGCAACAGCAGCCAAACTCTTACAGTTCTCACAGGCTAGCGTTACATGGTGCTGCTACTATAAAGTGTTAGATAAGTGCAGGCTTAATGGTAGGGATAATGTAAATACAGTGCACACCAATCAGGATAATCAAGAAAGGACATTCCCTTAAAAAAGAAAAAAAGGACCAGCTGGAAAGAGAACAGTAATTCCATGTAACGGCTCTTCAAAGCTAACGATTCTCATGCCTGTGACGGCACTTTCAAAATTCACAGACATATAAACAAAATCATGGCAGATGTTCGCCAATTTACCAGTCTGAGGAGGAAAGTTCCACAAGTGGAAAAAATGTAAAACTATCCTATTTATACACACAACTGCAAGCTTAATTTACATACAGCTTTTAGAGAAAGATTGCTGCTTTGTTTGGGGCAGACATAAAAGGTACCCTCAGTCATGTGGCTTCCTTTCTGTACATCTCTATAGAATATCTCAACATGTCTTGGAGGTACTTCAACCAATAATCTGGTCAAAATATGTAAACGATAATTTTTAAATGTCTAGAGAAGTTAGCCATAAACGGCAGTATAATGAGGTCAGAATGGAGGTCTTGATTGTTTCTTCAACACAAGTTTTACAAACAATAAACATTACATTTCCTTTTTATTTACTTCCAAGTAATCTTTGCACCCGTTTGAGGATTGAATACATGACTGCAATTGTCTTAAAACATTACCATTATTTGTTTTTAATCTGTAACAGAAGTGTATTAGCTGCAAAGATAGCATAGCCGTTTTGTATTATAGAAGCTGCCCTGATCCTGTTGACAAATGCATAGACAATTCAGAGTTATGGAGCAACTGTTCTCACCCCCACCCCTCCCCCACCCCTTCATAATAGTGTTAACAAAAAGCTTAATTTTCCAGTTTTAAAGTGCAAATGATTCAGATTCAACTGCTGCTGGAACAGGTCTGAACAGAAAATGAAGTCCTCTTATGAGATGTTTTCCAGAATATAAAAGATAAGCTCCATGATGATGGGGCCTTCATTCAGCTGGCATGCTCCTCCATGAATCACTGGAACTAAGGCACTGTCCAGATCATTCATGTACTGAGCAGGCAGTGGCTGGCTATTGCTTCCAGCCTGGTAGCCAACCTACAAAACACACAATAAAAGGAGAAAAGAACCCTTTACTTTGTTTTGAAATGAGCATGTGCACAAGAAAGAGACTGTATCCTCAGAAAGTTAAAAAAAATATGGTTCAGAAGGGACATCTTCATGGAGGAGTGGTGGTAGATAAGCAGGATCTGAATCACATGTGCTTAAAGTAACCCTTTAAGATCACATGTATCATAATTCAGAGTACATTAATACAGAGATCTTCAAATAACCATTGCCCAGTAGAAATAAAAGAAAGCTCAAGTTTCCTGAAACACAATAGAAAAAACAAGCAAGCAAGAAGAGTAATAGTAAATAAACTGGTCTGTGTGAAATTTGTATTTTCTAAGATTAATGGATAGCTAAGTGCACAACATGAAGAATCCTTTTCAAAGAATGAACAGTGCAACAGCATCTGTTCACATACCTTCACATTAAGGAAGCAGAAGTTATGGAAACAAGTATTTTTCTTCTTTCAGAAATGAGGTTCAATACTTATATCAGCCACACAGAATACTAGACGAAGAGAAATTTGCCGGAGAAATTGTTTTAATTATGGTTACCAGCCAGTCATTTTTCAACCTCAACAGCTGTCCCAAATGGAATCTGACAACTAGTATGCCTATATATGTGTGGCAACATTTAGATATGTCTAATAAAGGAACTTAGTTATCTAGATAAAATGCAGGGCATGAGGTGAAGTTGGCAAATGCTACTGGCGGCTATGGCTTGCTCATGCCATTGGATGCTTGAGAGTCTTGGCTGATTGGAGGCTTGCAACTAACTGGTTCAAACAGTGGAATAATTGACGGCAAGTGCCTATAAACTCCCATTTAAAAGGGCTAAAGAAGAATACATATCATTTCTCCTTTGCCTGTGCCTCATAAAACTGTGTGAAAGGCTGGTGGCCCCCTGGAGCAACTAGAGAAGTGGAGGGTTCCTACACCCTTTCTCCATCACTGATCCTAGTACCGTGTTTGAACAGAAGATGATTTTCCATTTGGATCCAATCCAATATTCGCATCAATGACCAAACAAAAGAAATGCCAAAAGAAGGCAAAGGAACTATTCATGCTTTCTTTGGCTTACTTAACTACACACACCAAAGTAGCAGACAAAAGTAGTTGCTTTTATCTTACTTGATCAGCATCAAGTGTAACTCGTAGACCCAACTTGGTCATTCCATCTTCTTTCAACAGCTTCAAGTGAGGGCACAAGGCTAAGCAGAAAGCCTTAGCCACATTCTCAGTCAGCCTGCTGTGATCTGCTGGGTCACTTAGGCCATTATGTTGGTCATCATTTTCCAGAAAGAAAACCTAAAGAAAGAAATAATTGTTCTATATACAGCCCAAATAAATTTACGTCTCTATATTTCCGCATTGTCACACTAGTCTTAGAGTTCAGGAACACCATGACACAAGCAATTTTTCTAATCTGTTCAGTTAATGGTGGGTCCTGAAGTCTAAGGGAAGTAGATGAACTAGTTTAGGCATCTTGCAATGGGAAAGGTTGGTTGTTAGATGTCCTGCTGTCACAATGAGATCCTTTTCAGCTTCTGACTATTTAATACTTAGAATTTGACCTAATTCTACTAGTGTCCAGTTCATGCCACTGCTATGAAGAAAAGTTGAAAAAGATCAGCTAAGATAATTTGTGCATGCTGACCACCAATACTGCTTACAGGGAAAAGAAAGTGATCCATAAGACTGATGAAACACAGAGATGCTTCCTGAATATGAACTATTCTAGAACAAAAAAGAATTATTTTATTCATATTTCATGGTATGCCACCTAGGTTTGAATTAACTCACAGTGGGAGTAAGCAGCAGCTTGTCATGTCATACAAACCTGGCCTTTGTGGATTATTTGAGGTGTAAGCAAAATAATCCATGATGCCCAGGTTCATACTACATCACAAGCCATGGCATACCCCACCACAGCTTGCATAGTCAAAATGGCAGTTGGTGCAGCTCACACAATCCTATGGGGTAATTAACCCATGATGGGTTACTGTAAAATATGAAGCAGCCCAGTCTGTTTTTACCTTCAAAAATTAACAGGTAAGCAAAGTATTGAGGCCATTCCAAGTCAGGCAGAAGCCACACAATGAATCTTTCTAGCCTCCCTCAACCAGAAACATGTCTTCATGTTCAGTATCTGCATATTTAGTGGAAGTTAACTGAGCCCTTTCTGGTTTTTCATCAGGCTTCATTTTTATGGTCAATACAGACACACTATGCAAAGTCACTAGATTTCGACTTTAAAATGCAAAACAATCTTGTTTCCTTACCTCTGTCCACCTAATGACCTTCCCATTTGCTTTATAATCTGAGCCATGAAATATCTTGACACTTGTGATAGATTCCATAGATTTTCCATCAATAGGGCTTACAACACTTGAAAGAGGAGGAGTAAGCAGCATATGTCAGTACATCATACCATGTTTAGACAAACCAAATTTTACAGGCTTTAAAAATGCTTCAAGTTTTACCATTAAAAAGTAAAAGCCAGCCTCCAAAAACAAGACAGTACTGTTGCGATACATTTTAAGGTCAATTTGTTCCATGAACTAAGTAAGTAGAGGCACAAAGCTCAAATGAACACTTCTCAGCAGCACTAACATGCCCATGAAACTCCCATGTGAGCCAAATTTTTCCATTCTCTTCAATGGTATCTCACCATTGCATCCCACAAGAGCTCTGGGCAATGCAGTTCATTCTGTGTCTCTAATACACACACATATATATGTGTGTATCTATTACATATTGCAGGAGTACCAGTTGTTGGCAGTTCTTCATAGCAAATGCATTTGCCCCACAAAATGATGCATGCACAATTTCATACACCAAAAAGATACTAATGTATGAAGTCATGCATCAAAACCATATATAAGTTGGTATCTCTTAAGTTTAACCTTTGACAGCTGTTATGTAAACTCAGTTCATTCCAGCACTGATATCCTAAATGACTGTGCCCTAGTATAGCTGGTCATGGTACAAACCAGAGGGGAGGCAATCCTAGATTTAATCCAAGGTAGCGTTGCAAAGGACATAGTATTGGATGTAAATGTTGTTGAACCAATGTAACCACAGTGCTATCAGACTTAATATACGGGCAGGTGGAAGATTGCTAAAGAGTTTCAGTGGAATCACATTTAAATTCAAAGTGGGGACCGTCACTAAAATGAAGGAACTGCTTTAAAGAAGCAGCTGAACAGGACAGGCAAGAAAGTTAAATACCTTCAAAATGCGTGGAGATTATACAAAACCACAAGAATAGAACCACAGACAGTATACATACCACAAGTTAGGAAAGGTAACATGAAGGTCAAAAGGTCACCCACACGGTTAATAAGCAGAGTCAAAAGGGATGACTTGCTTCAAGAAATGAAAATCTTGCCGAAATCAGGAAAGCAAAAGGAAGCACAAGCTTGCACATAGGAGATGCAAGCAAACAATAAGAGAAGCAAAGAAACCTTTTGAAATGTTTTCACTAACAACATCAAGGCCAACAATAAAGAATTCTTTATCAGAAGAAAGAAACTACCCAGAGAGGCAGCTGGGTTATTAGATGATAGCAGAATTAAAGGAGGATGAGGAGAAGCTGCAATCAGGAGGATACAGAACAGATACCTGTTCCTGAACTTAAGCATTTAGGAAAGAGTAGGAGGAATTAAGGCAAATAAGTGACAAAAGGTAACAATGTCAACCTTATTGACAAAATCAAAGTCAATAAATAACCTAGAGTTCTTAAAGAGCTCAAATTTGAAATTACTGACCTTCTTACAAAAATACGCAATATGTTCCTAAGATCAGCCTCTTTACCAGAGGACCGGAGAATGAACAAAGTAACACCAATAGCCACCAGTCAGGATGCCTTTAAAACAGAACTGGACAAATTCATGGAGGAGAAGGCTCTCAATAGCCACTAGTCTGGCTTGCCCCTGTGTGAACAGAGTACCTTACTGGTCTGACCATTTGTGTGATCCCGATGGCTCTTATGTTTTAAAACTAAATAAGCTAATTTAAAAGCTTTCAAACAAAGACTGCTATATTTACCCTTTGTTGAAGTTTTTGTCATCATCCACCCACTGAACATGCACATGCTCTTGGGGCTCTTCAGCATCCATTTTACCACAAGCAATAGTGAAGTCTTTCATCTCTCTCAGCGCCTGCCTTAGGGAGTCCATATTTTCAGCTGTTATCTGGACCATAACACCATCTAGGAAAGATGTGACAAACTGTTGAAAATACCCACAGCACTTTTCACAAATCAGAGAAGAAATGCATGCATCAGACTAATGTTTCAAATGTGTACATCCTAAGTGCAAGTTTTGAATGTACATATGGCAGGGCTGGCTTTCACACTTCTATGGGGCATAAAGGTCAAATCACATAATCTAGACTACAAAATCAAAGTATAAGATTATGCAGATGAGACCTTACCCTAATCTAACTCTCCATCCACCCACACCTATCACCCAATATATATTGACTATCCAACATGTGGAGATGTGTGAGGAATCTGGTATGAGGGTGAAGAGACATTTCTACAATTCAGCACCCAGATTCTGGCTTGTTTTAGCGCTGTTCAGGAACTTTTGCAAAAGGTGAGCCAGCTTGTGGACTTCTTTCTATAGAATGAGTCTCAATTTGTACTTCAAGTACTAATATTTGTGTAACTGAACACCCCAAACATATGTGTCTTTACTCTGATTTGTGCAAAATCAGCCTATTTGTACCAGTGACATGTTGCGTCAATCATACTTTGTGCCAACTGGCCAATTATGCACAAGTCATGGTACAGTAACATGGTCTTCAGGTGCAAATGTCATAAGCAGTTTAAAAATGTAGCAAGCTGAAGCCTATCCAGATATGGTAGTCTATTTAAAACACACATACACACCCCTTGTCTCAGGATCCAGATTTCCCCATTCTGGTTCCTTAACTCTACACTGAGGCTTAACCCCAACCCTAACACCTAGGTGTAACCACAACAACAATCAGACAACATGCACAAAGGCAGTACTCAGATTCTCTTGTTTGCCCATTATTTCTTCCCAATCGAGGCGAGTTCCAGGCCTCTGGACAAGCACAGGAAGCCAGGTATTTCCAGTCCTAACTGTAAGTCCAGCACTAGCAAACAGGCATAATAATCCCTTTACATTTGGACAAAAACACAAGGGCCAATACTCAGTTTGTTCTTCTTGACTGCTCACTTTCTCTGCACCCGAAGCCAGTTCCAGGCTCCCTGAATTATAATTTAATTTTAATGATGGTCTTGTCATGGAATTCACTTGTGACCCCCTCCCACAGTCTACTATTCAAATTTCACCACAGTTTTTAAACTGAATTGTAATTATATAACTGTGATGCCTCTAAAAATATTTTATCACTCAGGAACAAAACCAAAAATTTATGCTTGCACTTTTATTTGCTGAAAACATAAAATACAGAACTAAAATAAAATCGGCAGTTAAGACAGCAGCTGTAGAGTGGTTTTCCAGTACTGCTAGGCAATGTTAGTGCAAGGGCCTGTTCTCACATCTCCCTGGATTCATCCTCCTTTCTGTTTATTTAAGCTTGTTCCTTATGGCTTGCATTGCTCAAAAATTCTACAGGAATCTAGTACTTAAGTTTAAAAATAGCAACATGTTAAGTTCTAACACAGTTGCACCATACTTTCAAGCAAAAAAGAAAACAAAAACCCCCCTACTGCCTTTGGTGAAAGCTGACAAATCTTACCTTCTACAATACTGGACTTGGCAAGATAGCCTGAAGATGATTTTAAAGCTCCACTAAAGACAAAGAAGCTGGCTCCAGTCACTGCAACAATTTGAGATATGAAGAAAGCTCATGTTGTGCATAAGAGCTAGATTTTAGAATTCAATCAACATCAGAGCAGCAAATAATTCAAAAACCAAATTTATGGAACCTTCCCCCTTTTTAGCCAAACACATTGGCAAATTTAAGTATTCAAAGAAAACCCAATTACTATTAACACATTTTAACTACTGCATTTTTCCCCTGACCATAAAGGCAATCCTGGAGCTTGTCAGAGGTGATTTAGCCATTGCCCTGAGTCAGATGTATCAGTAAACCATGGTTCAGTATTACAAGACTAAGCTCTAACCAATTTCACACATCCCCCACTCCTCCTCCTTCATGTGTGAGGCATTCCTTTTGAATAAAGTACAGTTTACCATTACATCCAGACTCTAGCAACCAACCAATTTAAATAAATCAAGTCAGAAATCATGGGTTATCATGGTCTTCCCCAGAAGTGCTGGATTATAGTTCCCATTATCTTGGCTGATGGTGGGAATTGTAGTCAAAATGGCTAGTTTAGTATTATGTCTGAACTGTGAAATAAACCTACCTAAAATGAACATTAAAATAGAAGGGTGAATGGAAGTAAACAAGAGTGAAGAGGAATTTAGCCACAGGATTAGCATGCCTGTACAAAGTGGTGTGATTGTGCTACATTTGAGAAAGTATGTCTCTTTCAAGTCTCAGTTTACATCACTCTCTGATACTCCTCAGAAGATCTATAGTGAAAGGTGAGACCATGTACTTGCAAAATGAAATGGGCCTGAGAGAAATGAAAAACGCATTAAGGAAATGAAGACGACACTGAATGGAGGGGGGGGGAGGAGGTGACATACTGTCTGCCGTTCTCACCCTTCCGTGGCTGATTATGAATACTGATGGCCTGTGTCTGATAGTTCCCATCATCATTCTGCACACACACTAGATGAGAGTCTGCCCGCTCATTGAAGCATGCACCACCTGCTAGAACATGCTCATTGGACTTGTTCATGGCTTTCATCATCTGCAACCAAACCAAAACAGACCATCTAGCATTACTATGCACTACTGGACCATGACCTAAAAAAAAGAAACATTTTTGACATGTGGGAAACTTTCCACGGATATAGTGGAAGAACATGCCATCTGTACTGGGGTCAAGTGAAGCTATGTTCAAAGGTATATGTCTAAGCTATGTTTAAAAACTTCCCCCCATCCTCAACACACACTAAGATTTTACCCTTCCAAAACTATTCGTCCTTGAAGCATATTTAACAGCCAAAAATAATCTGTGATATACACACTGTAAAAGATGTCATTTTTTTCAGATTGGAGCCAAAGTAAAAACACCACTGTATGCTCGGTGCCACTAAGTCTCTTGCTGAACAATAATTTGAAACCCAGTCTCCCAAATTCAATTGTAGTTAATTAAATAATTTAATAAAATCATTGCTGTTTTGCTGCTTCTGGAATCTGAGTGTCATGTATTCATAGCACATACCTCATTGTACCTGTTGCTGGGAATTTTGATGCTAGTTTTCCTCACTTCCATATCAACCACTAAGCCTTGGACAACTGGCAATGTATACTGGTAATTTCTGAAGTCCTGTCAATGCACAGAATAACTAAAACTGTGATAATTACCAACAGAGTTTCATTTTAACAGGGCAAGAACTATGAGTTAATATAAAAATACTACACTAAAATATACTTAATTTGCAATAAACAATATCTTCTTAGTACTGCAGTAAGAAAATAGATGGATATACTTTCTTTCAGAGGTAAGTTGAAACACCAAAGTAGCAAGGTCTGTGAACAATAGCAAGTAGGGAGAATCAATACTACACAAAGGAGCTGCTTTCCCTATTGGCAACTATGCTTTCAATTATGTTAGAGATACTTCATCTGCTGAATGAAGAGACCAGCAGCAAGAAGAGAGTACCCACCTGAAAATCCTGTGCTCCAAAAACTTTCCTTCCTGAACCCTTGAGAATACAGCACATGTTTAACACTTTTACCTTTGTGTACTTTAAAGGGCACAATCCTATTCAAGTTTAGTTAGGAAAAGGCCTACAACATCCAGCATAGCAACTTAAGAAGATAATTCAGAATTCTGTCAGATAAAGTCTTATTTTAGTGGGCATCACTGTGGCATGTAGAATATTTGACTTTCAGTAAAACAAAGTTCTACCATGTTTCAAAAAGGCTTGGTCACCCACAAACTGGAATCTACATTCACACTGAAAATCAATTATCTGTTCCACAGGTGTCAGGAACTTGTTGTACTCTCTTCTTGGCCTAAACTTTTCCATTTCCTGGAAAGTGATTGGCACAAGCTGGATGTGCACAGAGTAGACAAGACCTGCCTAAAACATACAGACTCTGATAGCCAATCCAATTCACTATTTAGCTCCTTCTACCTTACTTCCCTGAGGAAAACCAAATTCAAGTCTCCACAAATAATATAGACCCCAGGGCCACATTTTTACTGTTTACACTAAATAATCCCATACCCATCTGAAGAAACCTATTTGCTATAATATTTCTGGAATTACTATGTACATAAATTGAAAACTTTTATGCATTTATTTATTTTTAGACTTATTTTCTGCTAATCAGCCCAAGGGTCCTCTAGGTGGCTCACAATAAAATATAGGTTATACCCTTTTATTATTTAATCACTAGAGAAGAAAAGCCATCTTGTAGTCATCACTTACTGCGAGAAGATTCATAATTGTGTGTCCAGTCTCCCCAAACAATGGCTTACGAAATCTGACACTGAAAAGTGGGCATGGGTACACTAAGAAAATAAAAGTAAAATCAGACTCAATTTTCTCTTCTGAGGTTTCCTCAAAATATTTATCGGACTAGACAACCAGACCTAGAACAATACCAGCAGAAGCAAGACTAAAAGACAGAGTTGTTATCCGTTACTGTTCTTTGACTGTGTTCACATATGTAAACATTAACGAGAGGAATCCTTTTACCCATTCTGGTGCCCAGCTGATCAAAGACCTTTAGGGACAGAATGAGATCTTTACCTTTCTACTTGGGTACAGAAGTATAGTGGAGAAGATAACTATGCTTTCTATGTACACTCCTTCTCTACTCTCAGGTTTGCAGTTTTGGTGTACTCCTGGAGGCTGCTGTGAACCTGGATGCCAGGTTTTGATGGTGGCTAGAGTGAGTTTGCACAGCTTAGTCTTGTACACCAACTTCCTAAGTGAAATTCCTACCACATATGGTAGACATTTGCTATTAATCTCCTGTGTTTTCTCCTCAGCTTTCATATGGGCAGTGTGTGGGTGGATATTTATTTAGCACTACTGGAGTAATATACCATCTCATCATTATTTTATAGCAGTTCTCTCAGCCATTTTCAAAGAGCCTATGAGCTCTATTTGAACAGTTTACCAACTCTCCATGGAAATACATATTCTTATATTTTGTGTTTCTTTAACTATCAAATTTTGATCTATTCAGTCTCAGTATCAATATTTAAGAATAAATCACAGTTATTTGATAAGTACCTTTAAATGTCATAATTAATTTTTCAAAAGCTGTTCATTCTTAAGTTGTTCCTTTTCTCTAAGATGCATTCAGTTTGAAAATACTTAAGCTATAAGGAAATTTGGTCAATAGTATGTATGCCAATTAGAAACATCTTAAGAATTACAGTTTGGATCATAACTTTTTGTTCAGCGAATGGAAGAATTTAATGTTTCCTGAAAAATCTGTGCTTGTGGAAAGATTCTAAGCCAATATATCATCACCTACAAAATAGTAAAATCAGTGGAAGTTATATCCTTAGCCATTTTATAGGTACTGTACTTGAGAATCCTTGTTAAATAAAGAAAATTATCCTCTTAAATAAATAGATATATCATTTAAGAAAAACAGTACTTACACCTATATTCAGCTCCAAGTCTCAGCATCAATCGGATGGGAAATACTTTGGCCCAAGGAGTCTCCCATTTCTGGATAAGAATCCCAAATAAATATGGAGGGGCAGGGAGCACCAAATCCTGCAGCGACTGAAACGCAGGAGTAACATACAAAAAGCCACCATGCTCCTTACTACCAAGGAAACTCTGGCTAAAAAATGAGTGTCCTAAATTGCCCACAACATTACCTGCAAAACCAAAAGGTATTGTTATTTCAATGGGTATATATCATGAAGTTCTAAAGGCAGAATTGTGTATAGCACCTATTTCCTATTGTACTGCTAGTCATAAAGCAGAACATTTTAAAATTAAAGCATACTTATTTTAAACCACCTAAAATATGACAGAAATATACCAAAATAAAACATTACTCAATTGCAAATGAAACTTTATTTTTCAAACTTGCATTAGAAAACTTCACTACAGACTAATTTAAAGCATTACTTCATCATTTTCAACTATATCAGTGAAATCACACACTGTAAATGATGAACTGATGAAAGAAGAATATGGTTCCATTTAATCTGGTAATGTGACTATTTTTAGATTTTAGTCAAAAAATAGAATTTTTTAAACATCTAAAACCTGCAAGGGAATCAGAATAAAGTATTTCTCCTCTTGGTACCATACAGGTTTGCAAGAATATGTAACTCAATTAACATATAAAGTTCCTGTTCCAAAATCAGAGTGCCTACATGCTCCAAGGCACCTTGGCAAAACAGATTAATATACTGATATATTTCAACAGACTCACTGATGCTTAAACCTGAAAATTTATGACATATTTCTGTCTCGTATTAAGAGCACAGAATATAAACTTAACCACAGACAGATTGGCATATCTATTGCTGCCAGCCAAAAGGTATGGCAGATAGAAATCTCATGAACAGTGAGGGAACCTACTCTGCCTTTCCCTCAGTGAGGGAAAGGCAGAAGAATACAAATGGCAACTGAATAGAAAGTGTGGTAAAATTTCTATTACACTTCTGCCATAAGGGCAGAGTCTTTGAGAGTGGCTAATACCCTCGCAGCAGCCTAACCATTCTGTGAGTGGCATTTAGCCAGGAAAAGAGTTGGTGAAAAATGGGACAGTGAAAAAGGTAAAACAACTTGCTAGAACAGGAAAAGAAGGGGCAGAGAAGTCCCCCAAAGTGGGGAGCAACATCTCTTGGAATCTACTAGACCTGGTCTAATCTCCTCAATGATCCCAAAGGCTTCTCTCTAATATTATAACTATCAGAAGAGAAAGATCAAAGAAGATTAAAACCTAGACTCAGCAGTTTATCCTCCACTAACTTATCCCACACTGATTCATGGGAATCTATTGGGTCCACTTTAAAAGTTTAGGTAAGGACTCACAATCTAATAAAACAAGTTTAAATTTTACGGCAGCTGCCCAAGCCATTAGAGAAATTTGACTACAAGTTGAAACTGTACAAGGATCTAAAAGTATTTAACAAACAACTTATAATACTTGCAGAGAAAGTGGATAATAAAAAAGGTTTTATAATGGCACGTATATATTAAGTATGGTATATTCAACTTGTTGGACTTGTAAGGCTTTCCTATGGAAGGGCAGCTTTTATTATACTGAAATTAAAGGGATATGTTATTTCAGTAGTAATCCCATAATTGTAATTTCTTACAGTATATTCAGATACAAGACCTGCAGGAGAATTAGTGAATTGAAAAATGAGACCTTTACACATACAAAAGAGTACTTTGAGGCAGTATGTGCTGAGTGCTTTCAGGTATTCGTCTTATTAATGTATTTTATAAGGTGAAAGTGGTTTGAGAAATATTTTGCTCCTCATGATATACAGATATTCCTTTTGCCTAAATGTCATATCTAGTCGAATAGAATGCAGTATATTGCACTGTACAAAAACAGTGTCCATAAACAAATTATGTCAATTACACCATGGTGAAACTGCAGAGAATATGAATGTGGTAGGATGGAACAAAGTTCAATCAGCATCTGAAGACTAAGTGGAACACACCATTTTGGGTCCTTCCACTGGTGTGATCACAAGTAGCACATCTTGGCATGCAGAGTTGCAGAAAACTCCACAAGGTCAAAATACTGGTTTTAACTTTAACTCTAGATGGCTCGGGACTCCAGTATGTCAAGGACTGCCTCCTCCCATATAAAACTAACCAGTTTCTGAGGTCAACTTCAAATGCCCTTTTCTATGTGCTCTGAGAGAAGCTTGGGAGAAATCAGTACAGGAACAAGGATTTTCTACAGTAACCGCATGTTTGTGAAATGCTCTCCCCGTCATGATCCAAAGTTCCTCCTTTGAGCAGACAAAACCCACAGGCTGTTTTCCTTGCAAAATATTCTTTATCGCTCTTAAGTACAGATCACCCAGAACAAATCTCTGATCATGCACAGAGCGGTTTGTTGAACCCAATCTTTTTTTATCTACAGGACCATTCCCTAGAATATGCCTAAGTCCCATCCCCATGGGAGGGGCTTTCTGAAAGCAAGCATCCGTCCTCTATGTGTGCTGCTCATTCAGTTGGACCTCCCATCTCTAATGATGCCTTGCCATGCGGTCAAAAGCAAGTGCCTGGCCTGCATCTGAGAACTCCTCATACTCAGAGGTCCTTCCTATCAGCTGTACATCTTGGCCATTTCCAGGAACTGCCTGGCTAGGCAAAGCATCTGGCATTGAGATAATTATCCTCTTCTCCTCCTACATCTGTGTATCTTGACTTAGCCCATCCTCCTCAAACCCAACATAATCTATTTCTCTTTTTGATTCCAAAGAATAGTTTGGGATGCAGCCAGCAGTCCATGAGAATGATTGCCCCAGACCACCATGCTCTTTGTGTCCAATATTCCTGAAGGAAGCTGATCTGGAACCAACAGTGCAAACTTTACAGTACTAGGCAAACACATACTTATTTCCAAGGCATTGGGACATCAGTTATTGTCCAATTGTTATGGGTGGCTTTTGTGCTCATTCTAGGCTGTGAACAAGGAGGGAAACTTACTTAGAAAAGCAATCATTTACCGTTTTACTCATTTACGGTAATCATTTACTGTTTTACTTAATATCGTATTATATACTGCCTCATTGCCAGATTGAGTCAACAACCTTTGGAATTGAAAAGGATATCAGAATACAGAATACAGAATACAAGAATAAAAGAGAAAAGTAAGAGCAGATCTATCAAGTCCATCAGACTGTTTGCATAGTGGCCAACCAAATGAGCATGGAAAATTCACAAGCAGGACCTAAGTCTAACAGCACCCTCCTGCTCATGGATACTGGCATAGTGCCCCTGATGCATGACCATTATGACATAGCTACTGATAGTCTTACTCTCCATGAGCTTGCCTAATCCCCTTAAATTAGTTGTCCTTAACGTATGCTCTGGGGATGAGACAGACAACCTCAAGTTGCTATCGAACCCCTTATATAAAACTAACAGAGTGGAAGAATCTAAAAGCCACTGCGACATATGTTTATTTAATAATTTAAATTAAGTGCCAGTAGTCAGAGTTTTCAAAATGGTAGTTCTCTCACCTGCCAAGGCATCTCGATAAAGCTGCACAAAGTGATTGAAGATATCCTTGGGCAAACATTTCTCATCAGGTAAACACTGTAGAAGAATTACTATTTCTGACTGGCCTACTGCATGCATTCCCTTTGTAGTAAAGCACCAACATTTCCTATTCACATCTGCAGAAAAGAAATCATACTGGAAATTTCAAAACATGGACAAATGGAACAAATGTAAAGTGAAAGCAGACATAGCTGAAGACTACTCATTTGTCAAAGCCAAACTAGAACCATGGTACAGTTCAAAGTGGCCAAGAAGGCCACTGGGTCCATCCTCCTGCTCAATTAAAAACTCTAAGTTAAACCACCCCTCTCAGATGGCTGTCCATCTGTTTACTGAATGCCTCTAGCAGGGCAGAGCTCTCAACCTTCCAAGGTAATTTGGCATTTTTAAAATAATTAATAGCAGCCATGCATTGGGTATGTGTGGACTAAAACCACAGTCCTGTGAATAGGGAGGGGTTAAACCCTTTCCCCTGTCAAAATTAAAACCCCTCCAAAGCTTTTTGCCCCACAAGAATGAACATCCCATAGAACATAGTATAGTATTTTGATCTAGTTTGGTTCCTGCTACACTTGGCATAAATCACACTTCTTCTGAATCAAATCTGGCTCCACTTTTAATTGACACTAGGGAGCATGTTTTTATTAATACCATCATTCAGAACATTTAACATTATGTATTGCTGTGTTCCTTTTGCATCAAGAGATAACTAGCAAGACTAGCACACATTTTAATTTCCCTATTAGTATTAATGGTATTTCTATAAAAGTAATACTGTAATTACTCTTTAAAAATCCTGACCTTTTCCAGATATTACCTGTCTGTTCTGTATTTTGGAAGTGAATCTACCACTACTACGGAAGTATTGTTTTCTACCAAAGAAAACATTTTTCATAGACAAATGTTTTATAACAGCTAAGGGAATATGTTTAAGGCAAGGGTAAGCAATGCAATGTTTATGGGCACTAATGTGTCCCCGACACCTTGCTTGATACCAATCAAGATATGGCACTCCTTCCAACATTTTTCTAAAAGTTCATTTATATTCTTTTACTGGCAGCTAAGATTGCTTCAAAGTAAGCAGAGCCTCTAGCTGCATCCAGCTTACTTTCCCATGCATGCCTCTGGTCAAGTTACTTGCCTTCTGTAACAGGCCATGCTTTGCAACCATCTTAGGGTTGCACCCAGAACTGTTTCTATATTTTTATTTATTTATTAAAACATTTTTATGCTGCCCCATTCGCCGAAACCTCGGGGCGGCTTACAACAATAAATTAAAATAACATTTTAAAATATATACATTAAAATACAAATATATGATATAAAACATACAATATAAAACAAGCCGCCCTGGCCAGATAAAATTCAATAATATGAACATTTAAAATACTGCTTAAATAAAAAGGTCTTCGCCTGGCACCGAAAAACAAATAACGACGGCGCCAGGCGGACCTCTCTGGGGAGCGCATTCCACAACTTAGGCGCCACCGCTGAGAAAGCCCTCCTCCGAGTACCCACCCTCCTAATTTCTTCCACGGAGGGCTCCCGGAGAAGGGCCTCTCCCGCCGATCTCAGGGGGCGGCAGGGCATATATGGATGTAAGCGCTCCTTCAGGTAACCAGGACCCAAGCCTTTTAGGGCTTTATAGGTCATCACCAACACCTTGAATTGGGCCTGGACTTCAATGGGAAGCCAGTGAAGCTGACGGAGAACTGGAGTCATGTGAACATAACGTCCAGTCCCCGTCAGCAGCCTGGCAGCTCTATTTTGAACCAATTGAAGTATCCGGACCGTCTTCAAGGGGAGCCCCACGTAGAGCGCGTTACAGAAGTCAAGACGGGAAGTCACCAACGCATGTGTCACTGTCGCAAGGCAGTCGTTCTCCAGATAGGGGCGCAGCTGATGAATCAGCCGAAGCTGGAGGAAAGCGCTCCTCGCCACTGCTGTTACCTGAGCTTCCAGTGAAAGCTCCGGGTCGAGGAGCACTCCCAAGCTGCGGACCTTGTCCCTAAGAGGGAGTGCAACCCCGTTCAGGACAAGGTTCAATTCACCCTCTCCGAAGCCCGATCCGCCAACCAACAGGACCTCCGTCTTGTCTGGATTGAGCTTCAGTTTATTGGCCCTCATCCAGCCCATTACCTCAGCCAGGCACCGGTTCAGCACAGCCACTGCCTCACCTGGATTGGTGGAAAACGAGAGGTAGAGCTGGGTATCATCAGCGTACTGATGGTTCCGCAGCCCACACCTCCTGATGACCTCTCCCAGCGGTTTCATGTATATGTTGAACAGCAAAGGGGACAAAATGGACCCCTGTGGTACTCCATGGCATAGCTGCCATGGCGCAGAGCCATAGTCCCCCAGCACCACCTTCTGGAATCGGCCGTTGAGATAGGAGCGGAACCACTGCAAAGCAGTGCCTCCGACCCCCAATCCCGCAAGCCTATCCAGAAGGATACCATGGTCGATGGTATAGAAAGCCGCTGAGAGGTCCAGAAGAACCAACAGGGACGCACTCCCCCTGTCCTTCTCCCTGCACAGGTCATCGTACAGGGCGACCAAGGCAGATTCAGTACCGTACCCGGGTCTGAAGCCGGACTGCAATGGGTCCAGATAATCAGTTTCATCCAAGAATGCTTGGAGTTGTCCCGCCACCACCCGCTCTAACACCTTGCCCAGAAACAGGATGTTGGCCACTGGTCTATAATTAGTGGCCATCTCTGGATCCAGTGACGCCTTCTTCAGGACCGGTCGGACTACCGCCTCCTTTAAAGGGACAGGCACCCGACCCTCCCTCAGAGAAGCGTTAACCACTTCCAAGATCCAGGTTCCAATCCCGTGCTTGGAATCATTTATTAACCAAGACGGGCAAGGGTCCAAAAGGCAAGTGGTTGGACGTACTCGCCCAAGCACCTTGTCCACGTCATCGGGCCGCAGTAACTGAAATTCATCCAATAAATCTGGACCAGACGGCAGCGTTGGTGTCTCCTTCGAAACCTCTGAATCAATAGTGGTGTCCAGCTCATGACGAATCTGAGCGATTTGCTCCCTGAAATGCCTGGCGAAGTCGTCACAGCGGGCCTTTGAGGGTGGAATCAGGTCTTCCTTCGGACCTGGACGAACCAGGCCTTGCACCACTTGAAAGAGCTCCGCCGGACGGCATTGTGAGGAGGCAATGGAAGCGGAAAAGAATCTCTTTTTTGCCGCCCTCACCGCCACAGCATAGGCCCGATAGTGGTTTCTTAAGTGTGTTTGGTCAGATTTCCTCCACCTACGCTCTAGTCATCTCCCAACCTGCTTCATCGCCCTCAATTCAGGAGTATACCAAGGGGAAGAGCGGGCTGTGCCCAGTGGGAGAGGACACTTAGGAGCGATCGTGTCTACAGCCCTGGTCATCTCCCCATTCCACAGTTCGACCAGAGCCTCGACAGGAGCACCCGTCTTGTCAGCCGGAAACTCCCCCAGGGCCTTCAGGAATCCTTCCGGATCCATCCGGCTCCGGGGACGGACCCACACAATCGGGTCCCCACCCTTACAGAGGGAGAAGTCGCTCTCGAGCACAAACCTCACCAGGAAGTGATCTGACCATGACAGGGGAGTCAAGCATAAATTACTCACCCTCAGACCACCCTCTTCCTGCCCCGTCGAGAAAACCAGGTCCAGAGTGTGTCCCCGTTCATGGGTCGGGCCGGTGACATGTTGAGACAGCCCCATCGCCGTCATGGAGGCCATGAAGTCCTGAGCCGCCCCGGTCAGACTAGCCTCGGCATGGAGATTGAAGTCCCCCAGGACCAACATCCTGGGGGTCCTCAACACCAGGTCCGAGACAGTCTCCGTCAGCTCAGGCAGGGAGACTGTTGGGCAGAAGGGTGCACGGTACACCAACAGAATCCCAGTCTGTCTCAGTTGCCCAACACCAAGTAGAGACACTCCAGCCTTGGTCTCGAAGGGACAGGAAGTCCCATGAGATAGATGGAGGCTCGGTAAACCAAAGTGACCCCCCCCTCCCCTCCCCTCCGGCCGTGAGCAGTGCTGGACCAAATACCCGGGCAGGCACACTTGGGAGAGGGCAACATCCCCCCCCTCCCACCCAGGTCTCCGTTATGCAGACCAGGTCGGCCCCCTCATCCACAATCAGATCCTGGATGAGGGCAGATTTGTTATTGACCGACCTGGCATTAAGCAACAGCACCGTCAGGCCCGAGGGGCGACTGACGAGACTCCCTGGCACCCTCTGGCTGGGAGCAAAACCAGAAGTAGGGACAGGTGTCAGCCATCTGTCCCTCCTTCTTCTATGCGGACACGTTAAGCTCCCACCGCTGTTACGTCCATTGCCCCTAACCACCTCAATGGCGGCACCGGTGCGCTCCCCAGGAAACATAAGCTGCAGCATGGCCAGGGACGACTCCATAAAACGATTTAAAATACTATTAAAAAAAAATGCGCCAGTAGGCCCAAAAAACTGCCAACCCATGGTTTAATGCACTATATCTTTCCCATCTTCTCCAAAAATACTGGACTTACAATTCACAATTTTAACCATGGACAGCAAATTTGCATTTAAAACGAACACAAGAGGGTCTGGGCCACCATCTTCTAGCTGCTGCATCACTGATATATGGGATGGTTTTTCTTCTACAGCATAATCTAAAAGGAAAACAGCAGTCAAATTACTGTACAGTTTTCTATACAATTTTGCAATAACGTATTCTAATATTTAAGCTTCATAAAATTTTGCATCTTATTCAAATAAATGGGTGACATTTTTTAAAATCATGACCAAATTTTCAAAATTTCACTGGGATTAGATAACTTTTGAAAAAGTATTTTATCAGTCATATCCACAACAATACCAATAGTGGACTTGTTAAAAGTCAAATATTTGATTTAATTTTCTGAATACTGTTCTCTAGTCTAGAAAAGTAAACATAGTAAAAAGCCTATGAGAGCTGTTTCATGGGCCAATCCGAAGACTTCCTAAGCATTAATTTGATGATGCAGCAGGAAATTTTATCTAAGTATGTCTTTTAGAAACTCAAACATTGCATTTTAGGTTAAGCTCTTGTTTCCCTTTCTAGGATAAAGACTTAACTTGAATTCACAACTGCACTCAGATCAAGAAATAGTTGCATACTGTTCCTTGTTTTGTATGAAAACTACTCAGCCAACCAACAACTCTTCAAATTTGCCCTCCACCCAAAAAATGCTTTGCAATAAAATCCCTGTATTAGTTCAGGAAGACAGTTAACATAGGTGTTAGGCTCTAAAGAGCTGTGCAACTAAGTCTCTGAGTTCCAGAGGGTTTGGAATTAATTTTCTTGCAGTATTTCTTGTCATATGGAGTCAAACTGAATTTTAAAAAGCAGTTTGCGCTACAGAATGGAAGGCTGTCAAACTGTTCAAAGAAAAAGTGTCAGAACTTCCACTAGGCCAAAGCAAGCCCACTGCTTTAGACTAAACAACTCTTTTAGCCTTGACCACAACTTCCAAACTAGTTTTCCTTCTGCTCTGAAATTTCAGTATCTCCCAATATGCAACAATAGCAAGTGACTTACTGTTTTGGGTTAAAAAAAAAGACTGGAGTTTCTGTTGGGACAACCAGCCTGAATACTCAAAAGAAGCCATGGGGCCAATGTATCTGGATGATTTGCTCACAGACACATTCCTGTGGTACCCCTGTGGTACCCCTGCCAATCAAGGCTTCAGTAACCACCATGATGGATGAAAAACAGGTTTTTTGTCCAAGTGGAGCAGTTTACTTTTTCCCACGGAAGCAACTGAGAATCCTTTATTTCTATAAGAAAATACTACATCACTGGGGAACGATCTTAGCTTGCTCCCCAGCACAGGTGACATGCCCCACTGAGAATCCAGCCTCCTTGCCCTTTGGTTTGTTCCAGGGTCCTGACAGAATATGATGGGATGCTGAAACTTAGTTTTTGGTTCCATTGAATAGTAGAATATAGTAGAACAAACAGAAAAGATTTAAGAAAGGTGAATTATTATGCTGAAACATTTCTGCAAACAAATATCCCAGATGAATGTCATTTTTATTATTTTAACTTCATGGTTTTTTGAAAAAATGCAACTGTCAGGAATGCTACTGTCTGCTGCTTTCAAGGGCCCTAGGTGAGTCCACACAACATGTCAAGGCATGCTGTGAATAAGCTATGTAGTATGGGTTGCCCTTCTCATCAGAAGGTCATTTTGTTCAAAGTGTTTGGGCCGGCATGTATCCCTGTGAAAAAACAACAAAGAACCAGGTCTTTGTTTTAAAAAAAGCTGGAGTTTTGTCACCTAACTATCCAAATGCTGGTTCATATTAAAAGGGGAGTGGCTCACACTTTTTTAGATTCCCAAGCAGCTAGAGTCTCAGAATCAAGCGGAAAAATAAAGAGTATTCTTATAAGAGTTTCCTAGGATAGTCAAGACAGTATCCTCCCTGCCCCCACCCCGAAAAAAGGATTTTGCCATGATGGAGGTTTAAATCCAGTCACCCCTTTTGAGAACACAAACAACTGGCACCTTGGCTTTGGCCTGACAGCTCATCTTTTAACAGCCTTTTGAATAGTAGTTCTAAATATAGAGTGCTACCACAGAATTACCACTTGTAAGAGATTAACAGATACTTACACCTCCATTAGGCTTCACACCCACTGTTACTCAAGACTACTTGACCTTGACCTAGCAGAGATTTGGGTTTCAATATGGGTCATTAAATGATGTACTATAATTTCTTAAACCCATTTACAGATAAGCTATAATTTAGCCCTCACCTCCTTTTACACCAGTAGAAATGAGAATTGGAGGAAGCCCATCTTCCGGAATAAGATTCATTGCACTGCCTACTGGACTTCCAACCTGAGTTATACTTCTTGAAAATGCCAGTGTGTTTTCCGTCTGAAAAAAATGACACGATGTAAATATCTAACTTGATATACCCTAAGCTTTTCTTTTTAAACACAAGATACAAGAGTAATCTGTTTTATAGATGCTACTCTTCTACCACAGATAAACACAAGCACCTATTTTTTTCCAATATATGTTTATGTATGCAAGTGTGATTGAGACATTCCATGAATGCAGTTCTTCTCATAGAACAGCATACTGGAATATGGGTTGTGAGGAGATTTTTTGCTAATTTCTCATTCTCCCTGCTGCTCCTCACCTTTCCCCGTGTTGTTCTGAAGAGTCCTTAAGCCTTTTAGAGCAGGTTTGGGGTTTTTTTGGGGGGGTGCTTCAGCAGGCCCCCTCTACTGGATCTAAGTCTCTTCCACAATCAGAAGGAATCCTTCTATTTGTGGAAACACATGTTTGGATCCAAATCATGTTTTATATTGTCAATCATTTACATCACATACTACAATAATGAATGCATTTGTGTTCTCTTTGAATTGTCCAACATACTGTTTAGTAAATCTGGGCATTTTTCTCACCTCTGCTGGTGAAGAGCTGTTGCTCATGGGCTTGCTTGGATCATGGGACACTGCTAGTGCTCCAGTGGATGTTGTTCCACACACTGTCAATTTGGCTGCATCAGCAACTTCTCCATTGGGTAAGATGCCATCAGCAAACCAAACACGTCTTTGTTCTCTAGGCTGAGCCACTAGGGATAGTGATGAGAAAGATTTCACAAAAAACACACATGCATGTTAAGGTGGAAATAGCTGAATTTTATATATTAAAAAGAGATACATAAATTTGTTGAGTTGCAAATTAGAATAGAAGAGGTAGTGACATGGAAGCAGAAGTGCTTCCAAGGCCACAGACAAAAGCCATATCATTTGCTGATTCTAGTGCAACATTCCCACATTGTTGTTTTCTTAATCAGCTTGTCTCTTTGCAGCAAAAATAGCAAGCAAAGTGCAGGCTCTGCAAACAGTTCTTCTCAATGTGTTCATGTTACTACTTTGGATTGCAGCCCAAGTAAACACTAATCTGCAGCTTTAAACACCTTTGGAATGCAGAAGTACATTTATGCTTATCTCTCTCTCACACACACGCACACACTCACCCCTAAACAATTCCATGTGGTCAATCACAATTTGGATTTTGTGAATACTCTCCACTATCCAAGGCAAACTGAGAGGCTGAGATAATAGAGAATTGAGTACAGATTTGATACGTTATCTTCTACACCAAGCCCAAAACTTTACCCATTGAATTAAACTATTTCACGAACAGGTAAAACCAATATGATCAGCCAGGGAGATAACAACTATTCAAAAATCCCTACCTTCTGCACCTGGATGCTTTAAGACTCCCACAGGTACCATAACAGTAGGTGGTGGGGAGTTCAGAGCTCCAGAAGCCTGGGCTTGCTGCAAGGGAGGAATGGTAGAACAATACTCAGCAGGATTGTTAGGATTAGGACTTTGGCTTGAGGCACTCATCATGTTCTCCCAGGCTTGTGCTAAGGAAACACGAAATACAAAATAGCCATTGGTTACCAGTCTCCATACAGAATATATACATGCAGATACAGCAATTCTAGGAATTCCCTACCAGGTCAATGTCTTTTCCTTATTTATTACCAAAATAAAAGGGAAGTCAGTACAACAGAAAATAAACCCTTTAGGCTGTAGCAAATACCAGTTGCATCAATGCAACCAAAACACAGTTTGCTGCATCCAGCTTTCAGTCAGAAAGGTATTGAACATATCTATGGTTTTCTGAACTAGACTGATGTACAAAGTATGGCTGAATCATGAATCATGATTAGAACTTTAATTTGTGTTGATCTTCAAAGCCTCTACAGAAGTTTTGTTCTAAAATGCAGAGACTAACAATAGAGAAGCTATGATCCAGCAGCTACCAGATTATTTTCCCCCTTCAACAACTATGAAAAGGTTTGTGTTAACAAAGCTTTCCATTCCACAACTAAACATTTCTTGATATTTTGATCCAATCTAACTGTTGTGGCCCAAACACTTGCTTTGGTTACACTAATTGAAATAGCAATCTATAGATGGCAAGGTGGACACATCAACCCCATATGCCTAATAAAATCCTTTCAGGCTCACTATTTCTCTTTATCAGCAATACTAGGACAGGATAGTTCCTATAGCTCTTTAGATGTGTGGCAGAGAATGGAGGTGGCTCCCAGCATCAGAGCAAGTTGGGAAACATGTTTACCTGCGCCAGAAACTCATGACCCTCTGCTCAGGAAAGCATAGCACTAGGCTTTCACTCTTGAACAAAGCCCAAAAGCAAAAAATAATGATAAGGCCTATAACAATCAGAGAGTGTGATGCTGATGGGCAGCTCTCAAACAAATTCAGTTAATAAATAGCAATTAATCAAATATAACGACAAAGGTTGCTTAGGACCAGATCTGATGTAACTTTTGTTGTTACTGAAAAAGTATTTTTCCCCAAATACGGATTCAGCCTAAGGCTTCACATGATACATATCTGAAAAGAAGATACATAAATGTTTGTAAGTCCTGAGTACTCTTTGTCCAGTTGGACCTAAGTGGCATGAAAAATATCTGAAAAAGATGAACTTCACTTCTCTTTATAAACTAAAGTAGCTACTGTTTGGAATGAACATAAACAAAGGAAGTATCAGGAACTGTATGGAAATATGCACTCATATATGAGTGCTAGGACACACACAAACTCCCACCTCCATTTAACAGGCACGCCAATAAGTTACCAACTGCATAATCACTACTTCTACTGCATTAGCATTCTGAGAAAAGAATGATAAGGAACTTGCTGCACTGTATCAAAGGAAACTGAAACACCGAGATAACTGAGTGAATTAGATGATATGGATGATCTGACAAGTGACAAGAAAGATGTTACTACACTATTGTTGTTGTTAGTCACAAAGTCGTGTCCAACCCATCACGACCCCATGGACAACATTCCTCCAGGCCTTCCTGTCCTCCACCATCCCCCGGAGTCCACTCAAGCTCACGCCAACTGCTTCAGTGACTCCATCTAGCCACCTCATTCTCTGCCATCCCCGTCTTCTTTTGCCATCTATTGTTCCCAGCATTAGGCTCTTCTCCAGGGAGTCCTTCCTTCTCATTAGGTGGCCAAAGTATTTGAGTTTCATCTTCAGGATCTGGCCTTCTAAAGAGCAGTCAGGGTTGGTTTCCTCTAGCATTGACCGGTTTGATCGCCTTGCGGTCCAAGGAACTCGCAGGAGTCTCCTCCAGCACCACAATTCAAAGGCCTCAATCCTTTCGCCCTCAGCCTTCCTTATGGTCCAGCTTACACAGCCATACATTGCAACTGGAAAAACCATGGCCTTGACTATACGCACTTTTGTTGGCAGGGTGATGTCTCTGCTTTTTAGTATGCTCTCTAGATTTGCCATAGCTTGCCTCCCCAGTGGCGTCTTTTAATTTCTTGGCTGCAGTCCCCGTCTGAGGTGATCTTGGAGCCCAGGAAAATAAAATCTGTCACTACCTCCATTTCTTCCCCATCTATTTGCCAGGAAGTGAAAGAACTGGATGCCATGATCTTAGTTTTCTTAATGTTGAGTTTCAAGCCAACTTTTGCGCTCTCTTCCTTCACCCTCATCAAGAGGCTCTTTAGTTCCTCTTCACTTTTTGCCATGAGAGTGGTATCATCTGCATATCTGAGGTTGTTGATATTTCTCCCAGCAATCTTAATTCCAACTGGTGATTCATCCAGCCCTGCCTTTCTCATGTTGTGCTCTGCATACAAGTTAAATAGGCAGGGCGACAGTATACAGCCTTGCCGAACTCCTTTCTCAATTTTGAACCAATCAGTGGTTCCGTGTCCAGTTCTCACTGTTGCTTCTTGACCCACATATAGATTTCTCAAGAGACAAAGAAGATGGTCTGGTACTCCCATCTCTTTAAGAACTTGCCACAATTTGTTATGATCCACACAATCAAAGGCTTTAGCATAGTCAATGAAGCAGAAGTAGATGTTTTTCTGGAACGCCCTAGCTTTCTCTATGATCCAGTGTATGTTGGCAGTCTGATCTCTAGTTCCTCTCCCTCTTCGAAATCCTGCCTGTACTTCTGGAAGTTCTTGGTCCACATACTGCTGGAGCCTAGCTTGTAGGATTTTGAGCATAACTTTGCTAGCATGTGAAATGAGTGCAATGGTGCGGTAGTTTGAACATTCTTTGGCATTGCCCTTCTTTGGGACTGGAATGTAAACTGACCTTTTCCAATCCTGTGGCCACTGTTGAGTTTTCCAAATTTGCTGGCATATTGAGTGCAGCACTTTTACTGCATCGTCTCTTAGGATTTTGAATAGCTCAGCTGGAATGCTGTCACCTCCACTAGCTTCGTTGTTGCTCAGACTAAGGCCCATTTGACTTCACATTCCAGGATGTCTGGCTCAAGCTCAGTGACCACCCCATCATGGTTATCAGGGACATTAAGTTCTTCTGTATAATCTTGCCACCTCTTCTTAATCTCTTCTGCCTCTGCTAGGTCCCTGCCATTTTGGTCCTTTATCATGCCCATCTTTGCATGAAACGTTCCCTACATATCCCCAATTTTCTTGAAGAGATCTCTGGTCCTCCCTATTCTATTGTTTTTTTCTATTTCTTTGCACTGTTCATTTAAGAAGGCATTCTTATCTCTTCTAGCTATTCTCTGGAATTTTGCATTCAATTGGGTGTATCTTTCTCTTTCTCCCTTGCCTTTCGCGCTTCCCTTCTTTCCTCAGCTATTTGTAAAGCTTCCTCAGACAGTCATTTTGCTTTCTTGCATTTCTTTTTCTTTGGGATGGTTAGTTGCTGCCTCTTGTACAATGTTGCAAACCTCCATCCATAGTTCTTCAGGCATTCTGTCTATCAGATCTAATTCCTTAAATCTATTTGTCACCTCTACTGTATATTCATCAGGGATATGATTTAGGTCATACCTGAGTGACCTAGTGCTTTCCCCTACTTTCTTCAATTTAAGCCTAAATTTTGCAACAAAAAGCTCATGATCTGAGCCACAGTCAGCTCCTGGTCTAGTTTTTACTGACTGTATAGACTCTATACGGTCTATACAGAAGCTCTATACAGAGCTTCTCTATCTTTGGCTGCAGAGCACATAGTCAATCTGACTTCTGTGTTGGTAATGTCCATGTGTAGAGTCGTCTCTTGGGATGTCAGAAGAGTGTGTTTGCTATGACCACGTATTCTCTTGACAAAATTCTACCAGCCTGTGCCCTGCTTCATTTTGTACTCCAAGGCCAAACTTGCCTGTTATTCCGGTTATCTTTTGGTTTCCTACTTTAGCTTCCAATCCCCCATGATGATAAGGACATCATTTTTTGGTGTTAATTCTAGAAGGTGTTGTAGGCCTTCATAAAACTGGTCAACTTCAGCCTCTTAAGCACCGGTGGTTGGGGCATAGACTTGGGACTATTGTGATGCTGAATGGTTTTCCCTGGATTCGAACTGAGATCATTCTGTCATTTTGGAGATTGTATCCCAGTACTGCTTTTCCTACTCTTTAATTGACTATGAAGGCTACTCCATTTCTTCTGAGGGATTCTTGCCTCAGTATACCTGATGGTCATCTGAATTAAATTCACCCATTCCTGTCCATTTTAGTTCCCTGATTCCTAAGATGTCGATGTACAGTCTTGTCATCTCTTGTTTGACCACGTCCAGCTTGCCTTGATTCATGGATCTTACATTCCAGGTTCCTACGGAGTATAGATCTTTGCAGCATTGGACTCTCCTTTCACCACCAGATACATTGGCAACTGAGTGTCCTTTCAGCTTTGACCCAGTCACTTCATTCTTTCTGGCGCTACTAGTACTAGCCCTCCGCTCTTCCCCAGTAGCATACTGGACACCTTCCGACCTGAGGGGCTCATCTTCCGGCATCATATCTTTTTGCCTTTTGGTACTGTCCATGGGGTTTTCATGGCAAAGATACTGGAGTGGGTTGCCATTTCCTTCTCCAGTGGATCACGTTTTGTCAGAGCTCTCTGCTATGACCTGTCCATCTTGGGTGGCCCTGCATGGTATAGCGCATAGCTTCATTGAGCTACATTAGCCCCTTCGCCACAACAAGGCAGTGATCCATGAAGGAGTACTACACTATTAGGCACTTTAAATTTAGCAGTGCAGAACAGATTCAAGTCACAATCTAAAACCTCTCAGAACTCTGTTATAAAATCTCAAACCACGCAGATCTCTGTTACAATTTTGCTCATTAGCACTAGTGAGTAATGGAACAGAAATTCCTTTTAGAGGAAATCTTGTAGTTCAATGCACTTCATTAGATCTCTTCAGCGAAGCACTCTCGGGTTTCATCCTTCCAAACACTACCCCAATGTATTATTTAATTGACCTAATGGAGTCAGCTAAGCTTTACTACAAAAGCATGAACCTTTCACAATATACATTCAGAACATCCAGAAGAGATGTTACTTCCCCCACAGATTAGAGAGTAACATTCCCTGTCCTCCAAAAAAGTTAATGTCACCTCAGTCACTACTTCATGTATAGCTGTAGTAAACTCACCCTCTACTGACATATTTGTATCAGCTTATAGACAGAATATTGATAAGTAATGCTTTAAATAGAACTTATTAATACAGCAGTAATCCTTTTCCAAAACACAATACACAATTTAGACACCATTTAAAAAATATCCCTGCACTTACATATTCTACCTTTTAGGCCAAGCAAAATTTTGAGGCCTCAAAACTAAGGAATGAGACAAAACATGTCTAGTGCTATGGTAAAGGACACTGTTTTACATAAATCATTTATTCCCCTTGATCTTCTAGGTCACAAAAGCAGATTTTGAAACAAATTGTCTGTTCAAATGAGTTTTTCCAACCAGGATCACCATTAAATTGCAAAGAATACACTTGACTGTTTTAGCAACCAATTACTGGTTCATGAGTTTCATGGATTCTAACCAGAGAAAACAAGTTCAAGACAATTGTACTAAAGTCCTTTGCTATAATAAAATTCTGCTGTGATCCATATACAGTGGTGCCTTGTATCTCAAACAACCCTAAGTTTGAATCATCCAGAGTTTGAACATTAGAGTTGAAATAAAATAGCTTTGCAGTTCAAAAGTGCTTCTAAGTTCACTGTGACGAAGTGAAAAAAATGCAGTCTCTGCAGAAACGTCATCTGTTGTGTGCCCAAATTGTATCTCACTGGAAAAGGATCTCCATGTCTTACCAGCGCATGTCTTTTCAATCTTTTGAGTGCCTTTTCCATCTTCTCAGTGCCTTTTCTATCTTCTCCATGCCTTTAGAGTGTGTGCCTTTTCTCAGTGCTTTTTCAGTGCCTTTTCAGCATGTGTCTTTTTGATCTTTTCAGTGCCTTTTCTTACTTTATTTTTTGGTGTGTGTGTGTCCTACATACCAAAATGCGTACAGTTTAGGGCCTGGGAATGGATTAAATCTATTCTTTCTAAACTTTCTATTATTTTTAATGGGGAACACTGCTTCAGACTTTCAGAGTTCACACGGCCTCCTGAAATGAATTAAGTTCAAACTACAAGGCACCACTGTACACGCAAATCTCCCAAGTGCGCACACTAGGGCTTGCTAATTTTCTCCTATGAATCAGGAATTAAAGAAATTTAAGAAGTTCAAGGCTGTCCTACAGCTGCACCATTAACACTAGATTGCGATTATTTTTCTATGAAAGTAATTTATTAAAATACTTCCCAGTTAAAATTTTCAATAGGTAGCACCAACACCCTGACTCACACACACAAATAGCTCTGTCTAAAAATGGCAGTGGGCCTTACTTTTCATTCCATATTACTTACCATTCATCAGCACCGAGTGGCAAATTACACACACTCTTGCTTCCTTTCTGTCCATATATATCAGTTTGCATTTTAGACTACAGCAGGCTGCACAGAAGACCTTAAGCAAAACAGGAAAAATATAATGAGACACTTGGCACTCTCTGACGATTAAGATAATTCAAACAGATTGAGTTACATAACTATATAGCTAAAACTAACCAGTCCTGTAATTCTTCAGGAAAAAATGCTTCAGCATGCAAAGCAAAATTAGATGCTTAGACCAAGCTGAAAATTATTACACACGTTTCAAACTGAATAGTGACATTAGCTCTTGACTGACATGTCAAGGGAATGGTCAAATTCCAATTGATAAAATGTATCTTTCAACAGTTAACTGGTCCTTGCTTGTTTCACCCCCACTGGTGCTATGCAATAGGATAGTAGAGGAGAGAAAAAAAGTACAAGAGACACAAACCTATTTTACAGCAAATGGGGATGAGCTATAACTGATCTAAAAACAGCCTTATTTATTTTATTTGTTGGGTATTTTTACCCCATCCAATACGTTGCGGGTCTTTGGATGGCTTCCAGATGTGTTCAACACACATTCTTGTGTTGAACATATTCTTTGATTATATTCAAAAAGTCTAAGTATTCACTCAGGTTAATTTTACGAGTGAGCATTGATTGCCAAATATAAAAATCTTACTATCTTGATCATCCTGATCACTTTGACACATCATAAAAAGCCAGAAAAGTTGTACTTAAGCAAAATAGCAGTGTGATGTCTGTATGTACTCTTTAATAGCTACTCAGTTTTCTTGAGTAATGAGGTCAACATTTTACAGGTCTCACGGCCACAAAGACTCATACTTGTACTTTTTATTTTTAAAGAGGCAAGTACACACAAGCACAGAAAACATCCATCCAAAAGCTGCTGCATAATAAAGTAGAACTTACTACTGACTTTGCAATATAAGAAATTAGCTAACAGCCTATTCTGTATAAATTTTACCAACATTCTAAAATTTACCAGAAAATTTAAAACACCCTAATAATATAGCAACATTTTAATTATTCTATGACGTGCCTACATTCACCAGGGTGGTGGAGTCAGTTGTGGAATATCAACAACCCCCATTGTAAAATAAAACTCTAGGCACATTCACATGCCACACTAAGCCATCCTGTAAATATATTATGCTGCATAGGCTCTTTGTAGTGCCCCATGGGTATCAAAGCATCCTTCCCAGCAGAACCCATCTTGTCTCCCCCTACCCACTACCCCTGTTCATTTGCTGCTTTAAACAAAGAAGAACTTCAAAAATGTCCATGGACCCAGAAAATTTCAGAAATGTGCTTCCTGGCTTTGCAGAAGTGTGTTCTTACAGCTACCCGATATGTATACTGTTGCCTGGTCAATATGCTTGTGTATTTCAATTATCATAAAAGGAGCTCTGAAGTGGACTAAGTAACATACTTGAAAATTAACAAGGCAAGACAGTATAGACTGAACCAACTGCAGTACTGTCAACTGAAAAACACCACAGGGTGCGGGGGGGAGTGGAAGTCAGAAACCATGGTAATAGTAGGTTCACTGAAAGAAGAGTGTGATATCTCCCTCTTAGTAATTTCAGCATCTCATTTTTGTATCAGAATTGAACTGATATGTCTCAGTACCCTCTTCCTGTTCAACAAATCCCCAAACCGCTATTATTTTTATTCATTTATATCTCACCTTTTTTTCCTCTTATGAGGAACTCAGAGACTTACTTAGCTCTATTTTATTCTCACAACACAACCCGGTAAGATAGGTTAGGCTGAGAATGAGTTACTGACCCAATCCCCCCCCCCCCCACCAGCTGAATGGGGACTAGAGCCCAGATCTCCCAGGTCCCCAGTCCACACTGGCTCTCTACTATTCCAGAAAGGTGAGATACCAATTCTTTCATGGCTCCTTTATGGAGGAGTTACTGCTGTGATCACAATTGTTAAAAATTAATAAAAATGCAGGAATAAATGCAAAGTTTGGGAAGTAAAGCAGGGGAATTCTACATAAACCTAAGGTCAGGGGGAAAAACTGTAGGGCGTGGCTGACCTGTACCCCAGTTGAAGGCCTGGATCTCTAGCTCCTGAAAATGTAGGCCTTGTTTGGCCTGTCTAAAATGAAGCCCTCATTAGCTTTTCCTGGACCCACCTGAGTATCTTCATAGTGGGGGGGGGGGGCACTCTCTTGGCCTGATAAGATGGGTCAAAAGACTGATGACCCCTCTATGTTCATCTCCTTGAACCAACTCCTTATTGGCCCTGCTAAGCATATGCTTTTTGGCTGATCTCCCCCAATAAACTTTGCCTGCTATGCTACTGTAAACATGTACTCTGCATGGGCTAGCCATTTCCCGAAGCTCTTGTTTGGACTGTTTCAAGGAGGCTCCACTGACCCCATCTGATGGAAGCCTACCTTGCAGGGGTTGCTGTGTAAGTGACTTGCTAGCTAGCTTATTTGTATTTTGTTGTAACAATAAAAGGGTCTCCTTGTAAGTACACCTGTAAGCTGGCATATTCACTTCCTTGGGATCACAAGAACCGCTGGTCAAGGCAATACACAGGGCAAATCTGCACACATGCCTTAAATGCTTCATTTCTGCAGGTATGAGAACTTCATTTACTTCCCAGTCATTATATTTGGATATATTTTCCACTCCAAAAAAATATCAAAAATATTCACAAAAATTAAAGCAAAATTTATACAGGTGGAAGGTAAAGGGAAGCCATAGTGGATAGCATCCTTAAGTGCAAAACAATTTTCAAAAATTAAACATAAAACAAATCAATTTGAAACACACACACAAAGCATATACCATTTCAATGGTTAAAGAAGGCTAGGCCTTTTAGTAAAAGTAGGAATTCAACTGAAAGAAGAAAGCATGAGAACTTGTCAGTAAATAATATGGCTAACAGCTACATAAAATTACATTTTAGCCTTGACAAAACTACACAGGGCTGTATAGTTTTCAAATCTTTTCTTCATCCGAATTTATTTTCTTCTAAGATGGAAACAGTTTACAAGTATGCATTTTGGACTAGGCCTCAAGCTATCATATCATATATTTATTACTGCGTTTGTATGTATGCAATTCAATTCTCCAAGTGATGAATCTTATGCACCAGCTATGCACAAGAGGGAGCTACTCCCAAGGTTTGCAAAACTACAAAAAATCAACTAATACAATCCTAAGGAGGCAAACTCAAGAATAGCCCAATGAAGTGTGAATGTGCTTGATGGGCATAAAATGTTGACTGACTGAGGGAAAACTGCAAGGGTAGAGGAATGGAATGGAGCACCATGGAGTATCCAACAGCAGCATTCTAAAATGCAGTATTCTGCTACAGTTTCCACACCTATCTTATTTTACATTTTATTTTGAGCTAATATATAAAAACATTAAAACACATTCATTTTTTGAGGAAATAGGTCTGCCATATTGTTGCGAACTGCCCAGAAAGCTTAGGCTATTGGATGGTCCAGAAATAAATAAATAAATAAATAAATAAATAAAGTGGTTGCATCAGATAACAAACTTCGGCATACTTTTAGTTGAAATCTTAATTTAATTGCATACAGAGCACATGAATAGATTTTGGCCTGGTTATCTGAGCCAAGACAAAATTTATTCCAGACACATGGACAGAAAAGCTTTTCCAAAATAATAGTTTTCTTTAAACTACATATAACTTATATGCAGGCAGTTGGACCATATTTTATGGGCATGTAATTATTATGAACCTGTTTACAGATGTAAAAGGACAACAGGTTGCTGCTGTTGTCGTTTTACATCTACATCCTACATTTCTTCCTCTTGCAAGGTCCCCATGGTGGCTTCCTACTCTCCATTTTATCCTTACAACACCACTGTGAGGTAGGTTAAGCTGAGAGTCTGTAACTTGCCCAAAGTCACACAGTGAGCATCGTGGTTAAGTCCAATGCTCTAACCACTAGGCCAAACGAGCATGCATGGAATAATTACACAAATCAGTGCTTTACATATGATCCACACTGTGTCTTTTTGGATGTCAAAACATCCTTCCCAACAGTTACTTTTCTAGGAATTCTGGTACTGCTTTTTCATAATACTGACATGCTCAATGTATGCAAACATGCGCAAACCAGTTTTTCAGGAGCTTTTTTTTTTTTTGGCTAGCCCAGCTAAAAACTCCCATTGGTCAAGATTGCCTCCTTCTCTTCCCATGCCAATCAGGCAAGGAGGACAGGCAAGGAATATGCACTGTTAGACCTGAAGGCACTCCACATACCTACAGGCAACAGGGACCAAATACTTCCTAACTTTTCCAGTAGGAGAGGTAAAGCAATGTGTGCTATTGCTGTGTGGGACATTATCAGGCGCCAGTGTTCTTCAGACACCAGTGACCAAAAACATCACTTGGTTTTCTCTCAGGGACTCTTCCCAAATGCCTCCTAGAATGAAAAGGCTTACCATAACATACCTGTTGTAACCAGCAAACACATCCTCGGGTATTGAATAATGGTGATAAGGCACTTTCATTAATGAAAACTGGGAATATATATCTGAGTCCAGCATATAGATTAACAAATACGAGTAACGCAATAATTTATGTAAGCTGGCTTTCCACACATGGGTAAAATTTTTATATACCACAAATCTTACTATGTAAGAAATTCTTTAATTTCTGGCAACATTTGAATTTTATCTTTGCAAAAATGAGGATTCCAACATTTTTCCCTTGCTTGCTTTCAGAAATCCTAAAGCAAACTCTGGATCCAAACCCTAACCATAACATAACCATTAGACTCTTATCTGAAGGTTGACAAAGTTCTTCTCCTATACTTCTTGAGACTCTAAACATGCAGACAGTGTGACTTCATCAAGACAGTTTTTTTCTCTCACCTGCCTTTCCTTCCCAAAGATGCTGCTTTTTGTGACATCTTACCTGATGAAGAGATCTTTTCATTGGCTTAATATAGCTCAATATAGCTATTCTACCAATTCCTTATTTTCATACACATACTCTACACAGAATAATAATTATTGCTTTTAATAGTAACCCTTTACTCTCAATAACTATTAAAAATGCAAGTATGAGATTTATATGTTTTATAAGAAAACCTGCAAACATTTTGAGGAAAAAAACATTAAAAGCTCCTGTGAGCTAGATATGACTAATCAACTATTTTAGTCCTGGGCCATTACTTCTATCATTTATGAGAATTTATCATTAAAAATAAACTTACCTTTCCACAGGCTCTGCAATGGTGTCGCCTTTTAGTGAATGTAAATCTGGCCTCACATTTCATGCAGTTTGGTGCTTGAGAATCTGGGACCCAAACTGGAGCCACTTCGCCTAATGTAGTAAATGGCTTTCTAGTAGGAACTCCAAACTGACCAGCTCCAAGATCATTGTCAGGATTGTCCGAGGCTGCTGCAAGGCACAAGCTACTTGAAATCCCAGACTCAAACTCTTCTGAATGCTCCACACCAGTATCTGTCACCAAGGCATTCAGGGATGTTTCATCAGAAAATACATTTGCTGCTATGTTTTCACCTATTTTTGCTTTTCCAGATATATCATTTTTATTTTTACTGATACCTCCACAGTTTGGGGGAACCGTGTCATTTTGTAAATGGTCTGATAATGGCTTTGGGATTTGCAGTTTAAGATTCGTAGGTTGTTTGGGTCGGGCACCACCAAAAGGAACACTAAGTGGTTGCAGGTTAGCTGCTGTACTTTGTGATGCTTGACTTGGTTCAGATGATACCTGACTGCAGAGATTATGTAAATATTTTTTTTTAATTGAGTCACCAGTGCAGTTCAAAATGACTCCACTCCTGTCTGTGGCTTCATTTCCTCTTTGTTCATAAGTATTACTATAACATTCTGATTTGCTCTCCTCTATCTCCTTTTCCTCAGTTACAGAGTCTTCCTTGGAGGGTAAAGTCTTTGGAATATGAGCAAGAATTGGGTTCTGTATTCCATAGGAATCACAATTGGGCAGGCCACTTGATGCTGATGTATCCATGACATCAGTGAGACAGGAGTCTTCAAGCTCCTCTAAAGTGGTCCCCTTCAAGTCAAGACTTGCTTCTGTCATTCCATCATGGCTTTCTTCAGTATTATTACTTGCTTCCTCATCCTTTGCTGTATGCAACTGAGCTTCATTGTCCTCATTTGTTTGCCTATTACTCCTTTCATTTTGTTTAGTCAATTCCCCATTTGTCATCTCCTGAGAGTCTGATAAACAAACTGCCATACTGAACAATTCAGTTGTGTTGAGAACTTTCTCGCATTTGTCAGTTTCATTTTCAACAGTGCTAACATCCTGAGAGGCCAAATGTTCACCAGAATGTTCACAAGAATTGTCACTTCCAAATGTATTCAGCTGACAAGTTTCAGAGAGCTTGGGTATCCCTGACGCAAATTGGTGGGCTGTTTGTTCTACTACAGAAGCCTCTGTGGAACAATCACCACTGTGTGGTCTAGGTAAACAGTTTTTAGTTCCTAGTTCTGTCATCTGAGCAGCAGCATCTGTATCAAAACCCTCATCTGATGCACATCTTTCTTGTACTTTCATGCCAGGGTCAAGTGGTCTCTGCAAGGAAACTGCATTTATTCCTGCTGTTGCAGTTTCTGAGAAATTAGAGTCTTTATTTGTACTATCCTTGTCCTTTACCAGAGAACAAGAATTTTCACTGAACAGACCATCTGAAGTGGCAACAATACAATGATGAACAGAATCTTCTTCCACATGCAGCTTCTTTGCTTGTACAGCTTCTTTTTCAGTATCAGTATCTTTCTCAGTGGACCCATTTACAGTAACATCCAAGTGATTAATTTGTTCAGTTTCGTTATCCAGTGTAAAGCTAACGGTATCCATTATAGGGGGAATGCTGTAAGTTTTACAGTCCAACAGATCACTTTGCAAAGGTTTTTTGTCACAGTTATGCATGACCGCTACAACCAGAACATTTTTCCCCTCTGGTAAACTATCTAAACTGCCACATTTTTTTTCTTCTTCACCCACTGCATTACACTGAGCATTCTGATTACTATTACTCTTAACTAGCTGATCATCTGTTGCTGCTTGATCATCAATCCACATGTTTGGGCTTTCTTCGCTCATATTAAGATTCTTTCCGTTAGAACAACAATCCCCTCCACCTACTGATGCAGCAACTAAATGAGACAAGGAGAAGGCCTTTAATTTCTGTGGACATTCATTAGGAATTGTGGCTTCGTTCACATTGGCTAGAGCTGGGTTAAAAGACAGCCGATGAGAAGGAGGATCTAGGATCTGATTCCACTTAGCATCCAACAGTGTAGGTGAAATAGCCTCATCTGAAAAATAAGTTATCTAAATCAGTATGCAAAAAATTTAGCACAACTATGTTACTTGTGTTTTCTATAGGTTCTACATTTTCTTTATTAAAGTTACTTTTGAAAAGAAATGCATAGATGTCAGACTATGTATACTTAGCTGAAAATTATTTATCAGGAGTTGAAAATGAAGTTTCGATTTGATAGCCTACATGTTTAGATACAAATGACAGCTAAAAAATCAGCTTAAGTCATAGCAGGTAAAGCCAATGTATTGGATAATTTATATAGTTCTTTGTATAATATTCAATTATAACTATTTATTTATTTAAAGTTTTATATGTCATCCAATACTAAAGTCTCTGGACAGCTTACAAAAAACAAAACCAAAAAAAAAAAAAACCACCCCAAAAAACAAATCTCGCATATATAACAAACAACATACTGCATCTGAAAAATAATGATAAAATCAAAGATAAAACCAGTTAACTGTTAAAATATTGGGAAAATAAAATAAATGTGCAGTATTTATTATAAATTCATTAATAGCTATGAATGCGTATTCACTGAATAAGCAGACTAATGAAATGTGAAACAGTTTATAATCTCAGTAACTTATGAATGATCATAGTATCTGTAAACATTATACCTGATTATTAAACATAAGAGCAAACTCATCAAATATTTAAATAAGTATTTACATAATTTAAACAACAGCCTTTATGACAATAATTAATAATCTAACATACAGGCAGGCTACTTGAACGACTTCCTTCCGTTCATTTTTGTCTATTTAATAATTTAAGTTGTCAAAAGAGTTCTGCCTAGCATGCTTATTTTCTTTTGAGAACATATTTGATGGCTGAAGCTTCAATCCTGCATGCACTTACCTGGGACCCAGTCCCTGTAAAGTCAATATGGCTTTACTTCAAATTAGAAGTGTACAGGATTGTACAGTTAGCATTTCTGACACATCTTAGGTAATCCATTACCAATTTCATTTTACTGCATGATTATATGCTTACTTAATGCAATCAGTATGATGCCACTTGAGCATCATCAGGGTAATATACATCTGTAGAAATAGATTTTCCATGCCGTTGGCATAAATATGGTTTTTGATTATCAATGTACAGTTTTTGGCATAGTTGCCAAAACTTTGTGACGCACATTCAAACATGGACAGGCTGCAAAAAAGAAAGTTTGCTTACAGTTATTGGAGCCCTCCCTCCTGTTCATTAGTACCAGGCCAAACCCATCACCCCCAGTCCAAGATGCTGTTATTCACTGCAATAAGAATGCCCTTTTCCAAGGCAAATAGTAACTGGAGGGTGTAAGTCAATGATATTGCAGTTTGCAGAGAAACAGTCAGCCTCCCTGCAATCAAGAGTGCATTGTGCAGTCCATCCTAATCTACGCTCCTACTACTTTTTTATGATGTATGAAATGCAAACACAGATTTCTTGTGTAATATCAATGGACTTTTAGTCTTCCATATCTTCAACAGTGCCATAAATATCAAGATTTTGGCAAAGTGTACCCAAGGGCTATTATCCACACACAGCAAAACCAGTCAAAGCAATCTTCCTAAAAGTATTGTTCTACGTACGTACTTGTCAATTTGCAGTTCTGTTTCACTTTGAGGAAAAAAGACTGGCACTTTAAGAACTGTTTGTTGTGGTTTTGATCAGGGAAACTTTAATGTACAGGGAGTCACAGCAGTCAAACAAAGAAACAAAACTGGATAAAAGGGCTAGGCTCACCCCACTAAGCTACCTGTTGCTGCTGCTGAGTTCTGCATGCTTGGGGAAAGGTAGCAAAAAAATATGAGACTGGAGACCATGACGGAAAGAACTGGAGATCTCTTCTGTCTTCACTGTTTTTCTTCTTGGCACACATAAATCAATAGCAGTAGCAGCAAAGCAATTCTACAGAATGTTCACTCTCAAACACAGTGCTCACACTGTGCCTCTGCTTACAAGCTTCTGTTCTCTTTCTCTCTCCAACAGCTCTTCCCCTACCACTTGCCTTTCAGGCTTCTGCTATACTTTCTCCTTTGACACATATTGTTACCAGACATTATAAATGCTTTTTGCATTAACATCTTTTAGCACTGTAAGAGGAAAAAACAGATGGGAAGCAATTGGTCTTACAAGGTATTACCACAAGTCAACCATATTTTTGTTATTGAAAGAAAAACTACTCTATGACCAAGCCCTAACAATTAACACTAGTCAAACAAAAGGATAAATTTTAACCCCCCAAAAGAGTACCAAAAAAGGACAAATTAACAGCACTTACATAGTTCCAGTTTTATTAAATACCAAAAACTGAATTTCATAGAGGCATGAAGTTTGTTGCCACAATGTGTCTGCTTAGCTGCCTTTACAAAGGATTAGCCTAATTTGTGGAAGAGAATGCCATCAACAGTAATAAGGAACCACCAGGTTCAGAAGTATATATCTCACTATCAATTGTTGGAAAGCCAAAGCAGATGCAAGCTATTGCCTTCATATTCTATTTATGGGCTTCCCAGAGGCACCTGGCTGGCCAGTGTGGAAAACAAGATGTTGAACTTGATTAACCTTTTGCCTAATCCCAGCACAGATCTATTTAGATTCGTATACTTCCAATGTTACTATTTTCATATACCAGAATGCCCTAGTTCCACAAACGGTAATATGAAAAAGGTTTTATCTCTTTATAAATACATACATCCTGCCCATGCTAACATCTTTATTATAAAAGGAACTTGTAAGAGCATTTTGATGTATTAGGTGTTTTTTGTTGTCACTTTGATGGTCTATCCCTCCCAGCTTTCATAAGATTATTTACAATATATTTAAACATAAATAGCTATGAAACAGCCACAACTACCAGCAGCTTAAAGATGCAACCAGAAGAAACAAAGTTTGTATTGCATAGTTTAAGCAGATCAACATTTAAAAGAACCTGAAACCATGTATACCCTTTAAGAAAAAAAACATCTTGAACAAGCTGCATTTTTAACACCAGCTTAAAGTACTGTGAAGAGGCCAAGCACAATTCAATTAGAAATGAAGTATAATATTGGAGCAATTCTTGATTCACCTACCAAGACAGTTAATAAAGACATCAGTCACATGATTAAATAAACTATCTAATATTAGTGATTTGTGTTTTTACTAAAACAGATGCAAAACTGCATATAGTAAAAACACAGTTTTTAAAACTTATTACATTTCTATACTAATACCTTAAGCATTCTGGACACTTCATAACAATTACAACCATAACATAGTTAACAACAATTACTTTTGCTTCCCCATTCCTCGCTCTGCAGTGTAGAATCTATACATATGCACAGTATGCACAATGAGTTCACAATGTCTCCCTCAAGTAATCTGTATAAGATCACATCACATGTAATATCTGTTTCTATATTAAACTTTGAAACCCAGTTATTTATTATTCAGGGTTTGTTTTATTCTGGCACTAATAAAATAGTACTAATTAATTTTACTATTAATTAGTACAGAAGCATATTACTTAAATGCTCAGCCCCATGGAAACCCCTCTAGCCCCATGAAAACGTTACAAATGGTTTGAGGACACTGCTGAATGATACAAGTACAGGCTGGTGGAGATAGGACTGAGAGGAAAGCAACCCGCCCCCTCCACCAAGATCCCTACACCACAACACAGCCTCTCTCAGTCAGCAGAATCGCCAGACCCTCTGTGTAACATTTTTCAAAGGACTGTCATGGAAAAGAGGTAGGAAAATCCACTTCCTTAAGCCTCGTTGTACATGCCTATATCTAAATCCAAATCAATATTCATTCAATGTTAGCTGGCCATTAACTAGACTGTATTTGGGCAATTCTAGAATTTCAAGATTAAAAGTGGGCAATTAATCCATGGGTCTAAACCTGTTCAGTGTCCTTTTCCAATTTTTTCCTAGGAAGTACATAGATGGCAGCTACAATGGAATAGAAAATACAAATACAACTAGAGCCACAGATAATCTTCAGCCCTGTCAAAAGTTACTTACCTTCATTTTGTTCAAACTCATCTAAAACCTTATCAAGGTTATAAGCTTCTGCCTGGAAATAGTTCTCCATTTGTCAGGAAATGCTACCCAGCTCCTTGTCTGAACCTGTCAAGTAGACAGCCAGTTACAAACTTCTGAATATTCTGAAGTTTGAGTGCAACTTTTAGACTACTCCCAACCTTAACATTTAAACCAGCTTGTAATTGTTTTCAATAAAAATTCAAGAGCATGTTACAGTATTTCAAAAGTCAGGTGATAAAACCATGTTAGTTCCGATTCCTTATTTCCTCATCAGTATGAATCAGTCAGATACAAATTAAATTTGATAACTTTTGCAATTAATACATAACTGCTTAAGTTTGATTTAAATGCTGGTTACTTATTTTTCTTTAAAAAATTATTTGGGGGGAGATTTATATAACCAGTTACTTTTAAAAGCAGCCAATTAAATATGAGTTAGTTGATACTGCCAATATTTGTATATAAAGTTCAAAAGCTGACTAAAAGCAATAGAAAGTGGATTATTAATAGAAAAATATTAAAATAAATATGATTTTACATTTGACATAAAAACATAGATTCCATTGAAGATAAAGATAAAGACACAAAGTTAGGGTACAAACTAATATGAATACCAATAACCATCCAAACTCTGAGCTTTATAGGCATCCTATGAAGGGAGCAAAGATTGCCTTTGCACTTGCTCTGCAAAACACTTAAACGGCTTAAATGACATCCAAGTTTTGTATCTTAGAGTGCAAGGAGGAAGAACTGAGGCATGACCTGGATACTTCATATTGTAACAACACCTGGCTCCTCCTTTCCTCTAGGATACCCAAAAAAGCCTCTCTGAGGTTGCTGATATGACCTCAAAACTGCAGCTCAAGTGCAAGGAGGGGGTAGTGCTGGCTGTGAGGGCAGGGAGAGGGTTGTTCTGAGTTCAGAGTCCCAGCTCCAACTGTGGATCAAGTTTCCAAGGTGAGAAATGGGGTTTCAAAAAATCCTATGCCTCTCTAGATTTAGTCAAGCAGCCATAGGATTTTATTTCTCAGAGAAATTGTCGTGTCAGCTAAGGCTATTGGCATAGTGCTAGGATTTTTATTAGCTCAACATAATGTAAGTTAGCCATTGCACCCACTAGATACTGCCCAGTAACATCTATTAGGTGGATATATTTATATAAATACAATTGTGTATGTGTTGTAGGGGAAGAACCCAAAGGTGCATGAATGCACACAACAGTAAATAGATGGAGCTATGTCACTGCAAATATATTATATTACAACAACACAGAGACATTCCTAGCTTTAACATGGCAAGTGAAATTTGCTTTTATAGTTTTCACTTTTATGGATCAGGACAAGTTCAGCCATCCAGCTAACTGGAGACATAATGCCCATCATGATAATCCTTCTTAGCAATAAGTCACAATGGGCTGGTTATTATGCAAACAAATAGTCAAATAAAGGCCAGCTAAACAGCCAGTGTGTTCTTGGTCTCTTCTCTCTCCTTTGATACTCCCACAGGTAACCCAGGGGATAACATGGCAAGACTGACTTGTCTCTCCTCTCCCTGCTGTGCTTATAACCATTTTCCTCTCACTATATCTTTTTCTCTTTTTACTCCTTTCACCCCACCAGAAATCACAAAAGCCAGCTTGATAGTCAACCTTCAGAATCTCGCCTGTCAGTGGATATTTATTTTTGGGGGGGCCCAATGATATTATGCAAATATGTAAAAATTATTTTAGTCATTCCTGCATAAATGCAGAGGTTTACAGTTGCACAAATGCTAGAAATTGAATCCTTGGCTAGGGCAACATGGACCAATGCTCAAGTTGTAGCAGGTATCAGCCCTAGATAAAGCCCCAAAGAGGCTCCAAATAGTTCCCCACCACCACCCATTTTTGGTTTCTTTTGACAGTTCTTAAAAGTTAGCTGCTAAGAAAAACCAATGCCGTAATTTTTTCTCATGAAAATGGAATGGAATATGATTCCATGAAATATGAATATGGAATATGATTCCATATTCCATGAAAATGGAATATGATTTACACCCCCCCCCTTTTTCACACCAATGTCCTGAGGGTAAGGCACAATTTGTACTTTTTCCTAGGTACTAGAGTCTAGGAACTCAGGAAAGAGCAAAAGTGCTTACCATATACTTTTTCTGGGGAAAGAATTTTGTCGGGTTACTAGCTAGGATCCCCTTTAAAAGGGTGTTTTGACAGGACAAGGGGGTTTTGGCTGGGACAAATATAATCTCAAAGATAATTTTCAAGTGCAAAGGCTCAGATATTTTAATTTACTACATTTTAAACAAATTATTTTTTATTGTAAATCTTATTGGAGGACTCCATGCATTAAGAGTAAACCTGATATTGCCAAATGAAGGAACAAAACTAAACCTTGCTATATTTTCATTTCATTTCAGATTCCAAGCACTTCAATTAATTGAAAAAATGATTATTGAATACAGAAAATTCCTTAATTGAGGAATTTGCGTGATCCATTACTCCTCAGGATTTTTTCCAAAATCCAGCAAACAAGTTTACATTTCTTTCCAGAACTATCCTTTCCTTTCCTGGGTGGGAGGAGGGGCCAACTCCACTGGAGTATTTCTTTAAGTCAGCTTTGCACAGCAGCTATGATCTTATTATCACTAAGCACAGTTTAAGGAAAAAGGTACGCAAGATTACTAAAACCAGAGAGCCAGTGCGGTGTGGTAGTTAGACCTTTGCACTGGGGAATCTGGAGGATTCAGGTTCTAGTCCCCACTCAACCATGAAGCTCACCTTAGGCCAGTCATTCACTCTCAGCCTAACCTCACATCACAGGGTTGCTGCTGTGAGGATAAAATGAAGCAGAATAGGGCTATGTAAAATGACTTGGGTTTCTCACAAGAGGGAAAATGTCAATACAAGATGATGATGAAAGCTCGATCCTATAACACTTACCTGGCTGTAAGTGCCACTTTTCTTAATAAGACTTATTGAAAATAAACGTGCATAGGACTGCATTAGCTAGTGACATCCCGACATCCCAAGGATACAAACTTTAAGGTTACGAATAAAGAACAGAACTTACATGACTGACTCTTTATTCAAATCCTGTATAGATTTAATAGTAAACAGCGCTGTACCTTTTTGTCCTATACATGCATTAAGAAACAACTGAGACAATGCTTATCCATAGCATATACTGCACAATCAGCTGGTTGAATTGAATCCATATGTTCTTCTTGATCCTAAAAATGAAACAAACACCACACATTAGATTTCCTAATGTGATAGGAAAGGTAGGTGTTTTTGGTCAATTTTCACTAAGATAAGATAGCAATATTTCTTTCTTAAAGCCCATTAAAACTACCTGATAAACATAACCTTCTCTAAACTGGTTCAGGTAGCCAGAAAAGCAAACTCAAAGAAATATCTAAATGAGCACTACCAACATTCACTAGGGAAGGACACCATATTGGTTATCATCATATATTTGCTTTCTTAGTATACCCTTTTAAAGCCTAGAAGGCCCTCATTTGAACTTACAGAGCCTTGTAAAGAGATACAGGAAAAATGGGGAAGGATAGGGTCAAATTAGTTTATTATTATCATCCTGAATTGCATCTCATTCCTATGTGAGCTAGTACTTCCATATGTAATATAGTGCCAGCAGCAGAGTCAAAAAACATTCCGGCTAGAGAACAGCCAAGCTTTAAGATAATGAAGGTATCATGATACAATCCTGCAACATGCAAACCTGAAAGGAGAGGTAATTTTTTTTAGTAGTTACTAGTGAGATCTGCCCTTAGCTATGGTACAAAGATATATTGTTTAATGTCACACTGCAATAAACATTAGAGCGTCTAATAGCACTTAGTTTTTGTAGACTCATATTTTCATTAGATTGCTTAAGTCCATGAATTAAAGCAAATCTAGTATTCTATGATAAGATTAACTATTCTTTGGCTGGCTTGAAACTAATATAAATCCATAGATGAAAGAGGGTACTAGCAAGTAGGTTTTGTTACAAGTACATGAGAAACGATAACATATGGAAGCCAGAAATTTAATCCATCCCTTTTTCTAGATTGTTTTCAGGTATTCAGCCATCCACAAAAACACTTACCTAAGATGAAGGTGAAAGTACCTTCCCCATATCGAACATGAACTTCAGGGTCAGGCCTGTTGATATGATCACAGAGGGGGAAAGAAACTACAGTGGTATATTTCTCTTGCCATGCATGGCAAAGGAATATGCATAATTATCATTGTGGCTTGCCATATCATACAAACCCAGCAAGGCTGTTTTCCTGCCATGATTAACAAACTACCCAAGCATTCTACAAGAGCCTATGTGTTCTGAGGGCCCTGTCAAAAATGGTATCAATCCACCCTAGACATTTGCATGACACAACAAACTATATGCATGAGGATGATTTTGCAATTTCCACAGCATACACAATAAGGAAAATAAACCACCATGATTTATTTCCCCTTCCATGATTGTGTAAGTCTAGTCTATATGTATCATTAGTGATCTGCTTTAAAAAGTATGTTCAACCTGGTCACTTATTTTCAGTAAAAATAGTTGCATGGCCCTGATCCAAAACATGCTTTTAACCCAAATCAGGAAAAAAAAACCTTATGCCAATTTCTTGCAGTCATCAGCCTCCTGAATATTTCCTCCAAAGTTGGTTCTTGAAGTAAACAGCATTTTTGGAATCACAAAGCAGCCAAGTGGAAGCAATTCTCATTAGAATACAGCAGTCCCCAGGTTACAAACTAGTTCCATTCCTGAGAAAATGGAAATTTGTCTTTAAGTTGAATTTGTATCTAAGTCAGATCACATATAGTACGCCCTCCACATTCACAGGGGTTGGGTGCCGGACCTCCATGCAAGTGGAAAAACCGTAAATATCTCTAGGTCCCAACCTGCTGACCAAACTCACCAGTGCTGCCTCTTTGCAGCAAGGAAATGCAGGAGAGATTTCTCTCTCCAGATGGGTGGGGCAGGAAGGCATGTTTTGGAGGCCTTCCCTCCCTCTCCTTTTGCTCTTTCTCTAGGGTGAAAATGATTTTACGCAGTATTTTTCTTAATACATTTTGAGACAGTTTGTTCGTAAGTATGGGTTGTTTGTAACTTGGAAGGTCCTAAACTCGGGGACTGCCTGTACTGTTAACACGTCCTGATCCAGATCAAGGGCACATTTCAGATCAGGGTTCTGCTACTGCTTTTTCAGCAAAATAAAAGTCTTTAGGTTAAGCATGCTTGTTTAAAAGTGCTTAGACTGTCTCTTAGATAGGGTTAATATTTGGATTATTAGCATAAATATCCAAGTTTGGAAATATAGGAAAATAGGCAAGTAACCCTGAAAAAAGGTTATGGTAGAACTGATCAACTTATTTGTGCAAGTTGATGCTAACAGGGATTGCAGATGACTCTAAATCTAAAAGGGAAGGTGAATCCAAGCTATTCAAACTCTATTTCCATTTATTCTCATTTAAGTCACAACAAATACTTTCAAGTCTAATTCAATACCAAAATAAATATGTAGAAGTAAGACAGTGGAAAAAATCAGGACAGGATGATATATTCCTCTCCCCTTCTCAAGTTCCTAGCAGGAACTAGCAGTTTAGAAGAACAAAGCAAGTATTTTGATATGCTAATAGTTTTTTTTTTTTTTTAAGATCAAGCTTGTCATTAGATATGACAAGGCAACATTATAGCTGGAATATGTGCAATATACAGGGTGTTCCAAAAAAAGTGACATCATTTTGTAGTTTAATAACATAGCCAATACTTGCTCAAATGATCTCAAATTTTAACAAAATGGGTAAAAACTAACTAATATTAGTTACTCAATGTTACGCAAGACATGCTACAGCCTGTTTGGCAGGAGGTGAACTACAGACTTGACGTATGTCGTATCACAGGCGGTACACATATTGAACATTTGTGAAGCTTTGTGAAATTGGTTATAAAATCTACATCCCTTTGAATCTCTTGTTTGAATTTTGATAAATAAATCTTTTATTGTTCAACATGAAGCCTATTTAATTTTGTTTGCCCAGAACATGTAGTTACTCAGATATTCACATTTCAAATAATGTCAAAAATTTTGGGACACCCAAGCTCAATACAAGTTCAATACAACATACTCTCATAACCTGAGGACAATAAGACTGTATTCTTAATTCATAAAATGGGGCAAAGTTAATAAAAGTTATGATTTAATTATAGCAGATTACTCCCTTTTAAAAGATGCTTTTATTTAAATGTTCTAAAAAACTTTGAGTCCTAAATGAAGGATATTGCAAGTGCAATATACTTTTGCATCTTTTAATTAAAATATAATTACATGCAAGGACAGTGAAGATCAACCTTAAAATTAGAAAAACACAAAAACATAATGAAAAGGGTACATAGGTTAATAAGGGTTTTTTTTTAAAAAAATGTTATGTGTTTACTAACAGAAACTGAATTAATGCACAACTCCATTCTGTATGACTAAACTAATATCTATGTTTAAAATGGTTATAATATTGTGATATTGCATGAAATGGAAAGACATAGGTATTCATTGGAACAGCAGATGAAGGAAATATACTGTCCAGGAATGCATAGGCTTGAAAAAATTATTAAGGAACTAAAAGGGAATAAAAATAAGTAGCTGGATGCAGGAACTTCCACAGAGGAAGGAAGGCTTTATTATACCCAGACAGGAAACCAAAGACATAAGCCATTTTTTCCAAAACAAGACTAGACTGACTTGAGGCAGAACAAGAACAGAATACCCTCAAGCAAAAATTGACTGTGGTCTGCAGGAAAGAGTATAAAGGAGGCATGAGTAGAAATAAGTAAAGCCAAATTCAGCTCATTTCAAAATATGGCTCTAAACTTTTTGGGGGAGTTCTCAGAAAAAATGCATGCATTTTCTAGGAATTCCCCAAAATTGCAGGCTGACCCAGCCATCATTCGCCAATTTTATATTTTTCTTATATCAGAGGTGGCCAGGAAAGGAAGAGAGGAGGAAAAATAAAAAGAACTAGCAAAAGCTAATTTATTTTTCTACATTTCTCTCTTCTTTTATACTTGTCTAAGACACTTCTAATATTGCCTGTGAAAAATCTTGTATTC